TTTAACTACATTGAGTTATATATTGCAAGTTTACTTTCGCTCTTTTGTAATTGGTGGAGAAATAAAGAAGAAAGTGAATGTCTAGCGAAAATTGAAGTAGCTAAAACAAGTTTTAATATAAGTTATGACTGATTTTACAACTGATAAAAAGATCAATGTAACAGGAGAACGAAAAACTTTTGATTAAAATACATGTACATTATTTTACATTGAAAATCATTTTATTTGGTTGACATCATTGTCTCTTTAAACTGAATGTCATTCTTAATTTATATCATACGACCCCACCAGTACTGGATAATTTCATTGCCATTGTTCCTGTTTATCAAGAAATTGTTTCATATAGAGACGGTTGGAACAGACAAGAAATAACTAGTCTCTGCATTTTTTTTTTTTGTAGTTGTAGGGGAGGCAACCTTAGAATACAATCGTACTTACATGTATAAGTGTAAACCTTGTTACAGTTTAAAGACTTTGTCCATTATAAAATAGGACCTGTTAATTATATACGCAAAATTGGAAAATCTAACAAAGTACTAAAAAAAATCAATAATAATCTGCATCATTGGTATTGCATTTCTTGCTTCATACTTAATATTTGTCTTTTTGATTTGATAAAACTGATTTAATTAATTCCAACAGGGAGTGACAAGTCCTAGAAAGTTCAGAATATACTTATATACTGAACATTTTCTAAAAATTACCAAATATATGAAAATTAGAAAGTTATTGAAGTAGGGTGATATCGCACCTCCAGATCTAGATTCTGATATTTCTTTCGATCACCTTTGATTTTCCTCTGTCGCGTAGTTAAAATCATTGTTCAGCTCTGCTTTATCTTACTCCAAACTCGTAGTGAAAAGAAAGGTGGAATTCACTTGTGAATCTTTGTAAATCTAGAAAATTTAGAAATTAAAAATTTGTTAAACTCGCATTTCTCAGGGGACATTGGTATATACATGTATGATTGTCATGTGAGGTTACACAGAAAATGGCGGGAAAAATAAAATAACTATTGAGTATATCATGTCAGGAAATCAGTCAAACACAATGGTAAAACTCTCCTCTAGTTAAGTACACCCGCGAAAAAATATACAAGAAACACAAAGTCAATAAATTTCGTGCTTGGTACTTTGTAACGATTTCATGTATCAAACACATATTTTTCAACAGTTTCGAATAATATTTCGCTTCTTTCATCCAGTTTCCCCCGTTCAATATTTCAAAAATAATGTTTCGAGTATAAAAGCGCCCACCGTGACAGTTGATATCTTAAGCATATCACTATCAAATATAGGTGAAACATCAGAAGATAGATCGGTTATGTAAAACCGATAAATCTACACTTGTCTCTTTGAAAGTTTGAAATGTGTAACGTTAAGTTTGGAACCGCATTGTCTGCCTACATGAAATCTGATGAGGAATCAGATTTCTATCAGTAACCCGCTAAGTGATCAGATTCGACGTGAACATAATGGTATGTCCCTGTGGACATGAAACACACATGCATGTTTTCTAGATTAATCTTCTAAATCTAATTTATTGTTTTACACCACATGTTACTCAAAATGACAATTTTCTGGCAACCATTTATTTGATATCGAATTTTTAAACATCAAACAAGTCTTTGATGAAATACCGATAGCATTTAATCGTAATCTCAATGATATACTGTATACGCATTTATTTTCGAGGGGATGATATGTTCCCTTTTTCGCAGTACACTAAAGAGATCGTGAAAATTGAGCCCATAAAATCACGAGACACAAGTGTATTAGATGTCGCTTTACATCCAGAGCGCGAAAGTTTAATTCGATTAAATAAGATACGGTCGTTTTAAAGGAAAATTACAAAAAAATTGACTCGCAAAAATTTTAGAAATACGGTAGTATATATACAAATTTATAATTATTTGGTTTATGGTTGAATATTAGATCGGAGAATATCTAGCGTAACATTTCATATTTTAAGAATGTATGTGTATATTTGTTATATATGTATAAAGCACTTACATTTGTCAGAATACTAACTATACTAAAAAAAGTTAGTAAGCATGCTGATAGGTGTAGACTTTCTTGGTATATACGACATTATCAAAATGTCATTCAGCTCGACAAAAGACGTCACAATCATGCATTTAAATGTATAAAGATTAACTACCTTGTCAAAATAGGTTTATAAAAAACCTGTGTGTAAGTACATCAACCACTTACCTCGATCTTTTACCATCAACCACTTACCTCGATCTTTTACCATCAACCACTTACCTCGATCTTTTACCATCAACCACTTACCTCGATCTTTTACCATCAACCACTTACCTCGATCTTCTACATCACCCACTTACCTCTATATTTTACATCAACCACTTACCTCGATCTTTTACATCAACCACTCACCTCGATCTTTTACATCAACCACTTACCTCGATCTTTTACATTAACCACTCAGTTCTTAATGCAATACAGAATCTTCTACAAGCATTCTCTTTGTCTCGTCTTAAGGAGCCATTTGGTTCTTTGGATAAACATACAAATCTTTGATAATGTTCAACATGTTCATGTCGTGTTCATAGCAGACAGATTTATGATAATTATTATTTCATATCATTGTTAAATAAAACGAAAATATACCGTTATTATCTACTTATCAACAACTCTTCAAGTAGTTGAGATAGGGGGAAATGGTTTTCTCGTATCTTCATTCACGAAAAAGTCATGTTATAACATCAACATATGATTCATTGCTATCTTAGCCTTAAGGCAAAGAGATGATAGCTCACACACACCTAAAGCCGTGTAAAAAGAAGCAAATTACAACTTGTTGCTGAGATATTTAGATAAGAGATAAAATGTTACATATAACTTGATAAGGTGATAAGCAACGAGAATGCTGTGAAGGTTTATATATATATATATATATATATATATTATCATGCCTTGGTAGTGAGTGTTTTCATAACCCTGATTACAACTTATTATAAACTATGATTATGAATATTTGCAATGATGCTTTCTATAGACATCCTCATATATTGTAAAAATAACCTAAACATTCACTAATTTTAAAGTTATACCGTTTCTTTGTATTAATTTGACATTTTTAAAGAATAATAGTTATTCTTCTTTACTCCCTTGCAAGCATTCCATGCCATCGGTCACTAGCATCAGCGACGAGAATTAGAGGAAATAGCATTCTACATATGATGGGTTATATTCGTTATTCGGCATAACTTGAAACGGGTTACGAAATTGTCATTGATAAGTGTTATCTATTTGTGTGATCTTTGCACCAGTCTTTACAAGATGGTAGGCCTAAACTTCAATTTCTATTGCAGTGAATAATACATATTGTCAATTTACATGAACCGTTACGGAATTTATTATATTTGGTTAAGTTTTGATACAAAATTCGAGTAAGAGTCATTGACGGCAATTATCAAATATGATGTTTTAAGTAAGAATGACAAACAAAAAGGGCTCAAGATGTGTTGCAGCCATTTTTTAACTAACTATCACAACTTGTATTGGTCAGAAAATACATAGAAATTGCAGATAAGTGTCAAATGTTAAATGTTTAAACTTTACGAATATATAGATTCATTGGCAAAATGGTTGAAGACACATTTGCTATCAGCAGCTCAAAATGTCCGAAAGATTGCAATTTATTTCTAAACATCTGTAGAAGCATAATAAATCATTGTTCTTACGAATGTCAATGCATGAAATAAAATAACATATTTTACATTTGAAAATTTATTCACGCACGATTTAACAACATAAGCATCAATGTTTTGTTTACAAAAGCTCATTGCAGATGGCAAAAATTGTCCACTTGAAGACGACATCGATTTTCGGGATGGATGGAGACAATAGATATTTATTATTCTACAAAGAACAAGAACGTTCTCTTACTTCATCAACCAACAAAGTACTGCACCAAAGTCAAATAATTACACCTACTGGAACGGTTCCTTTTTCATTTGTTTAAATTTTCGCGGTTGAACCAAAATTGAAAATAAAAATGTGAATATTGATTTTCTCAATATATTAATTTCACCAAGTGCTGGATATTATTATAAGAACAAGACAGCAGAGCAGAGATGTTGTTTTATAACGCCTCTTTGCTGAGTACCTGATTTGTTTTTGTCGCATAGTTGATTAAACTCGTTCAACTTGTAAATATAAGCAAATGTGATATAGCAAATCTCGCAATTGGATGTCAAAACAATTTGATCCGAGTCCATTTTTGTCAATGAACTTAAAAATTTGCCATAATGTAAAAATGAGGTAAAAATCATACACCAGCACTTTATACAATTGATTTAGCACAAATTCAACCATTTTGAATATCATATGAGTACCGTTGGTGTCGTTTGTATATCATATTAATGATATTTACTTGAAGTAATAGTAATATTTTATTCTATGATTACACCACTGACACTGAAATGCTTAATAATCGAAAATGCATGATATTTCAAATACTAGATTAAATTAGTCACTTTTTATTTTTCTTAGATGCCTCCTGGACTTCAAATTTAGAAACTTAGTATCACTATCGAGTCCTAGAGAAACGAAAAGCTGTATGATGAAGGTTAATTCATTGTTTGGCTTTACCATAGCGCATTCTAAATTTTGAATAGGTGATTTTCAATTGTGTGCCTTTTGTTCAATCTCCAAGACTGATCAATCAAAGCAGTCTTTAAGCGAAAGTGATATTCACAGAAAAACTTTTCAAAAGGCCAAAACAAGAGTAAAAGCAGATAGATAATCCAGCGAGACTTTGAAGTAATGTCAGGCTTTCAAAATAGGCTAGAAAAAAATCCAGACATATTGCAGAGAATCGAAAACATTCTAAACTCATTTAGACCATGATGTAGACAATAACAATTACAAGTAATACTTTTTCATGGAAAAACAAGTAAGTTATTATTTACAATTACTTAAATAAAATAATTGATAACAACTCATACATAAGATGTTATCGATGTTAGGTGGTTTTCCAGACAACAATACGCTGGATAATACACTGGCACTACAGGTAATACGCGTCTCCAGTTCTTCGCATAGACATACCACATACATGAATATTGACACGTACTTCACATCTCCGGGGGTCGTCTCAAAAATAATCAGCAATAGGGCTTAGCACAACTGTACAATAAATACGTGCAAAATTGAACAAATGGAAAAGTAAGCACTTTGATATAATATATTAAAAACACATATATAATTTAAATTACACGTATAAAATATATAGAAAGTGAAAGTCCCTCTAACGTCACTTCATCTGTCAATAACTGAACCATGGAGATTTACTGTGGATTACTGCTGCCAAATACGACTTAATTTCACGAAAACATAGTTTTCCTTTAAAATACTGATGCAGCATAAATGTTGACCATCTTGTGAATTTTGTAGGGCGGCTGGCACCAAAACCTGCTTTTTAATATCTAAATTCACATATCACGTGTTCACCAGTCATTCTGTAAGTGTGCGATTTAGTTTCACAACTGCGGACGCGGAGGTGGTTTCGGTTTTTCAGGCGTTGCATATGGCGCCGTAAGAGGATGCCGAAGATACTTCCCACCGAATATAACACATTTGCTGGGTAACGAAAACTGCTTATTTGGACCAATGTTTGGATTAGTGCTAGATATATGAACACAATATGCCCGTGACCACTATTGTACAGTTGTTGAGGCTCCTTTTTGAGTACATATATATGAGATCAGGGAGTTTTCTCCCAATGTCCCCGAGCATCGCTGCACTCTGCCGTCAACGGCCATCAATATGAAATTAATATAAGAAGTATGCATGACAGAATTTAGTTCGTCAAACTCTCACCCGAGTGTCGCAGGAGAAACTACAAAAATCAATGATCAAACGTCAATGATTATATCGTTGTCATAACATGCACTTGCAGATCTCCAACGATTTCAAGTAAGGTTTATGGAGTCTCCCCGATTGCCTTAAAACTTATATGGATGAGGAGCGAAGATATGAAATACATTTCATCCAATCCCCAACATAATCAAATACGCCGAATAATCGATTTTCAATACAAGTTAAAGGGTCGGTAAGCAGATAATTTATGGCAATAATGGTGTCTTGCTTACTTAAAAATAAGTCTGTAGCAGGGATGAATCCGTAAAGAACCGCAGTTCACCTTAAATAATTCTATAAGGTATAGAATTTTTTGTCTTCCGGAGAAAGTTCCATGATGAACCTCATATCCTCAATGGAGCAATATGGTTTGATGGCAAAGACATCTTTCACTTTTTTCCATTTCTTGCCTGTTATGAACTTATCTGCCCTTGAAAATACTATTTGATCGATTCGAGGCAGCGGGAAGTACAGTGACGTATACTTGTTAACAGAGCCGATTATCGTCTGACAATTCTTGCAACAAAGTTCTGCAACGCCATGCTCCATGTCTTTATCTACGTATAGCGGCTTCCTGCGCGGACCATACATTATCCTATCCCTCAGTCCAGCGGCCACAATAGTGTGATGAATGTCCTTAATTTTCCGGAGATCTGATGACAAAAATAGAAATGTTCTACAGTGGTTACATTTCACCTCGTACACCGGACTATTCTGCAGTCGCTGTTTTTCAAGCAGTTTAGCAGCATCGCGTTCCAGCTTCTCTTTCCTCTGATTATCCCGTTGTTTCGCGAGAAAGCCACTTGGGTTTTTTTCAACCTCTTTCTGAACCCTTTCGATGGCTACCGAAGCCATTTCCTCTCGAACCTCGTTGACACGTTCTTTTTGTGCTGCTGGTCCTTGTTCGGATGTTATGAGAACAAACTGGCTATTGTCTCTCCTGATGCGCCCTGAAAAATGAACGATAAACCTTGATAGCAAATACTTGCATGTTTGGAAGTCTGAAAATCATACTGATTATAACTTTACGATATTTAATCTTTGTTGCAAAACTTTGCGTCAGTTTCATTTATGACTTTTGACTACTATCAGTAACTATTCTCTTTCCTACATCCGTAACTTACAAATGTAATATCCTTCATTATCTTCGCAGTAAACAACATAAAATATTGTATAAAAACCAACGCCATATAACTTTCGGTCGGAGCCATCACAAACAAATGTCACTAACCTATACCATTATCCAGTTAATGCGTCCATTTTATACCCGCAAGTAACGCGTGTGGTACTTTACATCTGTCGTAATATGATGTCATATATCCTTCAAAAAATTCTTTCATCGTATCATCAATTCATATCTTATTTCTGTCAAATGTCATTCACTTACGTTATGACCAATATTATTAAATAATTGTATAACTTTCCTACAAACAGCTGTTTTCAAATATCGTACACTTTTTTTCAAATTTTCATGCATACCTCTCGTCTGAACACGTTGAATCTCGTTGGTAACGTGATCATACAATATGACGAGATTACACCTCGGAATATCTAGTCCCTCTTCCAAAATTGAGGTCCCTACGACAACTTTATGTGTGCCGTCTCGGAACGCCTTCAGGATTTGGTCATTTTCTGACCTGGTGTTACCTATTTTCAAATTAAGACAGGATTATTTACCGCCATTATACTTTTCGAATACGTCTATAAATAAAAGTAAATAAAACAAAAAAGAAACAAAGTCAAATTGACATATCACATAGAACTTACCTGATTCTTATCTTGTAGATAAAAAAGATTTAGAATCGATGCTCCTTTGGGTAAGAATTAAGGTTGAAGAGTAATTTGCTTCAAGTCTAAAATGCAGATGAACGCTCTTAGTTAACATCTTATATAGAAAGAAGCTATTCACTTTATGCAGGAGGTGAACGTCACTAAGCGATATAAGTGTTATGTTTTCAATTTTCCTATTGTGAATTTTCCACTTCTAGATAGCAACGTTCCTGCAAATCCATCCTATGTTGTTTGCATGTTGTAGCCGATTCGATGTTAAAGAGTCTATTTCTGTACCTGTCACGATTTTCAGGAAAGAGGACAAACTTGTAAGACATGATTTCAAAAGATGGCATAGCAATCGCATTCAGAAATTTTAAGCTCGTTATTTTGCCTGTTGATTCCAATGCTGTATACTTTGCTCCCATTCCAGAACATGACATTACTTACTTTGATTTACAAAAATTTGCAAGGCTGGTGTCGACGATGAATCTGAAGATGCTTACCTGTCCTGAACACCTGGTCTTATTTTCCTTGTGCTTTTCCATGAGTCACAGTGTAAATATTTCTTTCGTTTATATTTTGCCATGTTTTATTGAATTTGAAGTTGGACTATGCGTGCCACCTCTAGATAATTACGTTTCGGAATATACACATACACATTATGTTCTTTTGAAATTTACAAATTGTAGAGTAAGTGCATCTTCCAGTCTAATTTCTGACATTGATATATCATAAAATAGGCCCTTTCCATCACTGTCGTCTCTTATAAGAACAAAAACGTTGTATGATGAAGTTTGATTCTAATTTGTATTAAAAGACCTAAGCACTTTTGTGTCTTTTTTAAAATCTCCTTATTGGATATTGGCTTGGGGCTATACGATAGTTTTTTTTCTTCCTAATCTATTTTCCTATTCCAAGTGCAAGCGATGTAAAAATGAGACAGGGAAAGTGTATGAACATACATTATTAAATAAACACACGAATTAACCGAAGAAACTCTCTCATCGGAAACAGTGTTACAGATGATATTCTGTTTCCTGACTATGCGTGGCAATTTCATATATTAGAAACAATATAAAATTGCCACTAATGGTCTTAAGTGGAATAAGAAATTTCATAGGAAGGATGTGGCTAAAATCGAAATTCTATGTACTATTGTATGTATGTATCAGCGTTTAACAAACTGTACATCCCTATAACTGCACTCTTACTGTTACCGCAATAGTAGAAGAAATATAGATAAGACAATGATAGATATAAACTTATCCTCACCTCCAAGTCCAACCTTAGCGTGCGATCCAACAAAACCCCTCGCATTCAGAGGTTGCAGTTCCGGACATTCATTCATCCATGTCTCCATGCAGTTTGCAAGTTCTATTGTTTTGACGTAGATGATGGCTCTTGAATCAGGATCAGTGCGAAACAAAGTACAGAGTCGGGCTTGAACTTCATGAAGCTTCGGATTCTCCTGATCATGATCATTATAGCGCTCCATCAAAACTCGTTTCTCTGAGAAAGATTTGTACAGAAAGTGTAGTAAAGGACATGGTAGGATAAGTTGTACATCCCAAATATCAAGTAGCTATGTAAAGTACTTTTTTAAGTATGATTGTTCAAAAGAGGTATACAACGACGTTAAGAGTACGGAAATTAAACCTAAATTCACAACGTGATGATGTCAAGTCACAAAGAATTACATGTACAACGTAAGAATCTAAACATCTCCATAAGTCGTTTTTTTGGAAGCTTAATCTACATGGCGATATTTGGATAATTGTTCGAGTTATGACGATTTCAATACTTTACGATCGCCGGTGCTTCACGTATTGAGATTTACAGTAAAAATAATGTGTCTTCTTATTGTAAAACTCTATTTCACAATATGTTTCATGACGTCATACACATCAGAGGATATATTGTTCAAATAATCTTAATATAACAATGTAAGAATATTCAATTTGAAATGTGACAAAATGACCGGCCGACTTCTAACACGGTCGACAGCTTGTGTCACACGTACGGTTGCAATCACAGTTCATACTGTCAAACAATCTTCGATATTACTTCATCATTCGTTATTATTTTATTCTAATGTTTTATTTTCACCCATAACTCATCATAAAACTCAGTGCACTTGAGCTTATTAGGGGGGGGAAATCGAAATTCGATTTCAAGTTGGTTTTTTTTTGTGTGTGTGTGTTGCAACCCATAAGTCGATTAACAAAACATTGCAACAAGACTATGTTTCATGTATTTAAATATTCAAACTACAACATGAGAGACTTAGAAGATGTTTATCGCAAGAGAACACTTAAGGATAACGCACGAATACGTAAGAAGTCTTAGTTTGAAAAATTAGAGAGTTTTTATTGTTATCTGTTGATACGAGGCGACCCCTTACAGTAATATCTAATACAGGTAGTATACAGGTAAGTTGCATAAGACGACTCCATGTCTCACAGGATATAGACAACGGTGTCCATGTGAGAACATGTTAATGATTTACACGTTTTTCATCTTCCATTGCTAATACATGTATGAACGTTTGAACTCCATCAAAACTGTTTGAACATGACCGCTCTGCAAGATGGCGGAAATCGCAGAAAAAAGTAGACAAAACTACAGTCGAACTACCATATGTTTATATTTTGTTTTCATTGATAAGAAGCCACCCACAAGATAAGTAACATAACAAAGAAGGCACTTGTATAATGACTTCGTCAAATATATGGTTTGAATATGGAAACTTACGAATCGGTTAACATTGAAATGAGAGAGAGAACATATCAGTCGACCATTTCCCATGATGAAACGGTTTTGTTGTATACGTATGTTTACATGCATACCAAAAGAAAATTCGAATATTTGAGCATTACCTTGCCAGGTTTAGCTACATTACATCTCGAGTCCTTGTAATCAAAGCTATCGTCAATTCTCAAGAAAGTAGGGTACACTACCAATTTCCTTTGCATGTAAATTGCCCGAAGGCAAACATAAATGAAAAAGGCAGTGTTTAAGATTTTCGTTCCATGTTTCTTAAATGGTGAAAAATATCACGACTGATACAAAGGACACATATCTTCATCAGACGATGAGTAAATTCCGAGTATCTGTAAACCTGCGCTTTGTACCATTAGTTTTATTTTATCTTATTCATTTTATTTGTTTTCAAGATTTCGATATGTTCAGTAATCAATTGTCACGATAAGGGTACTTTCAATAGGTCAGGGACTTTTGGAAGCGCCTTTAACTTTCCGTATATACTTAACGTACATAGACTGCACGTATATAATGTGTGCTTCTTTTGTGATTCTGTAAAGTGGTTTGGGAAACCCCTTCGAAAATAACAACCTTGATAGTAATTTGGTAGACACTGCATCAACCTAAGCTAAATAATGTACGAGGATCATCCTTCATATTTATGTAATTCAGAAATCAATGGTGACAATAAAGAGATAAAGAATGAGAAATAATATGTTTTAGCATAGTAATGTTTACCTTCGAAAAGCTGGTGCATCTCGTGGTCCGTCTCCACAGCCGTGTTTTCGAAAAACATATCATCAACTTCCTCCTTTAAATAGCGTAGAGCATCACTGCAACGTGCATCACGGTATATGAGAAGGGCGCGATGGTACACCTGGGTTGTTAACATAGAGGTTGTACAAAAGACAAACGTTCATACAAACTGAGATTTTGATAGGGTAGAGCCAAATACTGAATTAAACTACATCATAAGGCTGTTTCGTCCAATTACGACTCATCGGTGGTGCTAAGTGCCTAAGATTCAATTCCATGTTATCGGAACAAATTGCATTTTAGATCGGTAAAGCCGATTGGAACCTTCCTTTCATAACTTCGTTTGTGTGTTGGAAATATGAACAATCATGGATTTTAGCAAAGATATAACGAGAAATGCATAGTGTATATAGTGGTTTTCCTTTTAGGCTAAAATGGTTTAGTCAAAATAGAAATAAACGATGGAGGTCATCTTTCTGTAACTGTGTACATTGATTCCCTGAAGGAAGGAGGAGACAACCGATATCATGGCTACCCTTTAATTCAAATCCCTTTTTTCTGTTGAATATCCCAGATACTCAAACAGACAATCTGTATCTTTTGTGTCTGTCCATTTAGGGTGAAGCTGAGTTTGATATCTATACATGCACATATTTTGGGTAAATGTGGTCGTAAGTATCTTTAATTTGCGTTGATGTTTTTAATGTTTTTTTTTTGGCTAGTATGTGATCGTCAAGAACAGTAAAGGATACTGATGTAAACAAATCAACAAAACGGAGGCATTGTAGAAACCAAAAGTCAATTTCACAAATAACACAATGATTAGAAAAGCTGTCCAGGGGAGGAAAATTTCAGCATCATGAAGATGTATTTCTAGGTCAAATTAAAGTATAACATACTTTCAAGAGGAAAACCATATTAAACTTCAAGGCAAGAATAGTTTTCATTTGCGATCGTGAAATCACTGTTTGGATTGACAAATTTGTTAACGGTAGTTGTTGATGAATTGTAACATGCCTGTCCTTCTGGAATAACTGGTGCCAGTCTCCTTTCATACAATAAATGACTGTCTGTGATGTTTCTTTTGTCAATATTTCCCTTCATCTATTTGTGTTTGGCTCCGTAGGTAGAAGGCCCTCCACTCAATTTTTAACATTACCGAAGTCATTGGAGAAAACTGTATAATATCTAAATGGCCAACAAAATTAGCTGTATAACAATATAAACTCACTTCCAAGTAGTCGGCATAAATCTTGAGTCTTCTATGAAGGTCATCATCCCGAGTGCCTGTCACCTGCTTACACAGCTTACTGCACCATTCCGTGTAGCGACTATCATCCCGACATGCAGGAGGCCTTTTGAAATCAGCTGTAAAACGAAAAGGTCAGAGAGTAAGATATGAAAATTGCAACTATTTACTAGCACAAGAAATAGTCTGGTAAGTTAAACTGTATACCAAGTCAGCGACTCGGGCTCTTTCAGGTGTGTCTCCCAAACTTCTAAATTTAGCCCCTTAGCGTCACCGACGAGTTCTAGAAGGACAAAACAGCTGTATGATGCAATTTTAATTCAGTTTTTGACTCTACTGTATCTAACTGAAAATTTTTATCAAAAAGTGCTTTTCACTTATGTGTCTTTAGTACAATCTTTAAGATAGCAGGTGGTCGTCATCGCTGGGTGGCTTAAAGTCCCGATGTTTGCCGTAAACTGCATTCCACGTTATAATTCTTACACATGTACTTGACCCTGTCCTAAAATTATCTGCTTTGTGAAAATTACGAAATTTATCTAATTATGGGAACGCTGCACCTCCATCTCCCTGTCGATTTTTTTTCTTTCGATCACTGGATTTTCCTTAGTCGAGTCATAGGATTCAAGATTTAGGCCCCTCGTATCACTGACGAGTTCTACAAGGACGAAACAGTGGTATGATGCAGTTTAATTCATTGTTTGGGTCTTGTATGCCTACCTCTAAATTTGTACGAAAAAGTGTTTTTCATATTATGTGTCTTTTGTATAATCCTTGAGACCAAAAATATTTTTTCGTCATTTATGAAAAGATACGCTGGACGTTTGAATGAAACGTAGTCAAAACCAATTTAAGAAATATACAGAAGTAGTTGGCTGTGTTGAAAACCAAGACCAAAAGTAGATATATTATTACGTTATATCTATTTGCCTATCATCGTCCAATGACATTAGTACTAGAAGGTCAATTCTATTACACTGCAATTGCAACTAGATCCGCTGTATCGTATACGTAACATCACAATGCTTTTGCAAATTTCCATATTTCAGTAGTCCCTATGACCCAAGTGCAAGATTTACACATTATGCAACCGGATACCTAAATAACATCGCCCCAAAACGTTGTTAGTCATATGATTATCGATACTTAAGTATTTTCTCAATGTATTTATTGTCGACATAATTGAAAGCTGATTTTCCAGTATAACCCATCAGTGGGTTTTATGTGATTTGGTGAAAGGTCCCTATATATTCATAATTACTTGCATTTACCATATGCATGATTGATCTTGGCTTCTATGATTGCCATCATACTATTAATGAGGTCGCCAAACTCCAGATTATGACGTTCCTTTGTCCGGACAATCTCTGAAAATTAATTAATTACACTACAGTACAGTATTAAGGGTGTAATCGGCTTTAATTGGCCAAACAACGTACATGTATAGTGACGTGCAACAAGTCGTTTACTTTTTAAAAATTTTACTATATATTCTTTGTATTTATTACCATTTTCAATGAATTTTCCTGACTTCATTTATGGATTATATGAAATGAAATATTTTACACTTATGGAGAATTGTTCCATGCTTCATCTAATGTTATTTCCGTTGACCAGGAAATAATTTATTTACAACCTGCGATTTTCGAAATGCCATTTTGACGTAGTTTTGGTAAGTGTTTATAGGAAAATGGCGTCACATGCAAATTAGCACTGCAGATATTTTTTATTACTCCTGAAATAACCAAAAGACAATTAAATGAATATTATGAGACGAAAATATGGATATCATTGTACAAAATTGCCAAATATTGTAAAATTCCATTCCTAAACGAAGTCTCGAAAAAAATTGAAAATATAAAAAATATACCAAAAAACGGGAAAAAACGTAAAACGCTTAGTGCATGTCACTGTACCTATGAAAGTATAATGTAGTATTTCTATTTTGAAAAAGAAAATAAAAACTACGATCAATATTTTTTTCAGTTTGCACGTTCCATTTAACCATTTTAAAGATAGCTTCCGAAGAAAGAAATTTAAAAAAAAAATCTTGTTCTTAAAAAACAGTTCTGATAATAAGCCGACCAGAGTAAGTTCTGATGTTATTAATCCCTGAGTTGATAATTTTACTCAAAACATGTCTGGACGTGGCATTAGTTGGGTTTGTCGAGTGCTGCTTCAATGACTTACATGCGAAAGGAGTTTTACTGTATTGTAAACTAGTACACATGGGTGTGAATGTTGTACAGCTATAACAGACCAAATCAATTAACAAAACATAAAGTAATATATGTTGATGAAATCAACTACCTTGACCTACATTAATCCTAACTGTCAATTTCACTGTCATATTTATCAACCTTAACAATGTGTAAAAAAATTACTGGCCTAACCCATATCTGTGGAATTGATTATTTCGTTAAGCTCGTCAATATTTTCCTTCACTGTCACCAACTTCCGAGTATCCATGTTGGTCATTATCTGTTTGACCCAAAAATCTGCCGAATCCTGACATTTAGCGTTTCCTGACCCAAGTGAAGCAGTGAGACCTAAAATCTGCAGTAAAATAAGAACAAAAATCGAATTAGACTCTCAAATTTAGAAATAATTTTTTCATCTATTTCCTCATTATGATAAATACCTTTTTTAAAAAAAATACATACTGTTTTTATAATTTATTGGGTTTACGTTTTATTTGTACATAAATAAAAATACCACGTGAATAAAATACATTGATGATGTCAAAGATAGAACTGTGCTGACTGATAATAGACCACCATCCCCACCCCCACACATATTTTGTTTAAAAAGAGATGCATGCACATTTACACATTGTACCTAATATTCATGTGTCGTAAAATTGAAACTGATACATTTGTTTAGAAGAACTTGTCCAGACAAAATCCTATTTATATTTCCATGGCAACCAATATTTTGCTGGAAAAATAAGTTGCGTGCACATCTATACGTGGTCCTCAACATTCCTGTATAGTTTCAATGAAAACGATGCAGTAGTTTAGGAGAAGTTGTCAGGAAAAACTTCTACGGACAGACAAGCTCATTCTAGTATACCCCCTTCCTTCGTTGCTGGGGAGAACAAATATACAACCTGTGGTAGACGAGCCCCCTCTTGACTGAACTTCAAGTCGAAGTACAACCGCATCACGGTGTTGTAAGGAGTATCCTCGTACGTTCTGTGACACTCATCAAATACAATGAGTGAAAAGTCTTTAAAGGAGACATCATCTGACAGCAGACTATTTACAAGCATCTGGGGTGTAGCCACAATTATATCGTTACTGAAAAATAAAAATTGAATTCGAAATACATACATACACCCTTATACACACACCCTTATACACACATTCACACACATCCACACACACGTACACACCCTCACAGACACACACACACCTTCACACACACACACACCCTCACACACACACACACACCCTCACTCACACACACACCCTCACACACACACACTCACACACACACCCTCACACACACACACACACACCCTCACACACATACATACACACATGTACCTTCATCATATCAAACCACATTATCAATAATTACATGCACATTCTGAAGTGCTAAACAATATATCATTTGGTTACAGATATTAACTCATATCATATCCTGATATAGCATTGTTGAAGTATCACCAGAATGTAAAATGTTCATTATCATTTCACAACTCATTCAATATCCTTAAAAACCGGAAAATCAGACGCGGCTTACTTTCTTTAAAAGGAAAATGTAGGTTAACATTAGAAAAAACCACAGACTTATTTTCAGGATAGGCTTATTTTTCAGAACGGGGTCTTTTCGAGTTTTAGGAATGTAATGGATATCACTTTTTAAACTTTTCGTAATCCTGTGGTGCCATTAGGCACCTGTTTTAGCATTTCAAAAAACGCAAAACATCTACCTTTATTTGCGAAATAAAAAAAATCATATTGTAAAAGCTGTATAAAGAGGAAAATACTTAAACTGTAACAAATGTAGTAATTATGAGGGGTTCCTATGGTCATATATTTCATTCTGTACATGTGTAAATTAAACGATTAAGATATGATTTTTTTTTTCATTTGCAATGACGTTTAAAAGACGTGCAATATAATCTAAAGTTCATCTACGTGTTTGTGACGTGATGATGAAGTTTATACTGGCAGTAAATTTCGTCTCCATTACAGTATTGCTACAATTTACGTCGATTTTAAAGTATTATAAACGGAATGAGTCTTCCTATGATTCAAAAGTAGCATTGTAAAAAGCGTATCTCAATATGATTTTCAAAATGAAATATGAGGTAAAATTTCCCATAATGTACTGAAAATTCAGTAAATATTGATGATGGCGAAAAAACGGGCGATTTCAGATTAGGGTATGATGAGTGTGTATAAACTCACAGCGTGAATTTTGCATTGTTTTTGTATTTTTTTTAAATTGATTTTTTCGTTCTTTTGTACTTATTCTTTTACATGCTCTATTTTCGTTTCTCTATCTATTTTCGTTTCTCTATCTATTTTGGTTTTTTCTGTCATTAATATCTTAATAGGACGTAAATATTATTGGGACCTTCTTCGTGAGAAAGGTTCACATTTGCACAATCACGACTAATCACATCCCAATTAATTTATCTAACATTAACAATGAAGTTTAAACAGAGGTTTCTAAAACTTGATTTTGCTGTTTATATGATGAAATCAATGACCAGTTTTGTGCCATGATGACCGTTTCAATAATTTCTACAACTTCAGTTTATGAACAATTTATCTTAATCACTCACGATTTTACCTAAACACGGACTCGAGTATTATCAAAAAAGTATGCAAATGCTATCATCTCTTTGAAAAATTACCTCCTCAGGTGGACGGACATGCTAACATAATTATCTTTAAGCTGACTGTCCCCGGTCATCACTTTAGCTGAACACTTCAAAACTTCTTGACATCTTTCCTTCTGTTGTGTAGCCAGAGCTGCCGTGGGCACCAGAAAAATAATCTTACCCGGACGGCTTTTCAAGTGGTGCTGAAAACATATCGCCAGTCCTGTCTGTACCTCAACAATTATATTGAATTACTGTTCTGATGGTTATTAACAGCTTTTAGTACATTGTTGCCAGTGAAATAAAGAAATGTATTAATTTGGTAAAAACCTATATCGGATGTAAGCCCGAAAGGAGTACCTAGGGAAAACCCGCTTTGAAGGGAACGGAGCCCTACCTTATCATATCAGTTCCGGGAATCAAACCCGAAAAGTTGAAAGGCGAGTGCGTTGCAAATGCGCCACCCGACCACCCTGTTCGGGCGCAAATGAAGCGAAGGTTAAATATATAATTTCAGAGTAGTTTACTCTGATTTGTTATTTTAAAAAAAAGTTTCATAAGCGATTATTAACAGATAACGGCATAAAATGCTAAAACACAACGTTAAGCAACCTATTCAAAATGGCGTCGTCTTGCTGTCAAGCGCAACGCCAAATTATCTGACGATGAAAAATGGTGCTTTTCTTTCTCAAACATTTTTTAACTTTTATGTTTTTTTCTTCTATTTTTCCAATAAAGATGTCATAAAAAAAACAATGGTTTCCCGTTAAATGATCGAATGTATCAATATGGTTACGTGTAAATATCATATCATACTCGTGAAAAATATAGGGTATTATATATATGAAATTTATATATATATCTTTCATGAAAATTCACAACTGTTTTCAGTTTGTCCAGTTTTCAGTATATATTCAGATATTCAAGTTTCGTTCTTATTACCAAGGAGGTCCTATTTATCTATATTTCCACATATTACGACCCTAAATTGCTTACATTTGTTTCCCAATTCTCTCCTGCAGAAATCTTAATAAGATAAATATACATTGGTGAATTATCAAAATAATATTTAAATTACTAAGTCCAGGAAGAAATGTCAAACTTGACTGAAGAAATAGCATACAAACCGTGTGATACGTCTTAGTCTTATCAATACCCAAATGACCGTAACCAAGTAATTTAAAATGGAGTCTAGAACAACAAATCGAAATCTTGATCGAAAAATCGAAAAAGGCCACAAAGATGAAGCTCATAAAAATTATGTGACTAACATAATATTTGAAAATGTTTGAAACACATCTCAATAAGAAATAAGTGACAGATATAGAGTAATTTGTTCAATAATTATTTACGTCGACTCATTAATGTTAACAACACAAAAGGAAGTGTTGGGAAACAGCAGATTTAAAGAGATGTTGAAATACATAAATGGCGCGTGCTCATAATGTAATCAATTTGTCAGAAATGTGATTCTCTAAACCTCAAAGGTTAACGAGATGATGATTAATACAAATCTTAGATAAAATTACCTCCATGACCCTGATGGCAACATGTGTTTTTCCACTGTTGGTTGGTGCGACAACAATAGAGTTGTGTCCGTCTAAGCCAGGTTGTGCTAGCTCCTTTTGGTAGCTGTTGAAATAGATATCACAGCATAAATATCAAGAGATTTTTTTCAAAATGTTTACTGAAAAAACGTTTGTAAACTGGTATGTTTACTCCCAATGAAACAAAAAGGGAATACACACATATCAACAGATGAAGCTAAAAACAAACAAAAATCCCAACCAACACACTTGAACGTAATAAGGACCGAACCACAAATTCAATAAAACTAGGGTAAGATAGTGGCAAAAATATTTACACGGAGAAAAAGCATGCAAAAGTGCAATCAGTATAAGACCAGGTGTTCTGGAAGGGTAAGCATATCCTACGGCGTTGACGACACCTGTCAGGTATGTTTTGATCAATTCAAGTCAGTAATGTTGCGTTCCCACATAAGATCAAGGGAACCTACCAGAACAATAACCTCTATTGACCTGTAAATAAATAGAATTGATTTGAAATAAAGAATTACATGCCTACATGCCATACAAAGACTAACATGAAGCATTAGTGTTTAGACGAAATAAACAGTTGTTCGCCTATCTGTACAATGAAAGCAATCAATTTAACTATTTGATACCCCATTTATCTATACAATAACCCCATTTATCTGTACAATAACCCCATTTATCTATACAATTACCCCAATTATCAGAAAAATAACCCCATTTATCTCTACTATTACCCTATTTTTCTGTTCAAAAATCCATTTATCTGTACAATAACCCCATTTATCTCTAAAATAACTCCATTTATCTGTACAATAGCATCATTTCTCTATAACATTACCCAATTTATCTGTACATTTACCCATTAAATCTGTTTAAAAACCCCATTTATCTACACAATAACCACATTTATCTCAAAAATAACCCCATTTATCTACACAGTTAACTCATTTATCTATACAATAAACCCATTTATCTGTACAATAACCTCATTTATCTTTACAATAATCCCATTTATCTGTACAATGACCCAATTTATCTCTATAATAACCCCATTCATCTGTACAATAGCATTATTTCTCTATAACATTACCCCATTTATCTGTACAATTACCCATTTATCTATACAATTGCCTCATTTATCTATACAGTTACCTCATTCATCTTTACAATAACCTCATTTATCCATATATTAACCCCAATTATCTGTACATTTACCCCATGTATCTGTACAATAACCCCATTTATCGCTATAATAACCCCATTTATCTGTACAATAGTATCATTTCTCTATAACATTACCCAATTTATCTGTACATTTACCCCATTTATCTGTACAATTACCCATTAAATAATACAATAACCCCATTTATCTATACAGTTACCTCATTTATCTATACAATAAACCCATTTATCTGTACAATAACCTTATTTATCTCTATAATAACCCCATTCATCTGTACAATAACATCATTTCTCTATAACATTACCCCATTTATCTGTACAATTACCCATTTATCTATACAATTGCCTCATTTATCTATATAATAACCTCATTTATCTGTACAATAACCCTATTTATCTATACAATAACCGCATTTATCTATACAATTACACCATTTATCTAACCCTATAAATAATCCCATTTATTTATACAAACACCTATCTATCTGTACAATAATCCTACTTATTTGTCCAATAACAATCTTTATCTGTACTATTACCCCATTTATCTATTCAAAAACCCATTTATCTGTAAAATAACCCCATTTATCTACACAAGTACCCATTTATCTATACAATACCCTCATTTATCTGTACATTACCCCATTTATCTATACAATTATACCATTTATCTGTACAATTATTCCATTTATCTATACAATTATACCATTTATCTGTACAATTATTCCATTTATCTATACAATAAAACTTTTTATCTGTACAATAAACCCATATATCTTTACAATAACCCATTTATCTATACAATAACAACATTTATCTCAAAAATAACCCCATTTATCTACACAGTTACCTCACTTATCTATACAATAAACCCATTTATTTATACAATAACCTCATTCATCTTTACAGTTATCTCATTTATCTTTACAATAACCCCATTTATCTATATATTAACCCTATTTATCTGTACATTTACCCCATGTTTCTGTACAATAACCCTATTTATCTCTAAAATAACTCCATTTATCTGTACAATAGCATCATTTCTCTATAACATTACCCCATTTATCTGTACAATTACCCATTTATCTATACAATTGCCTCATTTATCTATACAATAACCCCATTTATCTGTACAATTACCCATTTATCTATACAATTGCCTCATTTATCTATACAGTTACCTCATTTACAATCTTTACTATATAATAACCCCATTTATCTGTACAATAACCCTAATAAAATAACTCCATTTATCTGTACAATAGCATCATTTCTCTATAACATTACCCAATTTATCTGTACATTTACCCCATTTAACTGTACAATTACCCATTAAATTATACAATAACCCCATTCATCTGTACAATAACCCCATTTATCTATACAATAACCCCATTTATCTCTATAATAACCCCATTTATCTCTACAGTAGCATAATTTCTCTATAACATTACCCAATTTATCTTTACAATCACCCCATTTATCTGTACAATAACCTCATTTATCTTTACAATAACCCCATTTATCTATATAATAACCCAATTTATCTGTACATTTACCCCATGTATCTGTACAATAACCCCATTTATCGTTATAATAACCCCATTTATCTGTACAATAGTATCATTTCTCTATAACATTCCCCCATTTATCTGTACAATTACCCATTAAATTATACAATAACCCCATATATCTGTACAATAACCCTATTTATCTATACAATAACCACATTTATCTATACAGTTACCTCATTTATCTTCACAATAACCCCCTTTATCTATATGATAACCCCATTTATCTGTACATTTACCCCATGTTTCTGTACAATAACCCCATTTATCTCTAAAATAACTCCATTTATCTGTACAATAGCATCATTTCTCTATAACATTACCCCATTTATCTGTACAATTACCCATTTATCTATACAATAACCCCATTTATCTATACAATAACCCCATTTATCTGTACAATAACCCTATTTATCTATACAATAACCACATTTATCCATAAAGTTACCTCATTTATCTTTACAATAACCCTATTTATCTATATAATAACCCCATTTATCTGTACATTTACCCCATGTATCTGTACAATAACCCTATTTATCTCTAAAATAACTCCATTTATCTGTACAATAGCATCATTTCTCTATAACATTACCCAATTTATCTGTACATTTACCCCATTTAACTGTACAATTACCCATTAAATTATACAATAACCCCATTCATCTGTACAATAACCCCATTTATCTATACAATAACCCCATTTATCTCTATAATAACCCCATTTATCTCTACAGTAGCATAATTTCTCTATAACATTACCCAATTTATCTTAACAATCACCCCATTTATCTGTACAATAACCTCATTTATCTTTACAATAACCCCATTTATCTATATAATAACCCAATTTATATGTACATTTACCCCATGTATCTGTACAATAACCCCATTTATCGTTATAATAACCCCATTTATCTGTACAATAGTATCATTTCTCTATAACATTCCCCCATTTATCTGTACAATTACCCATTAAATTATACAATAACCCCATATATCTGTACAATAACCCTATTTATCTATACAATAACCACATTTATCTATACAGTTACCTCATTTATCTTCACAATAACCCCCTTTATCTATATGATAACCCCATTTATCTGTACATTTACCCCATGTATCTGTACAATAACCCCATTTATCGCTATAATAACCCCATTTATCTGTACAATAGCATCATTTCTCTATAACATTTCCCCATTTATCTGTACAATTACCCATTAAATTATACAATAACCCCATTTATCTGTACAATCACCCTATTTATCTATACAATAACCACATTTATCTATACAGTTACCTCATTTATCTTTACAATAACCCCATTTATCTATATGATAACCCCATTTATCTGTACATTTACCCCATGTATCTGTACAATAACCCCATTTGTCTGTACAATTAATCATTAAATTATACAATAACCACATTTATCTGTACAATAACCCCATTTATCTCTATAATAACCCCATTGATCTGTACAATAGCATCATTTCTCTATAACATTATCCAATTTATCTGTACATTTACCCCATTTATCTGTACAATTACCCATTAAATTATACAATAACTCTATTTATCTGTACAATAACTCCATTTATCTATACAATAACCCCATTTATCTCTATAATAACCTCATTTATCTGTACAATAACCCTATTTATCTATACAATAACCCCATTTATCTATACAGTTACCTCATTTATCTTTACAATAACCCCATTTATCTATATAATAACCCCATTTATCTGTACATATACCCAATGTATCTGTACAATAACCCCATTTATCGCTATAATAACCCCATTTATCTGTACAATAGTATCATTTCTCTATAACATTACCCAATTTATCTGTACATTTACCCCATTTATCTGTACAATTACCCATTAAATTATACAATAACCCAATTTATCTGTACAATTACTCCATTTATCTGTACAATTACCTCATTTATCTGTACAATAACCAAATTGATCTATACAATAACCCCATTTATCTGTACAATTACCTCATTTATCTGTACAATAACCAAATTGATCTATACAATAACCCCATTTATCTATACAATTACCTCATTTATCTGTACAATTACCCCATTTATCTGTACAATTACCCCATTTATCTGTACATGTACCCCATTTATCTATATAATAACCCCATTTATCTGTACATGTACCCCATTTATCTATATAATAACCCCATTTATCTGTACAATTATCCACTTACTTGCGGAGTGACAGATCCGATTCTACTGTTGCAACCCGTTCATAGACTATGGAAATTGGCGTCACAGGTTCTAAAATGCAGAAATGAAAATAATGGCAATCTTTGCAATATCGATGTTTCCAGGAAGAACTCCACAAGTACATTGTATGAAGAAACTTAAGCTGTTGAAGTAGATCGGTATCATTGTATTATACATATACATACCTGGCTGAACATTGGTGTTCATTTGGGGTGGCGATCGAACTGGTCCAGATAACTCGTCATGCTCTGTCGGTTCCCGAGGAGTTATTTGAGTCTGGGTAGGGGTTATTGGAGTCTGGGTAGGGGTTATTGGAGTCTGGCTGGGCATTGTTAGAGTAAGGTTGGTTGTTGTTGGAGTCTGGATCGGGGTGGTTAGAGTCTGGTTCACTTGAGCTGCCTCTGTTACTTTTTCATCAACTTCAGACCCATGTTTCACTAGTTTCACCTCCGTCGCCATTTCATCAAAAGCAGAACCTTGTTTCACTAATTTCACCTCCGTCGCCATTTCATCAAAAGCAGAGCCTTGTTTCACTAATTTCACCTCTGTCGCCATTTCATCAAAAGCAGAACCTTTTTTCACTAATTTCACCTCCGTCGCCATTTCATCAAAAGCAGAACCTTGTTTCACTAATTTCACCTCCGTCGCCATTTCATCAAAAGCAGAACCTTGTTTCACTAATTTCACCTCCGTCGCCATTTCATCAAAAGCAGAACCTTGTTTCACTAATTTCACCTCCGTCGCCATTTCATCAAAAGCAGAACCTTGTTTCACATCAGTATTCAAACCTTTCATATCAGACAATGCTTCGCCATAATCTGAAACATTACATTAAAAGTGAATAAGAACTTTATGCAGGTTATCATCCACGCTTCGCTACACCTTAAGAAACTTGTTAAAGAACTAGTCTTCATACAGCGGTTTAATGTACGGAAAGGCACTGAACAGATATGTTCAGCCAATTAAGCCAATGTCCATAAATTATACACTTCAGGTGTTTTTAAAAACAGGCATACTACGAAAACATCAAACAACCAAATCTAACGCAACAGTAAATACTTGAAAAATGCTGAAAATTCAGAAACTCTTTACGTCACATTTACCTGAATCATAATTCTCCATTGTTGCCGAATCAAGTTCTCCGCGATCTCTTCTCTCCGCTTCCTCCTCTAAAATCGCCCTTTCTGTAAAACCGACAGCAAAAATACTACTTATAATAGACATTGTAACTGAATACAGCAACGCTTGAGAGTGCTTAATTTTCGTATGATTTATTCTCATTCATCAATACAGTATGAACAACATCAACATCACAAACAGCACAGCTCACACAACAGCATGGAAGATAGTTGCCATTATAAGAAATGAAGACATAAAGAAGCGTGATAAAATCTTTTAGAAAGAAGCCATCCCATGACTAATTAAAGGTAAACACCTGACCGGAATGACAAATCCGGAAAACGAAAAATTAGATACAGTAACGTGATAACAAATCCGGAAAATTAAAAAATATTCAACAGTAACGTGACAGATATAACTAAACAACAATGATAGTCAAAGGAATACATCATTTATTATTCTTAACATCTTTTCCCTGAAGTTGCATTTTTTAGTGTTTCTAATGTTTGCTTTCTTTAGGATGAACTTCAGTTGCGCAAAATAGACACCTTGAAAATGACATTTGAACATAAAAAACTTTGGCCTGTTTCGTAGATTACATAAGATACTTTCTGTCTGTTTCAAGCTTTCGGCAAAACCGCCAAAAATTCAACCATCGAAAAAAACATAAACGAGAACAAAACTGTAAATATCTTTTACTTACTTTTCATGAAATCTGGATCTATCTCTTGAACCAAATGCTCGCATTCGTTCTCGACCAGTGTCTCCAGAAACAATTTATACCAATCTGTCTTTCTTCGGTGGATACGATCCAATAACATCTCTGATGCAGCCTGTAGTCCTTGGTTTTTGCTTTCGCTTTCAATATTCTCTCTATCCCCTACAATTAACACATCTTTATGTACTAGTGAAGGGAGTATAGCTATTGGATTCATTTTCTCCTTCAATATCGGTCGGAATCTATTGATGAGGTTCATGTTGCGATCAATTTCTTGCACATCCGTTGTTCCTTCCAGAAGATTTAAGAGATATTCATACTCTAAAATGACAAATTATGAATCCGATATTAGAGACAACATGTGATATATATATATATTGTAAACGTAATTTATTTATTTATTTATTTTTAATTCATAAAATAAAAATAATAATTATTCGATAATTATGATATTGATAAAAAACAATTGTCCAGTTGCAGAACCGATGAACCCAAGCCTTAATAGTGGCAAAATGAAATAAAATATATTTAGAAGCCGATTAAAATTCGACATTCTGTTCCAAAGAAGGTCATTCTAATTATATATCCGTCATATCTCTAAGATTGCTTATGCTTTAAAATTTGAAGTACGTACTTTTTACCCTCAGAGCATTCAGCAGCATTCTCCATCTTCCTGGGACCTCTGTCTTTTCAACTAAAACTATCAACAAGCGATCTGTGCCGGCCTCGAAACTGATTTGACGTGTGAAGTTTTTGATGGTTGAAGCATCTTTATCTATAATATACAATAATATTTTTCTGCATGTTCGTAATCAAATAAACAACCCATCAGAACAAATACTCTAAAACACTTAAGATCTTTTGGTACGTAAGTAACAAAAGACAAAAAGGAACTTACATAAGAAATTTTAAAAAAGTTATCCAGTTCTTCTCCAAAAATAGCAGTTACTAATTATGAGAGTTAAAATCCAAAATGGCTGCCGTTGGTTGCTGATGTAGAAGAGTTTGTCGTACCTTTGATTACCAGTTGTGGGGTTTGTTATCTAAAGACAAAACGTCATCAATACATCTGAAGGTGAAATTAAACGATTTGGCAAGGTCGTTGTCACCTGTTTTGATAAGCCTCATATGAAAACAAAAACAAGTCAGCCAACAGAGGGGCGCATTTGGTTCCGAAAGGCATGCCAATAGTTTGTTGGAATTTCAATGGTGAGGTCTATTGTATCTAATTCTAGATGTGTGTTCTTTTACACGATCTTTCTCTTAACGGCTGAGCATTAAAGCAAGTTTCTGTTGGAATTATACGATATATAATCAAACATTTCCTATATGCTTATAATTATTTTGAATACCTTTTCAAATGTCAAAATCGGTTAAAATTTGATATGAAATGCTGCGATGGTTGTACTGTCTCTTGAATGAAATCACCAATTAAGCCGTATGGGCACTGAGGTGTACGGGTAAGAGATACATTTAGCCATGAAATCAGCTTTAGGCTGAATTATGTATGATATAATGCGTTTGGAATATACACTCAGAGTGTTAAAATATACGCTGTATTCTGGCGAGAAGGAAGGAAGCTTCTTGACGTATGCCAAAATAATTGCGCCGCGACGGAAATTCCAAAACTTCAAGGGATATAACAGAAAATTTTATTGATTTTCAGAAAATAAACTTGTTCTTTACCATATATATCATTGCTTATTTCAACAGTTGTTTATATTTTCAAGTTTTTAACGTTAATTTTAAAAAAATATTCTGTCGTAATTCTGCTTGTACTAAAATACAGCGGTTTCCGTGACTGACAGCAAAAATATGTGTGGCAGGTGTATTTCCTCAATGGCAGCAGATAAATAGTATACATGGTCAGTGTCTTAAAATTTAAGCAGTATTTTGGCGAGGGTGAAGATCACGAAAACTAAACAAGTCGAGACATTTTCGTACAGTGAGAAAACTGATCTGAGTAACTTTACCATTACTGTCTACACTTTCAACCACCAAATCACAAAAAAAAAAAAAAAAAACAAACTCTACACTCCAGCCATTTATTTTGTGAAGAAAGAAAGATTGTTCATTCAGACTTGTATTGATTGAAAGATCATCAAAAGCTGTGGTCTATTCATGGTTTTCATAGCACAACCGACAGTCAGGTACCTAGGATGTCCAGGTCTTATTTAGTTTGTAATTGAAAAAGGCCAGAACATGGTGTTTATTTGTTTACGCGTTTGCAAGTGTGTTGTGACGTATCAGGACTGTTAGTCAATCGATCTACCTAAATTTTCAGAATTTCTACAAATTTTTCGTGTCGGTTTGGAGTGTATGATTTCCGTAAGACCAAGAGTAGATGTTTCGTTCATTTTCCTTCAAATCTCCGGAGTAATTCCTGCACGAAGTTCTCAAGTCTGCTGAAGACATACGGAAGGTGATCTTTTAATTCTTGATCTCTAAAGAATAAACATCTCTCTCTCTCTCTCTCTCTCTCTCTCTCTCTCTCTCTCTCTCTCTCTCTCTCTCTCTCTCTCTCTCTCTCTCTCTCTCTGGAGCTCTCTCTCTCTCTCTCTCTCTCTCTCTCTCTCTCTCTCTCTCTCTCTCTCTCTCTCTCTCTCTCTCTCTCTCTCTTTCTTTTTTAAGATTTCATTACTATTAACTCGGGACTGTAAATTCCTCAACCCGTAAAATTTCGTTGGCCATCCATGAAACTGAACACGAAAAATCACATTTCTGCTTAGTGCCTCAGCTTGAATCTAACTCCTGGTTTCAGGGTGATTTACCTTGAGAAGTGAGGAAGTTTAGAATTTCCCTAGAATATCAGTCTTGTGAGTCAGAGGTTGCTTCTGTACCCCAGTGATGACAAAAAAAAATTAAAAAAAGGTTTCATCACTCTTACCTGTTATGCATGTATGTCCCTGAATTACTGATATCCGTTTTCAACTTAGAAATTTTTTCCTAAAAAGGGAATTTGGAAAACCCAAATTATGTGATACCTTATCTCGAGACAGCAAAAAGACATACACACAAATATTATATCCATCGTGATTCGCCGCGGTATTACTTACTTACTAAGTCGTTACTGAACTTCAGCCTGTAGGCTTCTTTATTCAGATCCAGATCCTTCATCTTAATCGCTAGTCTATATTGGTCACTTCTGGTCGGTACGTAGGATGTAAATGTTAATGAACAGCCAAAGAATAGTATAGTTTGTAGGAGAAATCATCAAGTTTGGTAAATTTATAATATATAATTATACTTATAGATGAAAATATCATGTAAATTACCGTGATAATGTACTTCCAGTATTCACAGCAGAAATGAAAGTCTAACGATATTTTATTCTTGTATGTTATGTAAGTCGGCCAAATAACAGAACTGCTACGCCTTAGGTTACAGCACAGGAATAACAAACAGTGCGATAGTTCAGTGAATACGGCAGCTCGTGTAACGTCAGATGATCAGATACGGGTCACAATAACACTTCAATGTTCTTTTAAGCTCAAGAACTTATGTCACAATAATGTAAGACACAAGTAAAAGGTTCTGTTCATCACAAAATTCACAATACAGTAATCGAAAACCTACATATTGCTTTCATTTTTACTTTGACAAAAGCCGGATTCACTACGGAGGCAAGCGATTGACAAGTTAAATTATGACGCAATATCTTGACGAGTGTTGATACACATGTGTAGTAGGTCTGGGGACCTCACATACAGTGTATCATGTGTCACCAGGAGCCCCCCCGGTCATGGCCATGAAGGGTTTCTAACCTAATACTGTCGTCAGATATAATCGATGGCGAAAACGTTGAGTTGTCTCCCCTGGCCAAGTAGTGTAATCGATTGATAAAGTATCTTTTTATTGGTTTTTGATTTTAAATGGTTGTTTCGAATACAACCGTCCGCGTTCTAGTTGTGTACTGCTGTACGTGACCTTGATATTTATCAAAGTAAACATATTTTGATTGTGACCAAACGAACGAGATAACATGATCTGGAATATCAGAGACATATATAAATATACGTCTCTGGGAATATAAATCAGCTGTATGATGAGAAAATACCATGAATTGTCACCTACCTCAGTGCTCTGCCAGGATTAACTTACATTAACAATGCGTATCATAAATGAGGTACAAAATCTGAAGCTCTATGCTACTAAAATGACAGCTGATATATAGGTCACCTTAAGTACAATCCACATACCTGATAGTACGTCCCCCAACAACGTTAGCAAATCTGTTGGGATTAATTTTCCAATCAGTGGTTGATGGAAGACTTTTAACTTTTCTCGAAGGTATTCATCATCATTTGTGGATGTTTCCATCGTCATAGTTAAGAATTTCAGCTGAACACTGAGCTCACAATATACCTTCTCGACAGCACATAACAACACTGGTTTTTCTTTGAAATTTATGACGTCATCGATGTCGGATTTACTTTCACTTTCGTTTACAAATATACAATGTACATGTATATCATACTAGATTATGTAACCATATTCACTTTCGACGACACGGCACGTGTTCAAGCAGACAAAACCATGTTTTTATTTTAAATATCTGAATGAATACATGATTTTTTTTAATAGTGTGACAATTGCCGTTTGTCATCATGTTAAGTTTAGGGCCGGTCAGTGGGCCTTGTATAATTTTACCATGAGAATTAAATATAACGCAAACAAAACTTATTTGTTCTCTGTAAAAGTGTATTCAGGATAAAATGGTAACAAATAATGGTTGAACAGACAAGGGGGCAGAAAGTATAAGAATAGCTGAGCGACCGCTACATGTCAAAAACACGTCCACCCGGCGCTACAGGTGAGCTCAGTCTAACGAACAAAGGACAACGATTTACCAAGACAACTTATGGCGAAAAGACTTATACACTCTTAGGTAAACAGCACATAACGAGAAGAAACACTTAAAACAAACTTGACAACATTATTTGACAGCTCACACAAAAGGACACTTCGACCCGCGCAGGTAAACAACAGAACAGGTTGTGACCAGGCGTAGCGGCTAAATATAGCTCGTTCCACCTGGACAGCGGAGAAACCACATGTTACAGGTAAACAATAACACTCGCACGCGCACGTCACTCACAACAGACGAATCTACACAGTTATCCATGAAATAGACAGCTGAAAAAAATGAACTACGTGACAACAGAAATCAATTTGGTGCATATTTTAAAACTCTCATTTAATTCTTATCTTTTCATTTTCATTTATTAATGAACATATTTTTGTAGTTTCAACTATGAAAAAATCTCGATGAGATCGGATCTAGATTGTATGGAATTTATTATCTGATAAGAGTGAACCTTATTTCGTTTGTTTGTTTGTTTTTTTTACCTTATGGACCAACACGTGACTATCAAGCGATCAGGTTTGCTGAAAGCGTCAAGTGCCGTGTTTATATTTTTCCTCCATATAAAATATTTGATTTCCTATCTTATTCCAAATTTTACTATACCAAGTGCTGGAATTGTAAATATTCTTATGCTGTAATTTTAATTTAAAGAATGCATGCCTATGCCTATTTTATCTGAATAAATTTCATATCGATTAGTTTTGTCGAATTTTTAAACAGCATGATGGTTAGCATGTACATAATACTATAAAAACCAAAAGTGCACGTGTATATATCGACTTGTACAACCATTGACCTGTGAGTGAACACATTTTGGTTTAACTGATTTTGTTATGTAACTCGCGAAGGTCTATTTTTGTTCAGACGAATCCAAAAGCAATGACGTCACTGATTTTCCTAGCATGTCCAAAACGAAAGTTCACATTACAAAAAACGGCGACAACAGAAACGATTTATGATCAAACACAATATTCACATAAAATTCATACTCGTTCTTTAAAAGATCTCCTTCATTTAGTTTATAATAGCATACTTTAATTCTGCAATGCCGAAACCGAAAGTGAAAGTAGGTATTGACAAGGTTTATCAAGAAAATGACGTCATGACTCCGAGGCCGAGGTACAAAAAAACTAGGATTTCCCCAAATTACTGTTGTGCTGTCAAAAGAGAATATTGAAAGATGGCGACAGCAGAGATGTCTGTGGAAGAGTTGATCGAAAAAAGAGTTTGCTTGTTCCAAGCCCACATCATAGAATGTGTTTTCGCCCATGAATTGTTGGTATCACTAACTTTTCTAGATAAAGGTAAGTACGATGCACTGCCTACAACACACGAGATAGTGGACAAAAACCCATGACCCTATATATATGTACGTAATATACATTTACGTCAGGGGCGTATAATATGTACATGTAGAGGGATCAGAAACTTCCTGTATAGATACAATGGTGATTTAAATATCTGGCTTTAGCTTTTGTGCTCATTCACTGTGCCACGAAGTCATTGAAATGCTCAATTCTGACTGTTATCTAAATTAAGATAAACTACCTGTGTTCTATTCAGAATAACATAAATAATCAATATAGACTTGTCATTTCCATGGTAATCAACTCAACTAGATAAATTCTTCTGTTCAGTGTCATTCAGGATTAATGTGACTAAACAACTGGTTCATTATTACATGTCAGTATATGGCACTTATGATGTACTGTGTGCTATTCATACCAGTGTCAATTAAGATGAATTAAATTAACTGCCTTTGGATTATAAAAATTCAAAATAACATGTTTTCTGTACTACAGGCTTATAATATTAATAATAATCATAAATGCACTTTTTAAGTTCTTTACTGTTGAAATAAATACCCACAGTTTAATATTTAACTTTTAGTAAGTAAATTTAGTTCTAAAATATACATACCAGGTACTCAACATGTTTTCTTATAAAAGGGTTGAATAATGAAATTAGAGGCTGTATTGCTGATGGCACTGGTAACTGTAGCAGAGATGTCTTGCTGTGCTCTGCCCCCATCAGTTGTCAAGCTTATCACTAATAGGAAGGAGTTGTAAAAAAACATCCTGACCCTGGTGGAGTTTGAACTAGTGACTTTTTAGTCTCTAGTCCGACACTCTACCAATCGACTAAAGGGAAATTCCCATTAGCCCAGACTTGTAAAGCGACCAGTACTCTTAGTTTCCACATCATTATAGTGAAACAAAGGGAAGCAATTCTGGGAGATATCAGAATGTGTACAGTCCTGCTGCTAAGCTTGGTGGTACTTATCGCAAAGATCGAAACTTTTGTGGCATGTCAGCTAATTCAGCCGTGTTAGCAGTATTACAGCCCAAGACAGTCTTTGAAAACTAATACAATAAAGCTTATAGCGGCAGTTCAATATTAATATAAAGACGACTCTTGATGAGGAATAAGGAGCTTAGACTTTTAATGGTAATTATGTATATAACTTAGCGTTGTACATTCTGTAGGTAAAAAGCAAGAAATAAGACAAATAAAAGAACGAGAAGGAGATATCAAAGCCATGGAAAAACTTTTGGAAATCATCAAGGAGACACCAGAAAAAGGGAAGTGGACCACGTTTGTTCAAAGTCTTTTAGAAGCAGGTAAATTTGATTGATATAATTCTGCAATCCCTTGGAAATGAAGTTGGGCGATCTTAATCACAAAGATTATAATTGAGGTTTACCAAATGTTGGGCAACATAAAAATCTTACACCTACAGTTGCAATCTCCTATCTTGATCTGAAATGAGTAAATAGTTAACTTGTCCAAATGTTTGCTCTATGACTGGTCAGTAATGTTGACACAACATCATGTATCTCTTTGCCTGAGTATAGAGATACATTGTATCTCTGTCTACATATATATATCACACAGAAGTGACTGATTATTTTGCTCCCTTGTTTTTTCATGTCATTAGGATACTGCACTTGTTGTAAAAGTGAATTCAATATTTTACATTATCATCAATAGTGTATAGAATGCCCAAACAAAATGCAAAATACATTTGTATAATAACAATTTTCCCCCTTTCAGTTTGGGTAGGACCTAGTTTTCTACCCTATTGGACAGAAATATCCACATTTTGGTGAGGGAAAGATACCTCTATCTTGGCGGGATAAGACAGTCAGCATGCACAGAATATAAACACATGCTGTTGTTAATTTGAGACATAAGAGATGTGACTGATTGATGATAAGAGTTTTAAGATATAACTTCAATATTTTTGTAAGACAGTATCTGATTATTTTGTTTATAAAAACCAATTTTAGATGCATAATGACAATGATTTACAATGTATATTGTAGATTACAAATCGGTCAAAATAAAAGTTGCTTGATTTTGTGTCTATATTTGTCAGCATACATCTGTATTGTTGTACAATTTAAATTATTTTTGAGATAAGGTGTAGAAAAAATATTATTCCTTAGTTTGAGGGTAGGACAAAGAAATCTCTATCCATGAAGTAGATTCACGTCTGTCTAACCGGAGCCTTTTCCTGAGAGTTTGACTGTCAGGAATCTCCTCCGAGGGTAGAGATTTCTCTGTCATATCCTGAAGCTAGGGAAAGCTCCTATCAATCTTCCAGAATGCACAAGAGCTTCGCATTGGAAAAATCATGAATCCTTAAATCAGGCAAATTATGCCATTAATTGTTGTATCTACAGGGTTATAACTGCATTTGTCTTCATAAAAACGTGACTTTTCATATAGATAGTGAGTGTACATACAGTCATGAAGGTATTATGTAATGTGATACTGCATGCTTTCTCATAACATAACATACTATATGTAAACGTTGCTCTTTTTGCCATGCAATAGGGTAAAAATATTTTAAAATGAAGGATGGGCTAGAGTGAACTTGACATGTAAAGCTGAACTTTTTTACTTGTATTTTAAGTCATTAATTCAACACAAGGCAAAAAATAAGTAGCTACTTCGCTAGAATGAGTGTTTCCCAGTAAAAGAGTTTTTCTATTTTATTTTTTTTTTTGGAAATTACACACTCCACAGTGTGCATTAGTGCACAAAGTGAAATTTGTAGTCACTCAATGTAAATTAACGTTGATACATATGATAAACACAGATTATTATGGAACATTTCAAAATCAAATTACCTTAATTAACATTTATTGTTATAATAACAAGTTCAACTGAACTGCCATATTTTACTGGAAGGACTGGTAAGGCCACCTAAGTGTCATTGACAAAGCCACGACAACAAAATAGATCTAAGAGTAAATAATTAAATTGATGTCTTTATTAACATTTTGAAAATTAATACATAAATGATGCAACATTACATCTAAATGTCTTACATGTCTTTTTACATTTATTCCACCATGTCCATATAGAATTTAAGGATGTAAATAGATATTAATATTGATAAATACACAGATTTGGTATCAGCTGCAGGAGAGATTAATGTAAAGCAAGTTTAAAATACATTTAACATAATGTACAGTTTAACTGGCCAGTCTGAAATATTAATATTGCTCTAGATATGATAATTCAAACCTCATTGAACCTTTTTTTTTCGTCACAGATTTCGAGCATTTAGCCACTGCTCTGAAAGGTGGGGAGGATATTGACAGTTTTGGCTCATCCCAACACCAAAAGCTCATAGAATTGCTGAGTCCAAGTCTTATAAAGAAATTGAACCCTATGAACTTAGTTCAGTGTTTAGTGAGCTACGGTGTCCTTAGCAGAACAGACAAGGAACAAATTGAGGCTGAGAAATACAGTCGTGGTGATATTGCAGCATCAGTGGTTCTTCTTGACCGAATCCCAAGGAGACACAAGGAATGGTATGATTTCTTTCTTCAGGCAATTCATGAGGCTGAGGACGGGAAGCAGGATGACGTTATAAAAGAAGTGGATTCCCTCTTTCTTGAAAGTAAGTTAACAAATGGCTCCTGTCAATTTGTTTCGACTCACAGCTCAAATAATCATTAGATTTTGTGTAATAGACATAACTAGCATATAAAAGCTTTGTTAACTTTTTAGCCTGCCATCATCAGATGATGGACTGTTAATAAACCTGTGTCTTTGTCCATCTGTCCATCCTGAAACATTACTGTTGTTATTGCTATTTCTTGAGAAGTACCAAATGGATCTTCTTCATGCTTCATGTGTTGGTTCCCCTTGGTCTCTTATTGTGCATTGCCTCATTTTCAGACTGATCCAGAAAACAACATGGCCACTTTGGATTTTGACAGTAGAAGATTGCTATTACTGTTTCAGGAAAAGTTTTCAAAAATCCCCAGTAGAATCCCTTTTGGTCTGCAGCTGAGCAGTATTTCATTTCGGAATCTATTAGGAAAACAAAGATGCTGACAGGCAGCCATTTTGAATTTTGACTATGAAAACATGTTATAACTATTACGCAAGAATTACTTAATGGATCTTCTTCATTTTGAGGTTCTGCTTGGTCCCTAGTTTGAATTTGAGATTGATTAGAAAAGCCAAAACTGCATGGCTGTCTGGTGACCATTTGCATTTGGCAGTAAACTATTTAAAGTGTTTTCATGGCTGTGTCTTAATAGGAAATTTTAAATGTCTCATAATTAAAAGAAGAAATGGAAAAAAATCCAACTTTCAAAGAAAAAAGAAATTATCAGATGATGGTGGGTGCGGAGATCACTCTGGAATCTCTTTTTGTACATGTATATAAATTTTAAATATATCATTTTTTTAATAAACACCACATTAATTTTTGTCTCACAGATGCAGTCGGCTTACTCTAGAGACATTCTACATAGTGGCAGCTATTGCAAATATGTTGGAAATTGAAGTTGTTGGGATAAATGAACACACTAGGTTTTCACCATTGAATTGCTTTGATACATGTGCAAGTTAGTAGAAAAAATCTTTCCATGATGTATGATTTATAACTATAGACATGATGTCGTAAATCATCTAAAACATTGGGTGGATGTTGTTCCTTGCAAGGTTGTTTGATTTTGGTGTTTTTATGGAGGGAGGAATTCTGACTATCAACTGTGACTAATACAAGTATAAAATCATGGATGGTCAGAACCCTTTGGACTTTGTCAAGTGCAAAGTCAAATAAACTATCTGATATTTAAGAATATGCTAATATATTTCTCAAACTTCTTCAAACACCTGCTTATTTTGTTTTTGAAATTAGCTTTTGTCTGTATTTGGTTTTCTGTTTAAAAATGAAATAAAAGAAAAAGGACAGAATATATCTTTATTTTTCATTTGTGCTTCACTAAATGCTATTTTTCCAATAAAAAGTAATTCAGGTATATCATGAAATGTAAATATGGACTTTGTTTTAGAATATGAGGCAAAGCAAAGAGACAATCCAACAGCAAAAAAGTATAAACCTCCGTACACCAGTCCTCTGCCATCAATGAGCTCCATTACTATGGAAAACTACGCTTCAGGTACATCCCATCAGACAAACTACAGGAACATGTATATTGTGTTTATCTTGTAACAAGTCCAGATGGCTGACAGAAAATATTTTAATTGAGTAGATGGTGGGCTTACTACAGGACAATATATATATCTTAATTTGCAGTTTTCCTGATTATAACTGCAATATATAGGACTGGGCTTATTACAAGACATGGACATATCACTGGATAAATACAAGTCTTCCAAACAGCCCCTGGTGTCTTTGTCTAGTGAACATCAACAGTTATGGGTGGGCTTATTACCAGATATGGACATATCACTGGATAAATACAACTCCTCCAAACAGCCCCTGTAGTCTTAGTCTTGTTAACATCAACAGATATGGGTGGGCTTATTACCAGACATGGACTTATCACTGGATAAATACAACTCCTCCAAACAGCCCCTGTAGTCTAAGTCTAGTTAACATTAACAGATATGGGTGGGCTTTTTAATGAATGATATCGAAAGAGAATGTAGAAGAGAAATAAACAGGCAGTGAATTATGGTTATGGCAATGGGAAAGGGGATGGGAAACGTATGGATAAGATGGAAAGATGAGCAGTGGAATGGTGAGGAGAGGTTGGGGAAGGTCTTAAATGAAAAGGGATGGAAGAACTTAGATGGAGGAACAAAAGGTAAATTATCATAGTAACAATCAGGGTCTATCAATAGAGATATATACATGTAGAAGGAATCAGGGTCTATCAGTAGAGGTATATACATGTAGAAGGAATCAGGGTCTATCAGTAGAGATATATACATGTAGAAGGAATCAGGGTCTATCAGTAGAGATATATACATGTAGGAGGAATCAGGGTCTATCAGTAGAGATATATACATGTAGAAGGAATCAGGGTCTATCAGTAGAGATATATATATGTAGAAGGAATCAGGGTCTATCAGTAGAGATATATACATGTAGAAGGAATCAGGGTCTATCAGTAGAGATATATACATGTAGAAGGAATCAGGGTCTATCAGTAGAGATATATATATGTAGAAGGAATCAGGGGATATATCTATCAGTAGAGATATATACATGTAGAAGGAATCAGGGTCTATCAGTAGAGATATATATATGTAGAAGGAATCAGGGTCTATCAGTAGAGATATATACATGTAGAAGGAATCAGGTATATCAGTAGAGATATATACATGTAGAAGGAATCAGGGTCTATCAGTAGAGAGGTATATACATGTAGAAGGAATCAGGGTCTATCAGTAGAGATATATATATGTAGAAGGAATCATATAGATATATACATGTAGAAGGAATCAGGGTCTATCAGTAGAGATATATACATGTAGAAGGAATCAGGGTCTATCAGTAGAGATATATACATGTAGAAGGAATCAGGGGTTATAAGTAGAGATGTAGAGGGAATCAGGGTCTATCTGTAGAGATATATACATACAGAAGGAATCAGGGTCTATCAGTAGAGATATATACATGTAGAAGGAATCAGGGTCTATCATCTATCAGTAGAGATATATACATGTAGAAGGAATCAGGGTCTATCATCTATCAGTAGAGATATATACATGTAGAAGGAATCAGGGTCTATCAGTAGAGATATATACATGTAGAAGAAATCAGGGTCTATCATCTATCAATAGAGATATATACATGTAGAAGGAATCAGGGTATATCATCTATCAGTAGAGATATATACATATAGAAGGAATCAGGGTCTATCAGTAGAGATATATACATGTAGAAGGAATCAGGGTCTATCAGTAGAGATATATACATGTAGAAGGAATCAGGGTCTATCAGTAGAGATATATACATATAGAAGGAATCAGGGTCGATCAGTAGAGATATATACATGTAGAAGGAATCAGGGTCTGTCAATAGAGATATATACATACAGAAGGAATCAGGGTATATCAGTAGAGATATATACATACAGAAGGAATCAGGGTCTATCAGTAGAGATATATACATGTAGAAGGAATCAGGGTCTGTCAATAGAGATATATACATACAGAAGGAATCAGGGTATATCAGTAGAGATATATACATACAGAAGGAATCAGGGTCTATCAGTAGAGATATATACATGTAGAAGGAATCAGGGGTTATAAGTAGAGATGTATACATGTAGAAGGAATCAGGGTCTATCAGTCTAGTAGAGATATATACATGTAGAGGGAATCAGGGTCTATCAGTAGAGATATATACATGTAGAAGGAATCAGGGTCTATCAGTAGAGATATATACATGTAGAAGGAATCGGGGTATATCAATAGAGATATATACATGTAGAAGGAATCAGGGTATATCATCTATCAGTAGAGATATATACATATAGAAGGAATCAGGGTCTATCAGTAGAGATATATACATGTAGAAGGAATCAGGGTCTATCATAGAGATATATACATGTAGAAGGAATCAGGGTCTATCAGTAGAGATATATACATATAGAAGGAATCAGGGTCTATCAGTAGAGATATATACATGTAGAAGGAATCAGGGTATATCAGTAGAGATATATACATGTAGAAGGAATCAGGGTCTATCAGTAGAGATATATACATGTAGAAGGAATCAGGGTCTATCAGTAGAGATATATACATGTAGAAGGAATCAGGGTCTATCAGTAGAGATATATACATGTAGAAGGAATCAGGGTCTATCAGTAGAGATATATACATATAGAAGGAATCAGGGTCTATCAGTAGAGATATATACATGTAGAAGGAATCAGGGTATATCAGTAGAGATATATACATGTAGAAGGAATCAGGGTCTATCAGTAGAGATATATACATGTAGAAGGAATCAGGGTCTATCAGTAGAGATATATACATGTAGAAGGAATCAGGGTCTATCAGTAGAGATATATACATGTAGAAGGAATCAGGGTCTATCAGTAGAAATATTTACATGTAGAAGGTATCAAGGTCTATCAGTAAAGATATATTGAAGTAGTTAGGATCTGTGACTTTAAATATATATATATATATACAAATGTTAAAGGGATTTGTGTCGATGAATAGAGATACACAACTGTTAAAAGAATCAGGACTGAAGATACAGTAGATTGACTGACACTCTGTTTTTGTTGTCAGGATCTGGAGGAGCTTGTTCCATAGGAAACCTCAATGCTCCTCCTCCTTCAGACAGTACTTCCTTCACCAGTGAACTGAATGAAGGACCATCAATGATGGACAGGTATTCTGGTACCCCATCTATGAGTCGTGACCTGTCCAACCAGATGCACATGCTCTCTGATATTTTTAACAATATTGTGAATAATGAACAACAGCCAGAGCAGACATCAGTGAAACAGATTGCAAGCATCTCTGAAAACCATCCAAACAGGAGTGGTCCAATGTCTCTGTTGTTCGATTTCTCAAACATTTCCATCCCTTCCAATCGTACCCAAGCACCTTCAACAGCTTTCAGCAGAAGTTCAGAAGCACCGTCACTCACAAGTTCACTATCATCAAGGTCAAGTAGAAGCTTGACAACTGGAGCACCAATCAATGGGCAAGGAAGAGGCAGAATACTGCCAAACACGAGGAACGTGACAGGGGCGGATTTGGAGAACCAACTAAATGATACTAAGGAGGCTGTTGAAAAAGCTCTTGATCTTCGAGAAGAAAGAAATATACGTGTATCACAGCAAACAGACGGTATGGTTCAACAAGGAGGAAATAAGGGTTTGCAATATCAAACACAACTTATTTAATAAATACCTACCTACAAAGGCCACTGGTTTTTGGTTCTACTTTAGTCTGTTCTACAATCTGAAGCTCTAAAGTAGGCTTTATCTGCTATAAACAGCACTTTTCAGTGTATGATTGATGGGCCTTTATAGACGGGTTTTACCATGTGCAATTATTTTCACACTTTGTTTTGAAAGATTTGTGTGTCTAACACAATTTTTAATTTTTACAATTAATTTATCACTTTGTTTTGAAAGATTTGTGTGTGTAACATAATTTTTAATTTTTACAATTAATTTATCACTTTGTTTTGAAAGATTTGTGTGTCTATCTTTGTGAATCAGAAAGTTGATTTCTGATTACTTCATTTTCAACAAAGAAAACTTAATGTGTGATATGATACAAAATTAATTTTTTGAGAATGTTTACAAGTGTTTTTAACTTCAGAGTCTGAGTCGAATGTGGACAACTGTGCTTACCAAATGGACAAGGAGTCAGATGACCCAACCTCACATGAAACATTGAAATTGCGTGACTACCAGATGGAGCTGGCGCAGTCGGGACTTAATGGTCGAAACTGTATCATTGTGGCTCCAACAGGAAGTGGCAAGACCCATGTGGCCCTCAAGATCATACAGGTATGAATGAAGGCTTTTAAGAACATGTAGATATTAATGATGACTGTTAAGATTATACAGGTGTTAATGAAGGCTTTTAAGTTCATAAGAGCATTTTTGAAATTTTAAGCAATTGCGTACTGCATTATTTCACAGGTCTTATATTTTGCTAGAAACATTCTTCATTATGTTTAAATGGGCAACACATTTCCTCAGAGTAAAAGTTACTGGATGGGCCTGCATTTGTATTTTGTATATGACATGAGAATAACCTATCCCTACTGAGGTCAGTGTGTGTTATTACTTAGAAAGCATATATCATGGAGAATCCTGTGGTTGTGTCTGTGAGGAGAGCTGAGACTTTACCTTTATTGTTCTGGATATCATTTGATGGATCTCCCATATCTTGTTCAGTGAGGTAGCCACCGGCAGCTCCAGGAGGTCTCACATAAAAAAAAACCTGCCTGTTCGCAGAGAATAAATCCAACAAACAAACAAATGAAACATCTTGGAGTTAACTATTAACGCTGATAAATTTTGTATTTTAGGATCATTTTGAGAGGATGAGGGGAAGAAGGAACCCTAAAGTAGCATTTCTGGTGGAACAGAATGCACTGGCAGAGCAACAGGGTCAACAATGTCAGGCTTATCTCACAAAAAATGTCAAGGTCATCACCGGAGAAACACAAAGGACAGAAAATTTCCAAGAGCTGTCAGTATGGATACAAAGGTACAATGCATAACACACTCCCTTCCCTATATAATAAAGCTACAGTATTTTTGCTCCCCAAATTTTTCCGAGGGAGAATATATATTAAGTCGCCACTTTGTTTGTCCTTCCATCTTTTCATGTCCGTAGCATGACATTTTACACAGTTAAGCAAAGATCATGAATTTTGGGACATACATTGGTCATACTAAGGCAATGTGCAGTGTACCAAATTATGGGCCTGTGACCCTTAAACTACAGAGTTATTGCCCTTGGTTGAGATTTCATGGCCAGAGCAAAACTTTACCGACATTTATAATAGGATAATAACATTTGGTGTATACATTGGTCATACTAAAAGGATGTACACTGTACCAAATTCAGTTTCTGAAATCTCTTAATTACAGAGTTATTGCCCTTTGTTTAAATTTGTGTCCAATAAAATTGTTTATAGGGAGCATCCACCAGTTTCACTGTCAGGTAAATTATGGCTATTTCAGCAAATATCTTATTTGCAGTTAAATCTGAGTGAAAAATGAATGTGGTCCAAATCACAAATTGTCAACATTTAAAAAAATATATTTCAAACGTTAATACTGAATAATTCAATAGGTTTTTTTTTCATTAAACTTTTATGTAATTATGTTAAAATACAGTTCAGGTAGCAATTTCTGCTCATATCCAATAATTTAAAGCAAAATATATAGATGTTGAATTTTAAAAATGGCAATACATTGAAGTTGTAAGTAGAAATTATCATTGTAGTAGTAGAATGTAGAGAGTTATTAGCCTTTGGTTAACACGGTTTCAGTTTGAAATTAATGTTTCACTCGGAAAATTGTTTTTATTAAAAAAGCAAAAAAGGAAAAAAAGTTATTGAAATTTAATTTTTCAATAGGCGCGATGTTCTAGTGGTGACTGCCCAGCTGTTAGTGAATGCTTTGCTGGAAAAGAACGTGAGAATCACTGATTTCTCACTGTTGGTGTTTGATGAATGTCATCACACCAATCTTAAGCATTCATTCAACCGAATAATGCACCATTATATTGATCACAAGCTGGATAGAGATGCAGACCCGAGACCTCTACCTCAGGTATTTATAATGTAATACTCAGTCACAGTATGACTGACTTAACTTCTGAATATATGTCTTCTGAATATATGAATTTCTCATCAGCTTATCTCACAGAATAGATGCCTCTTTCTCACAAAGCCAAACCCTTTATTCTCTTCAGCTTTTTTGTAAGAGCAAGAGGCCTCTAAGATTACTTCTCTTTAGCTTTTTTTTTAAGATATCCAGTGGTCGTTTTCTCTTCAGTTTATTTCACAGAGAAAAATGCCTCCTTCTCTTAATTCTCTTAAGCTTACTCCAAACCCAGAGTTCCATTTCTCTTCACCATATTTTAAAGAACCCAGAGCCCCCTTTTCTTAAGCTTATTCCAGAACCAGAGGCCTCTGTCACATTACATTAAGTTAAGAAATCAGAGGCCCTTTTTCTCTTAACCTTATTCCAGAACCAGAGGCCTCTGTCACATTACATTCAGTTAAGAAATCAGAGGCCCTTTTTCTCTTAACCTTATTCCAGAGCCAGAGGCCTCTGTCACATTACATTAAGTTAAGAAATCAGAGGCCCTTTTTCTCTTAACCTTATTCCAGAGCCAGAGGCCTCTGTCACATTACATTAAGTTAAGAATTCAGAGGCCCTTTTTCTCTTAACCTTATTCCAGAGCCAGAGGCCTCTGTCACATTACATTAAGTTAAGAAATCAGAGGCCCTTTTTCTCTTAACCTTATTCCAGAGCCAGAGGCCTCTGTCACATTACATTAAGTTAAGAAATCAGAGGCCCTTTTTCTCTTAACCTTATTCCAGAGCCAGAGGCCTCTGTCACATTACATTAAGTTAAGAATTCAGAGGCCCTTTTTCTCTTAACCTTATTCCAGAGCCAGAGGCCTCTGTCACATTACATTAAGTTAAGAAATCAGAGGCCCTTTTTCTCTTAACCTTATTCCAGAGCCAGAGGCCTCTGTCACATTACATTAAGTTAAGAAATCAGAGGCCCTTTTTCTCTTAACCTTATTCCAGAGCCAGAGGCCTCTGTCACATTACATTAAGTTAAGAAATCAGAGGCCCTTTTTCTCTTAAGCTTATTCCAGAGCCAGAGGCCTCTGTCACATTACATTAAGTTAAGAAATCAGAGGCCCTTTTTCTCTTAAGCTTATTCCAGAGCCAGAGGCCTCTGTCACATTACATTAAGTTAAGAAATCAGAGGCCCTTTTTCTCTTAAGCTTATTCCAGAGCCAGAGGCCTCTGTCACATTACATTAAGTTAAGAATTCAGAGGCCCTTTTTCTCTTAACCTTATTCCAGAGCCAGAGGCCTCTGTCACATTACATTAAGTTAAGAATTCAGAGGCCCTTTTTCTCTTAACCTTATTCCAGAGCCAGAGGCCTCTGTCACTTTACATTAAGTTAAGAAATCAGAGGCCCTTTTTCTCTTAACCTTATTCCAGAGCCAGAGGCCTCTGTCACATTACATTAAGTTAAGAATTCAGAGGCCCTTTTTCTCTTAACCTTATTCCAGAGCCAGAGGCCTCTGTCACATTACATTAAGTTAAGAATTCAGAGGCCCTTTTTCTCTTAACCTTATTCCAGAGCCAGAGGCCTCTGTCACATTACATTAAGTTAAGAATTCAGAGGCCCTTTTTCTCTTAACCTTATTCCAGAGCCAGAGGCCTCTGTCACATTACATTAAGTTAAGAATTCAGAGGCCCTTTTTCTCTTAACCTTATTCCAGAGCCAGAGGCCTCTGTCACATTACATTAAGTTAAGAAATCAGAGGCCCTTTTTCTCTTAAGCTTATTCCAGAGCCAGAGGCCTCTGTCACATTACATTAAGTTAAGAAATCAGAGGCCCTTTTTCTCTTAACCTTATTCCAGAGCCAGAGGCCTCTGTCACATTACATTAAGTTAAGAAATCAGAGGCCCTTTTTCTCTTAACCTTATTCCAGAGCCAGAGGCCTCTGTCACATTACATTAAGTTAAGAAATCAGAGGCCCTTTTTCTCTTAACCTTATTCCAGAGCCAGAGGCCTCTGTCACATTACATTAAGTTAAGAAATCAGAGGCCCTTTTTCTCTTAACCTTATTCCAGAGCCAGAGGCCTCTGTCACATTACATTAAGTTAAGAAATCAGAGGCCCTTTTTCTCTTAAGCTTATTCCAGAGCCAGAGGCCTCTGTCACATTACCTTAATTTCAGAAATCAGAGGCCCTTTTTCTCTTAACCTTATTCCAGAGCCAGAGGCCTCTGTCACATTACATTAAGTTAAGAAATCAGAGGCCCTTTTTCTCTTAACCTTATTCCAGAGCCAGAGGCCTCTGTCACATTACATTAAGTTAAGAAATCAGAGGCCCTTTTTCTCTTAAGCTTATTCCAGAGCCAGAGGCCTCTGTCACATTACATTAAGTTAAGAAATCAGAGGCCCTTTTTCTCTTAACCTTATTCCAGAGCCAGAGGCCTCTGTCACATTACATTAAGTTAAGAAATCAGAGGCCCTTTTTCTCTTAAGCTTATTCCAGAGCCAGAGGCCTCTGTCACATTACATTAAGTTAAGAAATCAGAGGCCCTTTTTCTCTTAACCTTATTCCAGAGCCAGAGGCCTCTGTCACATTACATTAAGTTAAGAAATCAGAGGCCCTTTTTCTCTTAACCTTATTCCAGAGCCAGAGGCCTCTGTCACATTACATTAAGTTAAGAAATCAGAGGCCCTTTTTCTCTTAAGCTTATTCCAGAGCCAGAGGCCTCTGTCACATTACATTAAGTTAAGAAATCAGAGGCCCTTTTTCTCTTAAGCTTATTCCAGAGCCAGAGGCCTCTGTCACATTACCTTAATTTAAGAATTCAGAGGCCCTTTTTCTCTTAAGCTTATTCGAGATCCAGATGCCTCTGTCACATTACCTTAATTTAAGAATTCAGAGGCCCTTTTTCTCTTAAGCTTATTCGAGATCCAGATGCCTCTGTCTCATTACCTTAATATAAGAAACCAGTGTCTCGTTTTCTCTTAACCTTATTCCAGAGTCAGAGGCTTCTGTCTCCTTTCCTTAATTTAAGAAGTCAGTGGCTCTTTTTCTCTCGAGCTTATTCCAGAGCCCTAGCCAATGTCCAAGTTATTGATCCATAGTATTGGGAAATGAAGAATGAATACTTTGTAATTGAAAAGACCTCAATTCTTCCTGTTATGTTGTATATATCCCTGGTAAAATACTGGTCACTTCCTCTTGGCTCTGAAGAATTTCTAGTTATACTCAAATGTATAGCTCATGCTGCTGAATGTAAGCCTAGTAAGAAAGAGATCTTTGGTTCAATTTCTAGCAAAAATAGTGCTTTAATTTTTGGTGTTTTTAATATATAATGTTTTGGTTTCAATCTCTAAGATCATTCTTGAAATAACCAAAACTTCAGAGAATAATACATTATATAATTCTTTAAAACATTTAAAGAAAAAATAATGTCTTTTTGACAGCTGTGTGTACTATGTTTCAGGTGGTTGGTTTAACAGCCTCAGTGGGTGTTGGCAAGGCAAGGAAGAAGGAGGATGCAATTACATGGATAGAAAAGATCATGGCACACCTTGACGCACAAGATTTATGTACAGTCCGACAAAACAGGGCAAAACTTCAACAGTACGTCAGCATACCTGAACAAGGTTAGTGCTATCTAGAAATCTCTTATCTTAATTCTATATCTGTAGCTCACCTGGGCCAAAAGATTTGGTAGACTTGTACCTTTTCTTAAAATTGCTACTGGTTATGAACAACTTTGCAGATTTTACCAAATTTGATCAGAATAATTCTTAGATGAATGGGAATTGATTTTTTCTATAAATGGAGGGTCTAGACCCCTGGGGCCAAAATTACTTTCAAAGATTCTGAAAATTCAGACTATCAAAACTACTGATGGCACTCATTTAAAAAATTGTTCCACACTGAAATATAGTTCCAAGCTTGTGTGGATTTTAAAGAAAAGTTTGAGGATTTTCACATTAAATGAACTTGCTTTTTTTTATCATCTACTTATGGTTTTTAATTACAGTTACTGAGAAAGTTCAAGGTCGTGTGAGTAATGTGTTCGGCAAAGCCATCAACAATCTGATGGCCAAGATTGAACAGTTCATGCAAAACTCTAACCGTAAGTATACAGAAATTGAGAGTACAGGCCCCACTTGTATAAAACATCTCAACTTGAGATTTCCTCAAGTCGAGGTTTTCCTCTGCTGATATCTCCTCAAAAACGGCTTGTATAAAATTTTCTCAAGGAACAGGAGGAAGTCCTCGGCTAGGATGTCCTGAAATTCCTTGAGGAATTTTCATGCAAGATATTTTCAAGGAGATATTAGCTGAGGAAAATCTGGGCTTGAGGAAATCTGAAATGGAGATATTATATACAAGTAGGGCCAGGTCACCTTACTTGCATCAGCTAGAGGGAGTTTCCCTTCAGTTGAGTGAGAGAGTATCAGGCTAGAGACTGAAGGGTTGCTTGTTCGAACCCTTGCAGTGGCAGGACGTTTTTCATTACGCATTCCTATTGCAGATTTGGTGCTGTTGATCACTGAGAGGGTAGATGCTATAGGAGATTGAGATGCTTCCTTGGAAATATTAAACTGGTGTTGTTGTTGTCTTCAGGTTTAAGATTTTGTGAAGGAGGGAGTAGTGTAGAAGTTAGAGTACAGGTCACCTCAATAACTAGCCTCAGTCTGAGGGAATTTCCCCTAAGTTAAGCAGTAGAGTGTCTGGTTAGAGACTGGAGTGTCACTAGTTCCAATCTTGCTGGGTGCAGAGTTATTTTTCGTTACTCCTTCCTATTACAAGTACATGTATGGATATCACTGGCTTATAAATATAATTATTCTTGGGTGTGTAAGTTTTGTGTATTATTAGTCTAGTATTTCATGCCTGTCAATCTATCGTGAGTAATATTTGACACGAGATGGTGGTTGGCCGAGTAATAACGGTACACATAGTATATTGCACAAGGCTGGAGGATAGTAGCTGAGTGTATTATGCCATCATCTACAACAACAGAGAGGCAAACATTAAATACAGTATCTCTTTTATTTTTGTAATTATGAAAATTTTGAAATTCCTGCTGTGGTTTTATATATATTGCAATTTTGCAGGCAGTATTCTGTGCCAAACTTTATAAGACAGCATAAGTCTGTTGTTCTGTTGTATACATCTTCCAGTGTTTGAACTACCTAAGGATCTTACCTATCCGCTGCACTGATGTTGGCTCCCTCCTCCCCTTTTAAGTACAAACTTTGATTTGAACAATTTTAAGAATGACAAAACAGAAAATTCAATAATGACTGGTATTTTTACCCAGTCAATCATCACTTTGTTTTTAGAGGATAATTTTAATGACCAGATATTTTTTCGACAACAGATGCACGGACTGTACCTGATGTTGCGTCTACCCTTCGAGCGCCGGCCGGTCGTGGAACAGACCCCTACACACAGTGGCTAAGTCGTCTGTGGAAGGAAACGGCCAAAGTATTTGATCAATCAGCTCGTCGATTCTTCACCACTTGCAGGAATTATCTAGATGTATGTACACAGAAACAACTAACGTTATATAGCCATCTAAGAAAAAAATGTACCAGTATATTTATACACTTTAAATGCGGTTATTTTCGTAATTTCATCTATTAGGTAAATTATACATGCGGGAAATATTTTCGCTGTCAATGTACCTTCACAAGTTTTATGTGTATTTTAATAAGTATGTAATAAGTCACAAATTCATACATGTGGGTAAAAATTATGGCAAAATGACTTTTTTAGTGTAAATTTCCCCCACTCTTAAATTTCAAGCTTGATGAGCTTCTGGCATGGGGCAGCTTTCGTCCGTCATTCTTCCAGCAACACTCTGTTCACCACCATTTATACAATTTCTTCTTATCAACCAAAAGGCTTAGATTTATGACATTTGCCATCAAGGTTCTTTGGATGAAGCCCAACAGAGTTTGTAAAAACATTTACCTTTTTCAATATTTAAGGCCACAGGGTCAAATTTATTCAAATGTTCAAACAACTTATTCTCATTTACCAAGAAGTCTAGAATTATGATATCTAGCTGATGGTTTCTTAGGATGAATGTCACAAAAATGATGCAAAAATAAAGTATTTGTGAAAAGGATTGAATATCAGGTGAGAATTGCAGGTCCATTAGGCACCTTAGTTCATTGTGTGTACATAATTTATATTCCACATAGTAAATCTGATGGCATCACTTGCTAAAAGCTACTGTACATTCCACTGTTTATACATACACACACTTTTCACACATGTATGACTGTTTTAAACACATGTTTTAGTTCAGTGGTGTTTGCTAATGAGCACAATCTGACTTTCACCTTAAGGGAATGAGTATTCTGTATCATTAAATATGTAAGGTACATGATTTCCATGTAGAAATATGTCCCTTTTGTTGATAAAGTTGTCCCCCTTCAAAGCTGTACAATAAGAGTTTGTGATTGACACAAATTTTTCTCCTTTGACAGCTCTACAATAAGAGTTTGTGATTGACACAAATTTTTCTAATTTGACAGCTGTACAATAAGAGTTTGTGATTGACACACAGTTATCTCCCTTGACAGCCGTACAATAAGATTTGTGATTGACACACAAATTTCTCCATTGACAGCTGTACAATCAGATTTTATGATTAATACACAGTTTTCTCCCTTGACAGCTGAACAATAAGAGTTTGTGATTGACACACAGTTGTCTCCCTTGACAACTGTATGGTAAGAGTTTGTGTGTGATTGACACACAGTTGTCTCCCTTGACAGCTGTACAATAAGAGTTTGTGATTGACACACAGTTATCTCCCTTGACAGCCGTACAGTAAGAGTTTGTGATTGACACACAGTTGTCTCCCTTGACAGCTGTACAGTAAGAGTTTGTGATTGACACACAGTTGTCTCCCTTGACAGCCAGACAGTAAGAGTTTGTGATTGACACACAGTTGTCTCCCTTGACAGCCATACAATAAGAATTTGTGATTGACACATAGTTATCTCCCTTGACAGCCATACAGTAAGAGTTTGTGATTGACACACAGTTGTCTCCCTTGACAGCCAGACAGTAAGAGTTTGTGATTGACACACAGTTGTCTCCCTTGACAGCCATACAATAAGAATTTGTGATTGACACACAGTTATCTCCCTTGACAGCCGTACAGTAAGAGTTTGTGATTGACACACAGTTGTCTCCCTTGACAGCCAGACAGTAAGAGTTTGTGATTGACACACAGTTGTCTCCCTTGACAGCCGTACAATAAGATTTGTGATTGACACACAGTTGTCTCCCTTGACAGCTGTAAAATAAGAATTTGTGATTGACACACAGTTTTCTCCCTTGACAGCTGTACAATAAGAATTTGTGATTGACACAAAGTTATCTCCCTTGACAATTGTACAATAAGAATTTGTGATTGACACACAGTTGTCTCCCTTGACAACTGTACAATAAGAGTTTGTGATTGACACACATTTTTCTTCCTTGACAGCTGTACAATAAGAGTCTGATCATTTACCACGATGCTCGTGTCAAGGATGCCCTTGATTTTTTGGACAACAGAATCCGAGAATTCAAAGAACGTAATACCAATTTGAAAGATGACACTGATCTGAAAATGGAGACAACTTACGATGGTGAGGATTCCAATAAACATCTAGCCAAATGCTTTCAACTTCTTGATTTCATCTTGTTTTGCCATTTCTATGCATTGTTTGCCCTGTAATTAGCATATTCCATATTGTATGAGGTATTTTTAAAATTTATGGTCATGTGTTTGGGGTCTGTGCACCAATGGTAGGCCACCATGATCTGTGGTTATACCTTTGAATTGAGCCATTGAAAAAAAAAAAGAAAACTGAGGGTTTATGAAAAAGAATTTTGGAAAATGAAGCTTTTTTGAAAAAGTTCCAGAATTGTATAGAAAAGGGCCTCTTGGATATTTTCTTACAGAAATGTCCAACATTTTTCTGAAAAACTAATTTTTACTTTACTGTGCGTGTGTGTGATGGAAGACAAAGTGCAAACAATTTTTTGATTGGTTAACATGGAGACTAAATACAATCTACTTGTTGGTTAAAATTTCATTTTATCCAGTTTCAATGAAATTTGCTTGTAAGGTGTAATTTATGACATGATGTACACAACTTTGATTTTTCTTTCCTGATTTTGACAAAATGGTCATCATAAGCATTAAATTATTCGTGACTTTAAGGGTAGTTTTGGTGACATGTGTTATTAGTTTCTGTTAGAGTGAATTAAACACATATTGTTATACACATATACATCTAACATTAATGATCACGATATTCATTTTTACAGGTAGCCGAAGTCTGCTTGAGAACTGTCTGTATAATGCTGAACAAGTTAACCCAAAACTCAACAAACTCAAAGACATGCTGATTGAGGCATACAAGAAAAAAGAAGATTCCCGAGGCATCATCTTTGTGAAAACTCGTGACCTTGTCAAGGCCATAGAATCCTGGATGAAAGACGACAGGGAATTGAGGAAGCTGAATCCTGTAAAGTTTGTTGGCGCACAAGCATCAGTTGAGAAGGGAGGTATGACTGAGAAGGGACAAAACTACACTAAAATGATCTTTATCGCTAGGGTTCTGACCATCCACCCTCAATTAAATTTTCATCTTCAAGACATGAATAAAATCACTATAGTTAATGTAGTTGGAACCCTTTGGACAGGTCTAATCTTTGTGTGCTTGGAGAGATTTCAAAGCCCTTTAACATCACATGATTAATTCATAGCTGGGATAGACTGTTCCCAGTGTAGTAGTGTTAAATAGGTGCAAAATGTTGGGTCATCCTATCCAATCATGCCATGTTCTTGATCCCAAATAAATTTGATCATAATAGTCAGGTTTAATTTCTAAGAGGGATTTTATCAAACTTAATGCAAACCTCAACTATGAAAATATAGAGTGTCAAGGTCAAAGTCACCATTCCAAGGTCAAGGCCACCATTACTATTTATTGAAATTTATCATATATTCAGAATAAACTGTATGCAATGGAAAAGGTTGCATTTATGTCTGACATGTTTGTTCTGAAAGTTGTAATGGTAGTCTGTAACGTATATGTAGGGCAGCTAGATACACTGTATTGTATAATCATGGTAAAATAACTATGTGCTGGACCTTTAGTCCCCGAGGTTTGTTATTTTAATGTCCATCTGAAATTATTGGATATCTACAAATCACAAAATTTATAGAGTTACAGGGCTGGTATATCTCTCTATCTACATTTTGATATTTAATTCTTTCAATCACTTTGAATTTTCCACAGTTGTCTGTTTGGTTGCAAAGTTTAGACCTTTAATGTCACTGACAAGTCCTAGAAGGACAACACAGCTTTATGATGTATCATCACTGACACAAGTCCTAGAAGGACGAAACAGCTTTATGATGTATCATAACTGACACGAGTCCTAGAAAGACAACACAGCTGTATGATGTAGTATCACTGACAAGTCCTAGAAGGACAACACAGCTTTTTGATGTGTCATAACTTACAAGTCCTAGAAAGACAACACAGCTTTATGATGTATCATCACTGACACGAGTCCTAGAGGACAACACAGTTTTATGATGTATCATCACTGACAAGTCCTAGAAGGACAACACAGCTTTATGATGTATCATAACTGACACGAGTCCTAGAAGGACGAAACAGCTTTATGATGTATCATCACTGACTCGAGTCCTAGAATGACGAAACAGTTTTATGATGTATCATCACTGACAAGTCCTAGAAGGACAACACAGCTTTATGATGTATCATCACTGACTCGAGTCCTAGAAGGACGAAACAGTTTTATGATGTATCATCACTGACAAGTCCTAGAAGGACAACACAGCTTTATGATGTATCATCACTGACAAGTCCTAGAAGGACAACACAGTTTTATGATGTATCATCACTGACTCGAGTCCTAGAAGGACGAAACAGTTTTATGATGTATCATCACTGACAAGTCCTAGAAGGACAACACAGCTTTATGATGTATCATCACTGACACGAGTCCTAGAAGGACGAAACAGTTTTATGATGTATCATCACTGACTCGAGTCCTAGAAGGACGAAACAGTTTTATGATGTATCATCACTGACACGAGTCCTAGAAGGACGAAACAGTTTTATGATGTATCATCACTGACTCGAGTCCTAGAAGGACGAAACAGTTTTATGATGTATCATCACTGACATGAGTCCTAGAAGGACGAAACAGTTTTATGATGTATCATCACTGACACGAGTCCTAGAAGGACGAAACAGTTTTATGATGTATCATCACTGACTCGAGTCCTAGAAGGACGAAACAGTTTTATGATGTATCATCACTGACACGAGTCCTAGAAGGACGAAACAGTTTTATGATGTATCATCACTGACTCGAGTCCTAGAAGGACAAAACCACTGTATGATGTAGCATCACTGATGAGTCCTAGAAGGACGAAACAGTTTTATGATGTATCATCACTGATGAGTCCTAGAAGGACAAAACCACTGTATGATGTAGCATCACAGATGAGTCCTAGAAGGACGAAACAGTTTTATGATGTATCATCACTGATGAGTCCTAGAAGGACAAAACCACTGTATGATGTAGCATCACTGATGAGTCCTAGAAGGACGAAACAGTTTTATGATGTATCATCACTGACAGTTTTATGATGTATCCTCACTGATGAGTCCTAGAAGGACAAAACCACTGTATGATGTAGCATCACTGATGAGTCCTAGAAGGACAAAACCACTGTATGATGTAGCATCACTGATGAGTCCTAGAAGGACGAAACTGTTTTATGATGTATCATCACTGACTTGAGTCCTAGAAGGACGAAACAGTTTTATGATGTATCCTCACTGATGAGTCCTAGAAGGACAAAACCACTGTATGATGTAGCATCACTGATGAGTCCTAGAAGGACGAAACAGTTTTATGATGTATCATCACTGATGAGTCCTAGAAGGACAAAACCACTGTATGATGTAGCATCACTGATGAGTCCTAGAAGGATGAAGCAGCTGTATGATGCAGTTTTATTCATTGCTTGGCTGAATTGTATCTTTTTTCTAGACTTGTTTTATAAGATATGTGCTATTCACTTTACAGATCATTTTTACAATCTTGGTAAAGGTTACTTTTTCTGTATGTACATGTATGTACACTTTAAGAATCTATAATACCTAACAAAAACATTTTTTTGCTGAAGGTATGACTAAGAACGAACAAGTAGATGTGCTTCAGTATTTCCGGGATGGTCATCACAAGGTCATCATTGCGACCTCCGTGGCAGAGGAAGGACTGGATATACAGAAATGTAACCTTGTAATCAGATATGACTATGTAACCAATGAAATCGCTATGGTCCAGTCAAGAGGTAAGACAGGCTTACTGTTTTTATCCTTTAATAAACACAGAAATTCTGGGGGTAGGCTTATTACACGATTAGAAAATAGTGGTAGCATGTGTTGAGAGTTTGTACAGGAAAGGTATAGGTATATGGATGGTCCATAGTTACTAGTGATTGGCTTAAGTTACTATGGAGTAGAGTTGATGATTTTTGCATACTGCATATTGCAACACTTATGTGCACATGAAGTTGAATGTTACTATATAGTTCTGTACAAATGACTTCATTTGTTTGACAGGTAGAGGCAGAGCAGATGACAGTAAGTATGTGCTGTTGACCAACGAGGGAGGCAGGGCTGCCCAGAAAGAGGAAATCAATCTCATGAGAGAGGCCATGATGCAAAACGCAATTGAAATACTCCAAGGACGTTTACAACATAGTCAGGAAAGCTTCCAACGAAGGATTTTAAAGATCCAGATGGAGGAAAAACTGGCACGCGAAATGGAGGCCACTAAGGGAAAGAGAGAAGTACAAGAAGGCCAGTTTGAACTTCGATGCGGAAAATGTCAGGAATATATCTGTATGTCTACCGACGTCAAAACAATAATGTCTGCTCACCATGCCGTCTTATGCGATGACATCTCAGATCGCATAACTGCAAAGAGGCTCAATCGAGCCCAGTTCAGTGACCAACAGCTACAGTCAGGTGTTGGAAAACTTACATGTAAAAATTGTGGATCAGATCTTGGTAACGTTAGTATCTACCATGAAATCCAGTTCCCCATCATCAAGATCGCCAGCTTCAGCATAGTGGATGCCTTCGGGGTGGCAGACATGAAGAAGAAATGGAAACAGGTGCCGTTTTATGTGGCTGAACTATCCAATGAAGATTTATATGCCTTACTGAGAAGGGGAAAGCAACTTATTAATCTCCCGGTTTAGAAAGCGCAAAGATGAAAAAAGAAAAAACTTTCCACTGTGTGTTATCTCAGAAATATTCACTGTTGATTGTGTTTCTATTTTACAAATCACATAAAATATCTTGATATGTTTGCTCATCTGAAATTGAATTCCAACAATTTCTTACCATATCTATTCTGTATTAGCTCTTAATATATAGATAGGCATATGCATCTACATGTAGGGTATGCCGATTGACTCAGTATAATATCTGGAGAACCTATAGGTTCGGTTTTACCGCAAACGTTCAAACATCAAATTTTACAACTTTCAATCTGTGCTTGATGTATGATTATCAAATATTATCTTATGTATTACTGTTAAACTATTGAATGAAATATTGTTTAAACTAATGTATTGACCTTATGATATTCACAGAGGGCTAACTCAAAGAAAAGCTCTATCATTCAATTAATTTCTTATTGAAAAGTTGAAGTGGCCACCATGTTCACTCAATTTCAAAAAAGAATTTTTTTTTAAAAAAATGCAGCTAAAAATAGAGGAATTTATATATTGTATGTTTTATGTTTTAATTTCTTTTTTTTCTCTCAATTTTTGTGAGTATGGGGCAAATTCAAATTCTGAAAATCAAATTATTTGAATAATAGATTTTTTCATTGATTTAGCTCCCTGTGGATTTCAGGGTCAAAGGTCATATTTGACAACTTTGTAAATTCATCAATAAAGGATATTTGTTTTCATGTGTTCACTGTGGCAGTGAAATATCAGTGTATTTTGGCATTTGGTGCTGATGGGGACTGACAGCGCGATCCCTGCAGGGGAGCATGTGTCATTCATGTCATTTTCTTGTTTGAAAAACTTCTTTTTTCATCTTTTTGACATCACAATCTATTGTTTGATTGGTACAGCCAATGAAAAGTCCTCCACGTTAAATGACACTACTACCTGGGCAAATTTACTGGATAATAGGCCTATTATATAATAAGTAATAATATTGCATGTTTGTATATACAATTGTATGTTCTTTAATTTTGACCATTGTCTGTTGCAAGGAAATTATTTATTATTCAATATTTAAATTATAAATTGTTCATCTGAATACATATCTACATTTAGTAAACTGTACATGCAGACCATGATGAAAGTCATTGTTATTTTTAGCCCATCATCATCAGATGGTAGGCTTTATAAATCACCCCATGTCTATGCATTGGTCCATAGTCCTCTTATCTGTCTGTCTGTACATAAACAACACTTGTTATCACTATTTCTTTATAAGAACTGAACAAATTTTTCTCTTATTTCATGTGTAGGTGCCCCTTGATCCTTAGCTGTGCTCTTTTGATTTTGTGATTGATCGTAGATACAGAATGACTGACAGGTGGCCATCTTGTATTGTGACAATGAAAAATTGTAATTGTTAAAATTGTTTAAAGAAACACTGGATGGCTCTTTCTCAAATGTTTTTTGAAGTTACCTTTGATCTCTGGTCGAGCCCATTTGATTGTTGAACACAAAATGACTGACAGGTGGCCATCTTGTATTTATTACTATGAAAGACTGTTGCAGCTATTTCTGGAGAAGTACAGAATTGATCTTTCTACAATTTCATATCGAAGTTCTCCTTGGTCCCTTCTTGTGCTCATTTGATTTTAAGGCTGAGCAGAAAAACAAAATGGTTAATAGGCAGTTTTTTGGTTTCTGACAAGGAAAACTTATCTAATTGCTATTTCTCAAGAGGTAATGAATAAATCTTTCTGAAATTTCATAGGTAGGTTCCACTTGGTCCCTAGTTGGTACCTGAATTTGAGACAGACAAACAAAACACAATGGCTAACAGGCAAACATATCGGATTTGACAAAGATTATAATATCACTATTGCTTAAGAGGATTTCAAATTTCATATAATTAAAAGCAAAATAGAGGAAAGAAGGGAAATGATCCAACATTTAAGGAAATAGGACTGTCATTCTTCGTTGCAGGGGGTTTCAAAAATAAAGATCAATTTGGGCGCCAAGATCCATTTGGAATGAATATCTGATAGTTTGGGTGATCTTTTCTATGTTATAATATCAAATCAAGATTAAGGCAAGAAAGTCAGATGTTGCTTATGAGGAACAGACAGTCAAGAGCTGAAGGGCCATAGCTCAAAGAACCTCTGGGGATAAGTCCAAAGTAGAAGCAGACCTTGGGGGTCTCCAAGGAGGACCAGACCATGAATGTCCCCAGGGGTAGGATCAAATGTCATATGTCTCCAAGGGGTAGGATCAAATGTCATATGTCTCCTAGAGTAGGACCAAACCACGAATGTCTCCAGGGGTAGGATCAAATGTCATATGTCTCCAAGGAGGACCAGACCACGAATGTCTCCAGGGGTAGGATCAAATGTCATATGTCTCCTAGAGTAGGACCAGACCACGAATGTCTCCAGGGGTAGGATCAAATGTCATATGTCTCCAAGGAGGACCAGACCATGAATGTCTCCAGGGGTAGGATCAAATGTCATTTGTCTCCAAGGAGGACCAGACCATGAATGTCTCCAGGGGTAGGATCAAATGTCATGTCTCCAAGGAAGACCAGACCATGAATGTCTCCAGGGGTAGGATCAAATGTCATATGTCTCCAAGAGTAGGACCAGACCTCAGTTGTTTCCAGGGGTTGTAGGACAACCTCCGCTGTCTCCAGAGGTAAATTATGAAGTCGACTGGTGTCTGACCAAACCTCAAGGATCAAGTCACCAGGCATAGAACCGAGACCTCAAAACTAATTTAGGTCGCATGATAACATGTTTCATTTACATAATAACGTACACAGACAAACAATGGTGAACACAACCAGTGCTGCTCAGTTTTGATCACAAATTTAATTCTCCACGTCATGATAATAACTCAAATTATTTTTGATTGAATAGTCAATCAAAGTCATGTGTGGAGTTTTTAACAAATCTGATTGGATGAAACAAACAAAACTTTAACTTTGCCCTAAAATTCTAGCTCATTCAGTGTGACAGAGCTCAACATCCTCATCTCAATATTTTATGAAGTTTTATGGTAAAGCCACTTAAAAATCTTGTACAAAATTTAAAGCAAATATATTAGATGATCTTTTATCCCATTACAGGCTAGTTGCATCATGTCATATAGCCATATCACAAATATCGTAAGACATCTGTAATATGATCATGATGTCATAAGTAGGTCATGTCTTGATGTCGTCATTTGATTGTCTCTGTAGAAGAAATCACTGTCTGCATCCATATAAGTTTGTCATGTGGGGAATTCAGTTTGAGAATTTTCTCTTATTTATATGATAAATAGAATCTTACACTCCTGCTCATGTAATATGGAATTAAACCAATGAAGTGACATGTTAAATTATTCAACACACTGAAAAATCAACACTCGTGAAAGATCCTCAATATACAAAACATATATTAAATTTCCTCATGTCTTCTAAGAAGCTGTCACCATACTTCTGCTGCAGTAAGCCTAGCAAGGCATCACTCAACCACTAACACAAAGTAGAAAGGTGAGCTTATAACACAACAATTAAAATATACATATTTACTGCTAATTTTACTGCAACAGATACTGATGGGCTTATTACTGGACATGGGGTTATTGATGGAAAAATGGTAATTTGTTTAAAGAAGGACAACAATCAATCACAAAAAAAAACACAGGAAACTCCTCAAGACACTTTTTTATTTCACTTCTTTTACCTCCATTTCACAAGTTAAATAAAAAAAATCCATTAAATTTGTTATCATTTTAATTATTGTAATTAAAAAATCAAATCACTTACTTTGCATATAAATTGATAGCTTATATAAGATCATTTTCCTACTTACATATAGATATTGCTACTAGCAAATATGTAAATGTAGCTGCATATCATATGCAAATATGTTAGAAATCCTGGCCAGTTTTACTTGGTAAACACCAGGTGTATATATAATGAATATTTTGAAATGATACAATGTCTGACAATCCATATGTGAATTCTAAAGCTTTTGAAATACATACCAGTATAAATAATCAAAATCCGATTGAAGAATGGAAACATTGGATGGAAGCAGGACCGTAACGTGTCTTTCACCAGAGGTCTAATACCCTATGTTTCTTACAAATGGAAAGGGAACTCGAAAGACTTTTTACCTTGCATCAAATCACATTCCAACAATAACAAATTGTAATCTTGATGATGTCATACCATATATCGAATGTTATTTGTACGTATCTAATTTGCAAAATTGAAATTGCAACATCAGCACAATTTGTATGGTTGTATATGTACCTCTCCATTTTCTAGATGTAAACACTTCTATAATAAATAAATGATGGGCGGTACTTAAATCTCTTGTTCAGTATGATTGGTCAATCACATCTCCAGTTTATGTTAGAATCTACATTGGTTTGTATGTCCATTCTGAAGTATTAAAAGTCTTCGAAAGAGGCATTTAAATTTCTGAGACAGTTAAATCACAAAAAATTAAATAGCAAAACCTTTCAAAAGTTACATTTTTCGAATTTTTGCAAAACTTACACAGTGCAAAAATTTCTTGATAATACAATATTTCCTTATATGGTCTTGCTGAGTAACAGAACAGTGATGTATAAAAAAAATCTTAATGAACCTGACCCAGAAATAGCTATGTGATTTCTACAGTAATATTTCAAAGTAACTGAAGTTCTTCATTGATCACTGAATTAAATAAAATGGTAAAAAGAAGAAAAAAAAATCACCAAATCAGTTGTTTATATCCTCAGTAATTATCGTCCCTCCTGGGAACTCAGAGACAAGAGGAGGGCCAACCTCAAAGCCTTCAGTTGTTTATGTCTTCAATAATTATCATTCATCGTGGAAACTATATATCAACAAGCAATTTAACTCTGGCCCTTAGACTTGAATTGCTTATAGCAATTATGATAAACACCGCCAAATCCAAGAAGACTGCTAATAGTATACCACTCTGACCTGCAGCTGTTTTCAATTCTTTCTTGAAATTCATATCAAGGTGTTTCATCAGGAAGTTTTAGGAGGGTCTCCAATACCACCAGCCATACTGTAAACTGCCAGGCCAACCTCATTTGCTAGTTTGTCTGCATTCTCCTGCAACATTGATGTCCAATTGTAATCATTAAAATCAGTTTCATACCAAAGTGGACCAAGAGTAATTTCTGTAACTAGAAATCATGAATATGTCTTCCAATTTTTTAATGTAAAATCCAACTTCCGAAATCACATCTATTTCTTATTTCATTCACTCAGACAGACATATATAGATTTCTAGCATTTTCATTTCTCCTAGCAAGTCACAACCTGTCAACAAAGTAGCTATAACTAAGTTTATATATTATTGAGTTACTTTCCCAAAGGATGCAACAGATCAAATTGTAAAAAAAATCAAGGATTTACAAGTTACTTCTCTATCAAACCTCATCTCTGCCTCAAGGTTTCAATGCTATCTTTTTGTATTACATGGAGTCCCTTTCATCAAAGGCGGTTCCAGATCAAATTTGAGTGAAACTTCCTTATTCATTCAGGAGAGGAAGTATTTAAAGATTTAGCTAATTTTTGGTTCTACACTGCTGCCTCTATCTTAAGCATATACGAAATCCAAGATACAATTTCGACTAATTTCTTTTATCCAAACAACAGAAAATGATTTTAACGAATAAGTTCTTTTCCTCCTAAGACGCCAACACCATGTAAGGAAGTTACCAGTATGTATACTGTTGATTTATACAACGTTGCTTCCCCTTCACCAAAGGGTACTCCGGATCCTGGTTCATAACATTTTACTCATATTGAAGACAATGTATCCTTAATATTTACATCAGTGTATTTTCCAGATTTGACCCATCCCTCTATCCACAGGGGGTCACACCCTCCTGCTATATGACACTGAGTCCAATCACCTAGAGATGCTCCACTCTGGACTAGTCATGTACATTCTACATGAAAAAGTTGTCACAAGGACAAAAAAAATATTGCCAGGGTATAAGACCATTGGATGTAAAAATCAAATGAGCTAACAAGATAGTTGGACAGTAGCTACTTGATGGAAGAGTTTTACCATTTCATTATATCATTGGGGATCAATTGGGATTAGGATAAAAATTTCAGGTCAGACTCAAATGTAACGTAGCACATCACAACAGTACTCATTACATTGCCTATTTTTGTGGCCATTGATCAGGACATGTAGGACTGCACCCAACTCCAGATAAACTCATCTCTGAGCAAGTTATTTGGATTAACATTCCTTTACATATATTTTTTTTACCTGTGTGTCTGCCTCAGCATATACTCTCACTACATCCTCTGTTCCTGATGGTCTGGAACATAAAGTAACCAATACAGTGAATACAAAGCGTAATAAGATGGTCACACAGACCCGAATAAAGACTTTGTTAAAATGAACGACAACAATACATGGCGACTTATTTTGTTCTTTCATTCAATCTTAAAAGTTAATAAAAAAACACAAAAAAAAACACAAAAAAACGAAAATCGATCCCCGAGGAACTCACAATTTAAACTAAACACATAATCATAAAACTAGTATTATTAATTTTTTTTTTTTACATTGGTTATTTTGATATCTGACTTCAAAAATGTCAAATTTAATTTGATCAATTCTTAAATTGAAAGAAATAGAACATTTCAAAGACTTTGATTTTCATCTTGTATCACGGAAAATTTTAAGTCAAATCTGTAAAGATTGCTTTGTTATACAATGTTCGAAGCACGTACTAAATTACGTGAACCCAATCAATTTGTCTTATATGATATTGACTGTGCATCAACAGCCTACATGACAACGCACCAGGTAATTTCCAAAAGAAATTTAGTCAGATATCGAAATTTCCTCCAGGTTTCATACAGCTGTACCTGTCAACTTTCAGAAATTGAAATGTGCGATTGGTATATTGGTTTAATGTGTTTTATGTGCTATAAACAGCCAAGGTCATTTAAGGACGTGCCATGCTTGGGTGGTAGGAAATACTGGAGTTCCTGAAAAAAAAAACACTGACTGCCATGTGTAGGCCTCCCAGCGAGAAAAGTGCATGAACATGATTTGAAAATTTTGAGTATACTCTAGTGTTTGGATTCCCAGAATATTCCTTCAGGCAAGCTTGTGAAATAACAGTAATGAACTCAATATCCAAATGGCCATTGGTGGCAAACTTTGACATTAGATAAACCTCAAAAAGCTGTATGTTTAAAACATTTTTCAAACATTTCAATAAGATCTCTTCCATACCAGTCTTCAAGACAGATGAGTCTATTTTTGCTTTAGATTCCATTAACAGCCAGGGTCATTTAAGTATGTACCAGGTTTGGGTAGCGGAGAAAAGCCAGATTTCCTAGAGAAAACCAACAGTGACGGCCAAAACCTGACAACTGCCTCAAGCAGGCCTCAAATTAATGACCTAGACGTTGACGGCTAGTGATAAAGTAAACACCACTCAACCACTGTGGCCCCTCAGTCTTCAATGAAAGAAGCTCAGAAATAGTAAAACATACATGTACTCTAAATGCGAAAATTTTTAGTGAGTATGGGAATTGACAACACCCTGAATATCTGATCAAGCTCAAAATCTGGCACACAGCTAAGATCCATCTTGGGTTTGCAGTTATACATGAGAGAAAGGACTACACACTGAACAAAAGCTGAAAGTCTATGAAATATATTTATTTTCTTTGTACCTGACAAATGACCTGCCATGTTTGTATTTGGCTACTAGGCTATCTACAGCCTGTTGTAGACCTTCAGGAGTTACTGCTGTCCTTTCGGCATCAGCTGTAGTGATGACAGTACGATCTTTAACCTGTCATCATAAAGAAAAATAATTATACTTTATTTCTCAAACACATAAGTTTTTTATTTCCTTTAAATAATCAAACACCACAGACCTATGACATTTTCAATATAGTGTTGAAAGATGATGGAATATCAGATTTGTTGAAATGAATGACCTTGCCCTTTTTTGCCTTCTATAAATATTTTTCTCCTCATGAATGATAGAAAAGCTGACTGATGATAACGTTAAGAGAAATATTCTTCAGATAAGGATTTTATCTTAACTGGTTATGCATGTAAAATACTGCCATTAATTTTCGTGGACAATTTATTTTCTTTGATTTCGTGGGTACTTTTATCTTTGACTTCATGTATATATCAATCAACAGTTAAGATAAGTTGAAGCAGCTTATTTATCCATGAAACTTACTGATCCATGGCATGAAAATGTTATTTTTTGAACAATGAAAATCAAACCCCATCAAAATATATTATTTTTCAAAATTAAAAAAAAAACTAGATAACAACACTGCTGAAATAGTTTTGTGACTGACCTTGACCTTGAGCTGTCGATTTGGAAGGTCAACATAAGCACTGTCCCAGTTATTGATCTCCCATCCATAGGTTGCTAGAATGACCTCCACAAGGAGCATGTCTGATATAGCATCACCCACAGTCTGAAAGAAACAAGGATACTGACTATTGCTTAACCCATACAAACCATAGAAAACAATATGGCACCCCCTACCACCACAGCCTCAACCTGAGACTGTTGTTAAGATAATCTGACAATGAATGCCCCTCTTGTAGAACCACAATATGATCAGGTGTTGAAATTGATGATATGATCCTAGACTTAGATATTTACCAATTATGTTGACAGATTCTCAAGATACAGGAGAGATTTAAGAACTGGCATTGTAAATGTGATAATCTTTTAAACGTCTTTCCCGATTTTCAAGGGTATGAAAAAAAAAACAAAGAGATTGACTTGTTTGCTTGCTATGGGCTGGTGAATTTCGAAACACTTTATGCTCTTAAAAAGATTGGTTGTTTCTTATGTTGCACAACTCCCCTACATCAGAGAGGGTGGGAAGCATTCCATTTGTACCCACAATTCTCCAGATCAAAACTGGTCACATATTGCTAAGTCTTTTTTGACGAGTAGTATTTTAGAAGGAAATGTTGATGTACCTTCCAGTGTAAAGGAACAGGACATCTTACAAAAGACCTGATTTTATGAGTGGAATGACAGCCTACCTGGTTGATGAGATCCATGACTGTACACATTTGGACAGCTGCTTCTCGTTGTATCCCTGACAAACTGTTGAAAACAAAAATATCAAAATGGAACTTATCAACACCGCATTACAATCTATAAAATAATTCTTAATTTTTAGCAATTTTTCACTTCAGTCGGAAAAAAAGAAGACTTAACACTCACTTTGATTTTGTGTAACTTTTACATTCAACAAGCATCACACAATAGATTTACATCTTAACTCATGTCCCTCCTGTTACACAATGCATTTAATGTCAAGTATAACCTTTGACTTTTGACCTTTTAATTGTTCTGATCCATTGACCATAAAAACAAAGATCACAAGAGGGAGTTCATCTACCAATATTATGGTATAAATAAGAAGTGATCTACTGAGATGTTCCTGTGAAAGCTTGTTTACAAGCCTTTTATTTCAGGAGTGATCATGGGTAACCTTTTGACCCTTGAACCTCAACCAATGACAATTACCATCAAAACAGGTATAACAGAACTTGATGCTTTTATACTATGTTATAAATATGAATAAAATCTGCTGAATTATTTATGTGAGAGCTTGTACACAAAATTTCTAAATATGGTAATGGGCAACCTTTGACCTTCATCAATCAAAAGCAAAATCCAATCTGATACAGCAATTGTTATTGCAGTACTTTTATTTGGATAATGAACTTAATTCGTTGATGGATTTTGAGATATCTGTCATGTACAAACTTTTTGCTTCAGTTAGGTACTAGATCATGCAGACACACATATACACACATACAGTATGTGCACGGACAAAACAGTGATAGAGAATACATGATAGTACCTTAAAATATAAGCGGCATTTTAGCGAGGGTAAAGGCAGACAAAAGTAGCAAGCCACTGTTTTTCGGTCCTGAGCCAAAAGATGGCTTATATTTTAAGACACTGACTATGTATTCTGTTTAACCTGCAACTTTGATTGAAAATCATACAATCAAAACATAAGTAGTTTGTTATTCAATCTTTGTTTATCTGTCTTTGACATTACGCCGAATTTTGCTTGATGACGCACGCCAAAATAATTGCTCTGCGTAAAAATGTAGTTCCATCATCATCAACGGACATGATAGCATTATTATGCATTTTCGTGAATAACTTTATCCATCATAACATAGCGAGGGTAAAGGAAGACAAAAGTAGCAAGCCACTGTTTTTCGGTCCTGAGCCAAAAGATGGCTTATATTTTAAGACACTGACTATGTATTCTGTTTAACCTGCAACTTTGATTGAAAATCATACAATCAAAACATAAGTAGTTTGTTATTCAATCTTTGTTTATCTGTCTTTGACATTACGCCGAATTTTGCTTGATGACGCACGCCAAAATAATTGCTCTGCGTAAAAATGTAGTTCCATCATCATCAACGGACATGATAGCATTATTATGCATTTTCGTGAATAACTTTATCCATCATAACATATAAAATCATTTATTTCAACAGTTATTTATATCATTAAATGTAGTTTTAATGAAAATTCATAAAGTTATTTTGTCGAATTACCACACATGCTAAATACAGCTGTTTTCCGTCACTGCTGAATACAGCTAAAATACATGTGCCAGGTGTATTTTGACAATGGCAGCGCCAGTTGTAGGATAACAAAGCATTGATTCTCAAGGGAGCTTTATCATGTTCGTAGATTTTGAGGGTACACTTAATTCACAATTCATATGTCTATAAACTATAATTTATAATTAGTAGAGGAAGATTTATTGATCAATACTTTTCCACAACAGCAAATGTTCACGAAATCATGATATGTTGAAAAACCATGAAAATTGAGCCCCACAAAATAAATGATTTTATAGTACCGTAATATCAAAAATTTTTGTACAGTTAAAATTCTGTGTGTTTCTTTTTCCAAAACCTTCTTACTTAAAAGGTACTTAATTGATTTCATTGATAATTAGAACTCAAGAAATCTACACATAACATGTTGATATTTCAACACATTAGTGAACAGTCATGTGATGTTGTGTATAAGGGTGCATACATAGTAAGTGAAAATTAAGCCTCCACAAGTATTAAAGATTTAGCAGTATCACTGCCTTCATGCTTCCTTTATATGTATAATTCAGTAACAACAGTTGTACCTGTTATCGGTAGCTGCTTTTTGTATCTGACTCGAAGCATTGGCACTAAACAAAACCTGAAACAGATATCAAGACCATGAAAAGTAACATAATCATACTTCATTTGGGACAATAAAATTTTAGCACATTTGCACTGATGAATTTCTGCATACACCATACCTGCTATAAAAATAACATACAAAATCTAGACTTTCTATCATATTTTAGTGCAATATTTTAGCACAATTCATGTAGTGCTAAAAGCATAAAAATATTAAGATTAATGCTTTTATATATAGTCCATGGTATAAATATGAGAATGTCTTTGTATTAAAATGGAATATATATTGACAAAACAGACAAATTGTATCCTTACGAACATTAAGCAGCCATATCACTAGAAGTCTGGCTCATATCAAAGCTTGATTTCCAAACAAATCTTTAATACAAAAAATAATTGTATCCTTTCAAACATTAAGCAGCCATATCACTAGAAGTCTGGCTCATATCAAAGCTTGATTTCTAAGCAAATCTTAAGCAGCCATATCACTAGAAGTCTGGCTCATATCAAAGCTTGATTTCAAACAAATCTTTAATACAAAAAATAATTAAGCAGCCATATCACTAGAAGTCTGGCTCATATCAAAGCTTGATTTCTAAGCAAATCTTTAATACTGTAGTTCAATTCAACCATTTTAATTGGTGATAGTCATTTCACAAAAACTACTTTAACTATTAATCAGAACTAGGTTTATAGCCTCATAATCAGAGTACAAATATGACAGGTAGGTGAACTCCAGGTGAGCAAACTTGTGGTCAGAGAAACATGTCAATGGTGCATCTTCTTTTCTGCTTTACTCAACATTCATTCATTCATTCATTCATTCATTCATTCATTCATTCATTCATTTCATCTGTATATTTCTAAAGATCCTGATGAAACAAGAAGTAAATGGACTACAACATACACAAGGCATAATGGACTTGGGGTCTTGGATAATTTCTCATCTTTGTTTTCCATTGGCTCTGTAACCAGTGAGTTTACAATTCATACAGTACTTTGGAAGTCATCACACAATGAAAATGCACCTAGCCTAGCAGGGCAACATCAAGATATTAACAAGTAAAAACTTTGTGATCACATGATCATTATTGAGACACTACACTCAATATCACAATCCATGGGGAGATATTTATTCTTAAAACTTACTGTTCCATGTCCGTTGGCTTCAAAGTAAACACCAAGGTCAAACTCAAGGGCGCGATGATGAAGATGCTTAACTCCTGTCGCAGCACACGCTACTGGTACTTTCTGTGTATCAAATGTTGACAGTGATAAACAAAAACTATACCATAACCTGTAACATTGTAGTCAATAACAACAATAGCTTTATCTTTCATTAACTGTTGATACAATTTTTTTTTATTTTTCATGTCAATATCAAAAGTATTATCTCTAAATAAAACAATTTGTAACAAAATGCTTTATCTCACTGAGGTTTTTTTGTCAATACAAAGTGCTTTATCTGTCAATAAATTCTTTATCTATCAGGGGCTTTATCTGTCAATAAATTCTTTATCTATCAGGGGCTTTATCTGTCAATAAATTCTTTATCTATCAGGGGATTTATCTGTCAATAAAAAGTACTTCATTTCTTCATACAATCTTTATCTACCTGGGGCTCAATTCTGAAATGAAAGGTGATTTATCTGTGAATGCAAAGAGCTATTAATTATCAGTTTCTATAAAGAGCTTAATCTGTAAATATTCAGTATTTATTGTCAAAATAAATTATTGAACTGTTCATAACAATAAATGAAGTGGAGATGACACCAGTATTGATACTATAGGGTAAAACTGACCAGAGTGTCAGTGATGTATACAGTCGAACTGCCATTGGCGTACGCTGTCTGAACCAGGCCCAAGTTGAGTGAAAGACCTGATCTATTTAGGAGCTCCTGTAGATAGCCTGCCACCTGGTGGAGAAAATTGTCAGAGTATAAATCAATGATTTTTAATAAATAAGTAGCCCCATTTAAGGGACATTTTATCGTCAAAACTCTGTTAGTCTATCAAAATAAATCTACAGGTAAAATGTGTATATTTCTGGGATAGTAAATATTAATACCTTTACATTAATATGACAGCCAAAATCTAAAAATAACCCGAAGTTAAATCAATTAATTAATTCTTGATTCCGTCTGAAGTGCAAAGATTAATGGTGTATAGCCAATGTTTACACATGATATATGGGTATTTTCAGTACATTTACAAGCTAAAATATCATTACTGATTGCCTGTACCTATGTGTGACTGTCTTTTAAATAAAAATTTGGAAAATAATAGCAGAGGATATTTCTGCCATTCGAACGAAGGAAGCAGTGTTTACCCATGAACCATCGAACTGATATAAAACCTTATTACCTCTTAAACACTTCAACATTATTCTTTCTAAGTCTTATTTATAAAGTACAATTTTTCTTTCAAATTAAATATCTGTCTATTACAATCATGGTGCATGTGGTGTTGATTCAGAATACAAAATGTCAACAAACCTAGAAAAACTATGTATGTATGGTTTGATAGTATAACATGATAAAATTCACCAGAACTCACCAGAGTTGCTATCTTATCACCATCCATCAGATGAAATGTACCATCTGTAACAAACATTGATCATTAAATATCTATATCAACAGGCTTAAGATCAAGATAGCAATCAATATTCATATAATCATGTGTATTAAACACCCAAACCTGTGTTAAAATTCACCTCTATACAAAGGCCACTTTTTTGTTACCTGATAGGTAATGCAATTTATAGTTCTGAACCTCTATATAAAGGCCACCTGTGTATAAAGGCCACTTTTTTGTTACCTGATAGGTAATGCAATTTAAAGTACTTAACCTCTATATAAAGGTCACCTGTGTATAAAGCCACTTTTATGTTACCTGATATATAATGCAATTTTATAGTTCTGAACCTCTATATAAAACAACCTGTCTGCAAAGGCCACTTTTCTCTGTTCTCCTGAGTCAAGTGGCCTTAATAGACAGGTTTTAATTCACTTTGTAACCCTGGCACACCAGACTGATTACAACATATGAATCAGCTAGTAAGATCTCTATAGCAAGGCATGATAACAATGGCCTCGCTTACATTGGTGACCATGTAGAGACTCGTGACTGATATCCAGTGTTAATTACACAAGTAACACTGTAGCTCCTAGAAACTTGAGGACAAGTTCTTCCTGAAGCGGAAGTGTAAGCCTGGTAAATACTAGTGGCCATATACCACTAGGCTGCCATATAGAGAAATCCTCTCTTTAGCGAGATCACCTGACCATGAATTTAGCAAGATGGAGAACCTTGCTTCAGCCTCTCGTGGGGGCATTGAAATGTTAAACTTGGTTGTAGTCACAATAACTGTATGGTTTTACAGTAACTATAATTATTCAGTACTGTACTAATATTTTTTCTTTCATCAGTTTGGATGAAACACTATTTTAAATTAACATATGTACTTTATCTATCAAATAATAATCCAATGACTGGTAATAAGCCCACCCACATCTGCAAACCTTGTTTTATAAAGTTGTCAACAAATGCTATTTCATTGTCCTGTAATAAGCCCACCCTTGATTTTGAGCCAGAACTGCTTTGTTGGCCCCCTAGGCTTATTTAGGTATATTACAGTATTTCCTTTACTTTGATCTGCGTAATAATACACTATTCTGTCTGCATCCCCATCAAAGGAAGCACATCTGCAGTTACTGTTGAGAGTCATCCCATCAGCTGGTTTCTGGTTCACCTTAACATAGTCTGCCCCACACTGAAAACAGAACACATATTGTATTATTGTGTAGCAAGTTGATTTTGATTGGCTCCAATTTCCGTTATTTTTTTCAGAATGGATGTTTGATTTGTTTGCTGGTTTTATTGCCCTGTCAACAGCGAGGATCATTTTGGGCAGGGTCTCCTTGCAGAAGCTGGTGGTAACTTCACTAAATAACATACATGAAACCACTTCGTTTCTCAGCTTCCTGAGAACTACCAATCCTTAGAGATAGAGAACATCAAACCACATACAGCAGATTTTTAACTAAGGTTATGTAGACCAACCAAATGAGCTTGTGCAACCCTAAAATGATTGAATCATGATAATAGATATTTTGAGACGGGTTATGCACCTCGAATAGGACAAAATTTAAATATGAAAAACAACAAATGGTAATAACTCCTAAATTATGTAAAACAGAGTGATGGTTCTTGTGTACTGCACTTCTCCTTGTTGTGATCTATCTACCTATGAAGTTTGTCCTGAATGTGGCAAAATTTAAGTATGAAAAATAACAAAGGGCAATAACTCCTAAATGATGTACAACAGAGTGATGGTTCTTGTGTACTGCACTTCTCCTTGTTGTGATCTATCTACCTATGAAGTTTGTCCTGAATGTGACAAAATTTAAGTATGAAAAATAACAAAGGACAACAAAAATGTTCAGGATTTGTTGAATTAAACTCACGTCAGGAAAACATAACTTCATGTCATGGTGATTGAGTCAATAAAATTTGAAAGAAACACTGGGGGAAAACTAAGAGAGAAGAACTTGGGACAAGATTAACCTATCAAAATAACAAAATTAAGGCATTAACTTTTCCAAACACAAGTGAACCAAACTGTCATTCCGGAAAGCACAATGTCATGTCATGATGATTAAGCCTACCGAATTATATAGGCTGAAAGCGTAGCTGCATAATGTTTAGCCTGACGGGATAACTCAAGGAGATCTCCAAACAAATGAAAGTTAATGGCAGATGGACAAATGGTCAGATAGACAGACAGACAATTGAATTTTTGACAGCGTATAAAAACAAAAATGTGCATGTCTTTATTTCATCATCTACACCTGATCAGAATATCACAATATAATGTGGGTTCATACTTTGATATAGTTACCCAATACCACAGCAATCCTGTGATATGATGATGGAGGGGACATAACTCTATAACAGAAAAAATGGATTATCAGAGCTCTTTTTAATTTACAACTCAAATGAAACTTAAAATTAAAATCACATACTTATGAGGTAATTCTAACAATACCTTAATTTTTCTGATTTTAGATAACATTTACTTACAAGGTAATTTAGCTTTCCTGATGATCCATCGTTACAAATATCAATAGTGAGATAGTCACTGATGTACTGAGTGAGCAGGTGGGCTTTGTAAGCCCCAACACCATTAGCTGTGTCCAACTTGAGCGCAGTTTTGTATGAACTATCATCCTTCTTTCCCATCTACAGGCAGAAAAATATGGAATCTATTATCATAATGTAACAAAGTATTACTACATGTAAAATGCGTAACCTCTGATTTAAGGTCAGGGGTCGGCAGAGCAATCAAACTAATCAAATGATGGATTTTCTTATGAAACTGTCAGCTTGTTAGCCTTGCAGTACACATAAGGTCAGGTGACATATACTCTTGCCCTAAAAGTCAGAAATAGGGCTAATTACAGGGCAATTATTTAAATTTACCACAGTCTTGGGCCGATATTTCGTAACATCTCATTCTAGGCTTCACCTCAGATGAGATTCTGTTACAAACTGTCAGCCCTGTCCGAGATAAAATAATCTTGACAACATGAAGGCAATAGATTCTATTAAGGGGTCCACACAGGGCTTAGATTACGAAAAGATTCTATTAAGGGGTCCACACAGGGCTTAGATTCTATTAAGGGGTCCACACAGGGCTTAGATTACGAAAAGATTCTATTAAGGGGTCCACACAGGGCTTAGATTACGAAAAGATTCTATTAAGGGGTCAACACAGGGCTTAGATTACGAAAAGATTCTATTAAGGGGTCCACACAGGGCTTAGATTATGAAAAGATTCTATTAAGGGGTCCACACAGGGCTTAGATTACGAAAAGATTCTATTAAGGGGTCCATACAGGGCTTAGATTACGAAAGAGAAAATAACTAGTGTGATATGTAAACCATAATATGTTGACACATACTGTACATGGTATGAACATGTACAACAGAGAAGGCCGAAAATGCCATGGAGTTATCCCCCCAAGGAATTTGACACATTCAACAATAGGCCAAGAAAAGCTATTAATCACCTTGGTTTTCATGTAGTTATGACAAATAATCTCATCAAAATATATTTACATAATAATTGTAAATAAATATCCAGCACCGCTTCTACCTCATAATCCAAATGGAAATATATATACTGTAATTCTTATGTGTCGTAAATCATTAATGAAAACTAATAACAGCTATGTTTCAAAATTTATGGCATCTGTATTACCTGTTTCCTTAGTTTACAAAAAGCTGTTGTCAATTTTTGAAAATATCCCTCCTCTGTAGCTTGGCCATATTGTCCATTACTGTTAACACATCGGACCATGTAGTGAAGCTGTGGTGTTGTCAACAATCCTACAAAATAAACAGTAAATAAAAATAAACAGTAAATAAACATTCCAAGATATTAACAATCTTCACAGCATACTTTTCCATTCTTGTTGAAGAATAAGAATTTCAACATAATTTAACCTTGAGGTAAATATAATTGCATTACAACAATTTTTCAACCAAGCCAAAGACTTTATATCATGACTATAGGCTATTCAGGTCTTTTTTTTTTTATATAAATTTCTCATTGTAAAAACTGTTCAAAGTTATTTCTTTCTTAAAAATTTTGATTCAATCAGCAAGTCATGTTCAGGTTTTGCATTACCAACTAGAAATGTAGCTCTTTGGACAAGAAATTTGATAGAGTTTAGAAAATGTGACCCCTAGCTGTTCTAGGTGATCAATACTATTCTGATATTTTTGTGTTCATTGTGTCACAAAACACAAGTCAAACTTCATGACTCTAGGTCTATTGGTTCTTTAGAGAAAGTAATTTGATTGTTCCATTACTTAAATATAAATGAAAGGTCATTCATTGACAAATTTTTCAGTTTTATGCCAGAAATTTTATCATTAAATACAACCACACAAATACTTGAAAAGTTTTGTTTTACAAATTAATCTCCGTGACCTTGAACTATTGATCAAGATCAATTCATTTTGCAAATTCTGTAGCACTCAATTGTAGATATTGATACTTGCAAAATATCATGACTTTAAAACTGTAAATTTGTTAATTTTTGGAAAATTTCTTGTTAAACTATTACTATTGTACTACAAGATTGATGTGGTCCCTAGAGAACTGGACAAGGTCAATTTTTTGCAAACATGACTCTTTAAGAAAATTATGATTACAGATGAAACTGACAGGTGAAGGAAGGGAAGATGACAATAAGTGACAGATGCAGCATGCTTTTATACTAACTACAAACATGTTTATAAATATTACCGTAGTCTTTACATGTGCCCCCTGCTGCCTGAACTCCACATTGGAAAGCTTCGGAAAGTCTCTGACTACTCGCTCTGTTAAAGTAAATTACAATAACAAACACTACTATAATATTCCATATAATATAACCTAATACTCAATATAAAGCTGTATAAAAACATACAATATATACATACATGTATATAAAATATTAAATACTAATGATACACTGATCAGTCTGTATGGATCCATTATCAGAGACAAAAGGTAGCTAAAATGTTTGAATCCCAACTTTGTCGATGCATTTTTCATCTCCTGTCCTTTTTCATTTAATCAAATTTAGATGAAATATTTCTCATTTATGGTCTGGTTTGAAATAATGATGATGAGCTTCCCCAGCTGGTTCACAACAATGGTTCCTCACTCAATGTCACCAAACCTCTAACTATCTAATACCTGGTCATAGCCATCAAAATCAAGCGTGACAGGGTGTTTTAAAGGATCGCCAAGGAAAATGATCTGATGATGTATTTAGATGATGTTCATTAAGTTTGAACATTATTTTAACTAAACCAGATCCAAAAAATTGATTTTGAATTTTTCAAAATACTGAACAAAATTCAGTATATAAATATGGTGATTCTAGCATTTTTCCTGATCTGAGCTGGGCAATCCTGTGGCCTATTTTAGGCTGATCTGATGCAAACAGGTGAGTCAGAGATGATGTTCACTACACACAAATACAGATAATTAATATAAATGCATGTGGCAAGTTACTACCATGGTAATTTTGAGGCAACTCCTTGTAGTGGTTAGTGGCTACCACACTGAACAACATACAGGAGGCCCATCACTATCTAAAGCAATTGGGGTGATATGTCTCACCCAAGGGCGCAATCCTGACATCACAGGGTTATGTGTGATGTCAGTTTCCTGTTAAACACAAATCACCATATAAATGGATTGAACGGACAGCTAGGATCTTCATCTGAGGTTGAAACGCCATGTTCTACCAACTAGGTTATTGTGGCTGAATTTTTATATGGTTTACACAGTAGTCACATATGAAAACTTCTAGGAACACACCTGTTAGTTACAAAAAAATATCTTTTTTCCTAAGGCAAATCATACAAAAGCATACCTGGTGTCCTTGGCAACATACACAGAGGCTGCTACATCCATCGGAACATTCTCTTGTGAAACAATCGTTTTGACGGCAGAGGGAATGTCTTCATCGCTAAAAGAAAGATAAATAGTCAAAAGAAATATTTCTTCAACATTATTTTTTCAACTCTTTAAAGTATATAAACTTTTGAATTTTACAAAAATCTAGATGCTACATCCATCAGTCTTGAGTTGACATGTACTATTTTTAGGATTATTTTTTTGTCTGAAGTTTAAGTAAAGACTAGAAAATATTGAATATACAGTGGACATCAAATTAAATGTTAGATGAGGTTTCAGAAATTGTCAAACATGACCTTTGACCCTTTAACTTTGACAAATGACCACCTTAAAAAGATCAGGTGCAGAACCCAATGTTACTATAATTTGGATAAATATGAACCAAATCTATTGTGAGAATGTTTAGATAAGACACTGATTTGGAATGGGATGAAATGTATAGTGTTGGGTAACACAGTATGTCCCTAACCCCCTCCCCCACCTACCCCCCACGCCCCAACCCCCACATAAAAGTATACTAGGGCCATAACTTTGGAAATAAGTAAGTATAACCTTACTGTCACATGATAAGTACAGTTGGTTGCCAAGTGGTGCAGTAGTAACACATTCGACTTACACTTAACAGTCCAGGGTTTGATTCCCTGACCAGACATGAAAAGGTAAGGGGTTACCTTCCCAACCATGTGGGGTTTATCCAGATACTCTGGCTACCTTCCACAGTAGCCCCTGTATGTTTACATCCTGGCCAATAAGAGTTTCTATTCTCATATTTAGTACAGTGATTGAAAAGTGAGAATACCTGTGTGAGGGTTTAATACCTACGTAACATTAGCCAGGAAGGTGGCGTGTGTTTCCCATGAAGCCTCTAACATCTCCCCCGCAGGGTCAACAAGTTTAATACCGTTGTCTTCCTCGGGATTATGGGACGCCGTAATCATAGCACCAATAATTGCTGCAGATGATAAAAAATTTGATCACACAATCAACGTGTTATCCAGAGTCATTTAAGGGACATAGTTCTTGATATCGACTAATAAAGTCAGATAATATATTACCAAAGATTAAGCTGCTACACGGCCAATATCTCATTAAAACTAACATCATTTTAATGTCATTTCAACATCAATATGACATCAATTTTTTGCAATATTACTTAATGTTAATTTTTGATGTCAGAATAACACTGCATTTTTTTAACGATGGAATAATATTACTGTAAAATGTTATTCTGATATACTATTTTAAACATTCTTTTAATATTAAAATTTGAAATCATTTCAAATTTTTTTTTGTTTAAATGTTAATTAATCATTAAATCTTTAAACATCAAAACTATGTTACATTTTAAATGTTTATTCAATGTAATGAAAAATTGCTAGCGTAATATATGAGGCACACAATAAGATGCAGATTTTAAACAGCAATCCATCTCTCATCTAGTGAATTTGTCCTTGTAAAATCTGTTGTCAGTGTCACTAATGTAATATATCCTTGAGCTGTGTCAATAAAAAATTTATTGTAACATCATAATACGGACATGCTTGTAACATGTACGTCATGAATGGATTGAAAATGGCCAACAACATGACTGCCTCTGTTCAATTCTGTCCTCCATATTTTGACATATTTACATACGAGATGAAAACTCATAATTTGTACCAGTTACACATCAGTAGTCTTAACATGTTTCTATAGTAAATTGAACTGTCTGTAGGACTTGAAAACCCCCAGAAATATTTTTGTTGTTTAAATGTTCAATGGAATTCAATGATGTTATCTCTAAAAAAAAAAAAAGAAAACCTGCTGAAAAATCTTAGTTAGTAAAAAAATATAGAAATGCTTCCCTTTTAGCATCATGAAGTGACGCCCCCTGCCCCACCCTAAATTTTCAAGAAATATAACATCTGTTGTTAATATCTATAAAGCTTATATTGGGATTTGATAATGAAAAAAGTTATTTATAAAAAAAATAGAATGAAACATTCAACTTAACAATGGCCAAGCATGTGAAATGAAGGCCTCTTCCCATCTCTAAATTTATATAAACATATTTCATTTATCTTATCATGTGTGGAGCAATATAATTCAGCAAACTGGGAAAATTTACTTGAAAGAAATGAAAACAACTATCGGTTTCACACGGCAAAACAAAATCCTTGAAACAGCTGAAATATACATCTTTAACGTCTGTAACTAATTACATTGATTTTATAATCAGTGACACTCAAATCTACATTTACACAAGTCCAATAATTCTCAGTGAATGGTTATTTCACTATTGAAGCAATCAAAATTCTGACAATTTTCCATTCAAGTCTACAGCCATCAGTTTTTTTAGTTTATAATACAAACTAATTCTAATTCTTTAAACAATTTATTTTTATTTTTCAAAGTCATTTTCAGGTTTTGACTCCAGTGACTATCAGAAAACTCATCATTCAGAAATTTGAGAAGTGAAATATTCACCGAATTTCACAACCTGAGTCTGTAAGTGTATATAAGTGAACAATGATATACATTATCAGGTCTGCTAGCTTTACCTGAAATATTTGCAACCTCAAGCTACACTGTTCAAATAAAACTTTATACACATTATATACACAGGACATAAAACAAATTGCTTTCTCCATAATTTACAAGTAGCAAATATTGATTTTGTTTAAGTGGATGACAGTGTCTCCAGGTGAAGCTTGGGTACGTTACCTACAGTAAGGAGAAGATAGCATGTGTGTGATCAACAAATGCTGTATGTTTACCTTTTTTGGTACGAGATCGGAGGACAGCCAGGACACCCATCCGGTATAAGACATGGTCAAGATATTCCTCTCTATAACACAAAATAGGCTTTCAAGAATAGTCAGCATACAAGTGGTATAATATATATCACTTTTATCCTACCAGAAGCCAATATTGTACTGATTCATGTGGATAGGCTTAGTAGAGAAAATGAAGCAGTATTTGCTGGTATTTCTGAATTAAACAGTAATTTTAACAGTGGGCTTATTACTGGACATGGGATTATTGCAGAGTAAGACAATTGTTGCAGAATAGCTATGGTATTATACACCAGTACAGGCTTTACTGGCAACTTCCATCAACTGACAAACATATTAAACTCATATTAAACATTTAAAATATCAAATATTCTATATATATGCATGCATGATTCAACCTCAAAGGCATCAATGAATCATTCCAACTGTTGTATAAACATACATGTTATACCACATTTAGTATAACACTTTAGCATGTTTTGATTGGCTGACATGCTGAACTTGGATTAAAAGGGTGCTTCATTCACTCAGGGAAATAAAAAAAAAAAAAAAAAACACAGTAAGTGTATAGTTCATGATTGCTTTTGTATCAAATTCTTTTTCTTTTCACTCCAAAAGTTACAAAGACAGCCATTCTTTAAATTACTTGGTGATGTTGACCTCAGCTATATTTCTAGTGCTTGATCTAAACAAAGAGATCTCAGACGGATCTTAACACCATTGTTTTTGTTTGTTTTTTTTAAAAAGTTGGATATTTTCTCTTCTCTCCTCTGTTCTTCCTCATAATTATATAAAATTTGAAAATTCCTCGTAAGAAATAGGAATAATAATCTTTAATTGTCAAAGCCAAGATGACCACCTATCTGCATTTTTGTTTATCTGATCAGTCTCAAAAACAAAAGGGCACAACTAGGGACCAATTATGGGGGATCCACATATTAAACTTGAGAAAGATCCATTCACTGCTTCACAAGAAATAGCGATAAGAATCTCTCATTGTCAAAATCCAAGATGGCAACCTGTCAGCCATTTTGTTTTCTGATCAGTCTGAAAATCAGAAAGGCACAACCATGGGGAACTTTCGTATGAAATTTTGAAACCCATCCTGTACTTCAGAAGAAATAGTAATAACAAAAATTGCTTACAAATGGACATAGGTGATTTGAATAGCTAGCACATCATTTGATGAGGGTTTGCTAAAACTACAACTAGGCTGAGAAAAATATCACACAAGTTAAATTTAAAAATAAAAGTTTTATCAGCAAAAGTAAATCAAGTTGATATATTTCAACCTGAATGCTGCAAACAAGATTTGTGTAAGTATTTCTGATAATTCAACAGACACATTGATCCACCTATTGTGCACAACTTTTAAATTCATCTTGCTGAATGCATCAATGGATTGACAGGTTGACATCACTATATGACTGCCCAATTTTACTTCTAGCATTAGTGTTTTTGTCATTTCATGTTCAGCAATAAAGGTATTGTTGAAATCTGTATCACTTTAATTAAGCATTGAAACTTGCATTTGTCTATTTCATGGGGTGACGAACTGAGTTGCTCTTGAGACAAATATAAAATTTAATGAATTTTTTTGCAGTTCATGTTGAATTTGTCCCAAGAGCTGCTTAATTCATCACCCCATGAAAATTCTACGACAGCTCTGCCGAAGAATAATGTTTACACTGATTTTGACAGTTGTCTCTCGCATTGCCATTTTGAATTATGCTGGAGTGTGTTTTGTGACTTTTTTCAATAACCTATGTATCCATGGCATCACAAACTTATTCAAGAAGCAGTTCTGTATCAAAATTGCTCTTGGTCTTGATTGAGATTTTCATATTCAGGCAGTGGAAAGTTGAAAAATTTTGTAGCAGATGACAACCATTAGCAAGGTCTCAAGCAGATATCATAATCATGGAAAACAAATCTGTTTCACCAAAAAAGGCCATAATGTCATATTTTGATTTATTTTATACTTATCTTAAATATTATTTATCTTTATTCACTTATATTATGCTAATCTTGAGCAAATTTTATAACATTTATTTCAAGTTTAGCATCATGTGTAAGGGTAATCTAACCATAAAGAATCTGTAGATAATGTATTCATACGTCCAGATCAATGTTAATCCGGTCAAATTCATGGACAAATGAAACAGGCTTGATTTCGTAGTTTCACCCCGAGTCCAACAATACTTAGCAATACTAATAAATCCAGTTTCCAAAGAAAATAATAATTTTGTAAGTGATGTGAATATTTAATGTATGTAGACACATATAATAATAATAATGATATATACTGGAAATTGATCAGTGTACAGCAGATATTGGACAAACCAAAAGACAAAATTTAGATAGACAGTCACAACCCTCAGAACTAGTCGTATCCATGCTTGGCTGCATTTAAAAAAATTAACTGTCAACAAGATCCAACCTAATGAGTAGAGTAGTGCATAGCCTTCCTTCCCTTAGGAACACATGAAACGACAGGCCAACAGTGTTAAACTCGGCTAAGATTATAAGACAGTAGGTAACAATATGAAATATAATAATCAAATAATGTGATAGTTCTCTTTCTCAAATCGAATAGACCCCCTAACTAAACCACGAACATGTAAATGTACTACGGTAAGTGTCAGCGTCATATATGCCGAAGTGTTAATTAAGCCTTCGTGTAGCCTACAATGCACATTACGTTAAAGTGAAAGTAGAGCCTGCACATGCCCGGATGCGGCAACTCGTTTGCAACGTGTCAAAATAAAGACATTGATAGTTTTTCTGTGCTAATTCATACCCATCATTTATAAAAAAAAAACAGACCTTGTTCTGAATCCTGCTGTACCATACTGAATTTTCCGGTCTGATTTACGTGGAAATTTCTCCAGGGCGACCTTCTTAACAGCTTCTAACATCCCCTCCATCGTTTCGCTGCCAGGTGAAACGACGGTATTCGGTCGTTACTAAAACACTGCACGGATCACCTCGCGGACCGAAACTGCCCGGAACGGATTTTGTAAATCTCATATAATGCACAAAAACCAACACATGAATGATCTAAATACCGTTTTTAACTGCAAAATTATTTTAAGATACTTTTTTTCTAATAATTCAGAATGCAATGTCTGCAGTACACAGCATGATCAAATCTGCTGAACATGTCAACAAAAATATCTTTAACTTTTACCAATTGTTTGAAAGAGACGTTAAAATTTTAGAAATGTTAAATGTAAGAATGTCGCACTGGTACAAAAACACTACTTAATTGCTCATACAAGATTAAATACTTATTTGAAAAATCAGCGAAGATGGAGCCTTTATTTAAGGTCGTTTCCAAGTTCAACCAACAACATCAGCCATGTAGACCTTTTCTTTACGTCGCTGCTATTGGAATACAAATGTACTTATCATTTCGGATATTGGAGGAAAAGCCAAGAAGGAGGGAACCAATATGCCATTTTTGAGTAAACAGCGAACCCTACAGGCATCCTCCCCCGCCAACATTGCGTCTAGAACCCCGGCATGTTAAACGGGAAAGTGGTCTAAAGATCACGTTTGATTGCACACATTACCGATTACGACTATATAGTTATCGTTGGATGGGACTTAAAATGATAGTGGTTTATGAGAGAATGTTCAACTTAGTAGGCGTGATAACGCCGGCCAATAGGTTAGAGTTAGATTAGCAATAGGAATCATATATTAAGTAATTTTGACGGACTTCCAAAATACTATTAACATATCAAAATTTACTTCTCTCTGTCTCTCGGTCCTCTCGATGCGACGCTTCCTAGCTAATACCGGTACTAATTTATATTTAACGGTTTTACGTCCACTGTAACGACCTTTCGGTCTTTCAGCGGACGAGGTGTACTAATATTAGGTTAGAGTTCTATATATGGCAAAGGGGGCGGGGGTGGGGGTGGGGTCGTCATCAAAATATAATTTAAGAACAGGTTTCGTGGTACAGGGTGCCCCTCTCTACCACATCATCTCTGTATCACACTCTCTCCTATAACTTCATTCTTCTCTCTATCTTATCACTTTTGTCTTTTCTCGTCCGCTGAAAGGCCAAAAGGTCATAATTGTGAAATTAAAATCCTATAAATAAATAAATAAATTTCATCATAGTGCTCAAATACGCCGTCGTGCTCTAGTCTTACCAGCTGAAATGTGTTATATTGCCTACATGTATTGTACAAAAACTATACGTCAATGACATTGTTAAAATATTTCCTGTTTCGTAAGTAATTTTACACATTTGTGTACCCTGATACAGTCATTATCAGGAAGTAAAACTATTTTTTCAATGTTAATGATAGAATGTGTTAGCTGACGTGAAAGAGAAGGATTCCTTTACTTTGACAGAGTGTAACGAAGCGCAAGTAACTCAGGGAGATCAAAACGTCATTTCGTTACATTTTTAAATCGCGTACTATATGTACACGCAATAGGTAGGTGATATGTAAATATTTATTTTAAACGATTAAAAACAATAATAAATTGAATATTTAAACAATTGATTATCATGAACACGATATATAAACGAAAATGGACAAGAAATCTGTAACGATCCAATTGAATCAAGCCTTCTTTTAATACACAGAAATAATATATATGATATGTGGAACACGGAATATAATTCTGTCTAATAATATTCCAGTTCTAATTCAGATTATGAAGATATGTCTGGCATCAATCTCGTTTTCATTACCAGCAATTTAACCAAAATTATCTCTATCTATTATTAATCATTTACCTAATTTACCGATTTTCATTTGCCTTTTTTCCATTTTATTTTCAAAAATACACATGAGAACAAAAAGCATACATCAACTCATTTTCGTCCAACGTGTATATCAAATAACAGGATGACAGTTCAACAGGAATGCATGAGTCGTCTCCCTTACGTTACAAATACATGTAACGCCATCATATTTCATGCAATTTATGGACATGTATGTTTGCAAAAGAAAGAAAGAGTTTCTTCTGTAAGCACAGAACTTTTGTCATTCTGTGTTATTAGTAGAATGAAATGAATTGACCGCAAATTCCATAAAGATGTAGATATTTGGGCAAAAAAATGTGCAGATCTTTTTTCTATGTGTACATGTCTACATGCCGATATGCTTAATCATGGTACATGTCATAAGAATTCAAAAAAATACTCAAGGTAGAAAAAGTCTTTGTCTTGAAATTAAATGCCCTTAAGGACATCTCTTTATATATATTTACTAGAAGAAACTGAATTAAAAGCATAAATGTTACACTGGTTCTACTATATTTAACACAATTTAACACTAATTGACTCTACCGTTAAAAAACAAAAATACAAAAACAAAAACAAAATAAAACAATCCCCACCCTGCCCAAATCCCCCCTCTCCATAAAACAAAAAAAAAACAAAACAAAAAAAAACCAAACAAAAACAAAAACGAAAACAAAAACATTTCGAGTATAGAATAAACACATCAGAATGTTGGCGTTGGCCTAACAAAGGTGGAGGCCTTACCCAGAAATCCATCTTGGTAAAACGTAATTGAATAGGGAAAAAAAGGTGGACAAGAAAGACTTGCCATAAAGCAATGCTATAACCATGACGTCATCAAACCCTTTCTATTATGACGTCATAAGATGTTTGTTTCCATGTACAATTAGTTACCATTTTTGCGGCAAACTGTTAACATTGAATTCTGACCAGAGACCATGGGTTGTATCGAATCTAGAGGAGATGACGGAAACAAACGTAGAATTACACTGGACTCACTAATAAGGAGACTGCGACGGAATAACAAGGTAAAGTATACTAATAGTGTTGACAAGATGAGATGGAATAAACATCGAAAACTTCAAACAAAATAGAATGGTTTCTTAAGTTGATCAAGCCGGCATTTTTATGATTATTTATGTATATCAAATCGTATCGAAAGTCGATTAAAAACATATTGATTTTAACAAATAAAAAGCATTTAATTCAACAATATGAACGGTAGAAAATCTTTGCATTTAATATGTTTAACAGGTTGCGCCTTTTACTGATAATACAGCTCGTGTAGCTGTAAATACGGGAACGCCAATGTTGGATCTGACAAGGAAGACAGAGCAAGTGGTCATGCAACAGCTGTGGGCAGAGGGGATCATACCAAAAAGGCGTGAAGGGGGTGTGCAATTCATCATTGAAATTGGAGACAACAAACCAAAACGATCCTCACAGAGTTTCTCTGCCGCCACACTACCAGGAGTACCGCAGTATTCCACTGTAGACAAATCTCGCCCCGTGATACTGCCGCCCATTTCGAGAGTAGCGAAAATGGTGGCAATAGAAGAGAAAATGGATAGGGCCAAATTGAACCGAGAAATGAAGATCCAGGAACGAAAAGCAAAGGCTGCTAAAACCATCGAGAAGGCACAAAAGAGTCGTGAACGTGTGTTGAATGGACAATAAACTGTTGTCAAAATTGCGCCAAGCTGGAGTTGAATATAGTTTTGCTTTTACTTTTTTTATTTCCACTATTTGTTTATATATGAATTTGCCTTTTATTTGTATTTTACTGGTACCGTTTGACCTCAATGAGTCATTGTTCTATCACATATCTTTCTACATAAGTTTTATCAACCAGTTTTATACGCCAGTGCAGTGGCTACTTGTCGAACCTGACCCATTATCTCTGGTAATCAATGCACGAAGCAGACGAGTTTCTAGGTATATGACAAAACTATATCAGTAGTACGTTACCATGTTCTCTGCTGAAAGACTGAAAGGTCGTAATAGTTAATAAATAAATAAATAAACGTTTTCCTGCATTCGTTGGTCATATATTTAACGACATAGGTGCTCCGGAATCGTTAACCGCCATACGTTTTAGTAAGTTGTGATAACACGAACTTCAATCCGCATGCACATCCGGGGCTGACAGTTGACCGACTCATTCGGTCCTTTTTTAACATCACTGGACACAAAGTGACACAAATGCTTACTTTGAATGCTGATGTTTATTGTTGACATAAACTACTTTTTGACGTAAACCTTGCTTGCTAGTATATGGCTGCACGAGTGTGGATAATTTCTTTAAAAATACACCCGACGAAAGTTCGAATTTTGAAACAGGACACTGTCTATTTTCCCCGTATCAAGTTTGAAAATCAGAGAAAAAATACTGCTACCAAACATAGGGTAACAAAAATGTGGAAAATCTTGTCAAAGCCGTTGTCTTTTCCACTTTTTTCTTATCCACATGTGGAATATCCCAGTCCTGTATTGCACATCTTATCCTGCACGCTTGATGAATTGTCTTGTAGTGTTTTGGCTTATTCAACTGTAAATATTATATATTAAATCACGGCGGCGCAGGATAATTCACATAATAAATAAATATATGTATGTATTGAAAACAGTGGATGATCATCTCAATCATTTCCGGTTTCTCGGGGTTTTCGAATGTCGGGTAACTGAAAGGAAGAAAAATAATAATTTAAAAAAAAAAAAAAACTCAAAAGAAAAGATAAATTAATACCAACATCATCGTTGTCCATACTCAAATTTATTAAAACTAGGGCAACATACAAACAAAAGAGAGATTTACACGGAAACTCATGAAGGAAATTAAAGGAGACTATAGGTTCCGGGGAGTAAGTGTTTTTTGTTTCATCGACGACTCCCGCCATGTAAATCTTAGTCTAAGTACTTAATGTAACGCACCCAAATGAGGACAAGGTAAACAACAACGAAACCAACAGGTATACTCAATCATGACGTCAGACGTTTTATCACGTTCTGACTTCAGAACCGAAGTTAGGACAAGATACATAGCTGTTGGTAAAGGTGAAAATTATCTTTGTAACTTAAAAGATAAAACCACTTACCTGAAAGCTAAGAATTGTCGTATCATAAATATATCATAGATATATTGGTCTTGCTTTACACCCTGATGTCAGGTTGCTAGAACACCAATGTTCGTCGGCGAGACAACGACTAGAATTAGGAAGTCCAGGAGAATGAAACACTGTAACCAACAAACCAACCAATTAACCACCCAACAACCAATTAACCAACAAATCAACCAATTAACCATCCAACAACCAATTAACCAACCAACAACTAATCAACCATCCAACAACCAATTAACCACCCAACAACCAATTAACCACCAAACAACCAATAAATCACCCAACAACCAATTAACTACCCAACAACCAATCAACCACCCACCAACAATGTACGTACATATGTATGTATGTATGTATGTATGTATAATGTATGATGTGTATTTTACACGGATACAACAAATATGTAAATAATGAACCTTTATTATTCCACACTGTACGATTTATTTCACACCCTATAACTGATTTGTAAATACTTATACTTTGCAATGTTTTCTAATCACATTTCCATCATACCGGCTTACTCTGGTGTTAGTCAAATGCCATATTCATGCCCCATATTTAGATTAATTTTGTCTACATAAGGAACTGCTGACTCTTTTAATATATTTGGTGAAAATACCTACAGAATAATGTGATTCTACCGAATCTGCATCGCTATCAAACAAAATGTCCAACTGTAATCGGCACAATGTACCCCGTAGAAACATGGATCAACCCAGTCTATGACATATCACGCCGCATCAAAAATTTCACAAATAACTTTCCACTTCATTTACAACAATTCTGATATTGGCAAACCGTAATCATACACAGAAAGTAGATATATTAAGTATAAATTATACATTTGAATAATATTTACACACATGGATTCACGCCGAGCCCAATCCTAGTTTGTTGTACGCGTAAGGTGATAGACCGCCTGGCCTAGGGCTGATGTATTCCCGTCACAAGGTTCACGCATGACAGTGGTTTACTTAAACCACGGATTCGGATATATGTTGGAGATTATGCAGACTAGTTCTAGACTGGACTTTGGTGTACAATGTATATTGACTGGGCTGAATTTAATCTAACATAGGTTTAGACTACACAGTTTCTTTTAAAAAAAGGTATTTTTTCTAACTTCTGTCAGGATAAATTCCGTCTGTCAAATTAACATAACTCGACAAAAGTAATATATTTTGTATATATTAATTTCATCAGTAAGACACTGTCTCGTAATTGATTTCCAATTCTGGCTGGTATATACTTATGCTACCTGTTACAATGCCATACTAAAACCAGTAAAGAGGACCATCGAAAACCAAAGAGAAATTCATTACTCTCGGAAAAGTTACTTGTATACGATACAAGTCCTCATCCCTGAGAAACAAAGTTACAAGCCCCTGTGGATATATATCAGGAACATGGTCAATAAAGTTCTTGTGACAGGTAGAGAGCATCAATACTTCTAAACCGAACTGAAGGACTCATACGTTATATGTATTATTACAACATCTCCGGTAAATTCAGCATTGAAAACAAAATATTACTGCCAAGGAAGGAACACAGTCCATCGAAAGATCTTAAAACCAAACCAGGTGAAAATATTGTCAACCAGGCCGATTTCATCCTCAGAATATTTCATTATAGGTAAAAGCGTATTTTTCGAGGAAACATACTCTGGTATAATTCACATTTGCCTTCCATCTTTCTTTTGGTGTTAGATATTAACTAAAATAAAAAGAAAAAAAAATGCTTTCAGACATTTTTCTATATTTCAGTTAAAATCCACCTATATAAGCATACACTGTTTTCGTGACGACATATCATTACTGTAATCCTACTGTTATTATACTGATACGGATATACTGTAATCCTACTGTTATTATACTGATACGACTATACTGTAATCCTACTGTTATTATGCTGATACGACTATACTGTAATCCTACTGTGATTATACTGATACGGATATACTGTAATCCTACTGTTATTATACTGATACGATTATACTGTAATCCTACTGTTATTATGCTGATACGACTATACTGTAATCCTACTGTTATTATACTGATACGACTATACTGTAATCCTACTGTTATTATGCTGATACGACTATACTGTAATCCTACTGTTATTATACTGATACGACTATACTGTAATCCTACTGTTATTATACTGATACGACTATACTGTAATCCTACTGTTATTATACTGATACGACTATACTGTAATCCTACTGTTATTATACTGATACGACTATACTGTAATCCTAATGTTATTATCCTGTTATTATACTGATACGACTATACTGTAATCCTACTGTTATTATCCTGTTATTATACTGATACGACTATACTGTAATCCTAATGTTATTATCCTGTTATTATACTGATACGACTATACTGTAATCATACTGTACTCCTACTGATGTTAGTTTAACGATTCTGATCAAAAGCTAGCAATGCTTTAACCTCTTGGGTAGTAATTTGTATGAATACCCGGATGTACACGTGTACCTGATTCATCACGTGTACATAAAGTCATTGCCTCCTCTAACCCATGCTTTACTTATACTACACCAACATGAAGACTCGTAAAATGTTCATACGGATTTGTGTAATTATTACCTGTTTACAATTTGTAAATAGCCAGGCGTTTTCATCAATTAGAAATCTAGAAATTGTTTACGCTGAAGAAGGAAAATTGGTAAAAGCTTTAAGAGACTTTGTGAATAGGTCGAAGGCCGAAGGACTTCCTGTAGCAGACTCTATTACTGGGTACGTACATCTGCTTTAAACACCATGTCTGGAAAATCATTATTTGTAAGGAAGCTATTTTTGTAGTTTGTAAGAGACAGTATCATGTTTGCTGTAAAAGTGAAGAAACAAACCCAGCTTCATGACCACTGTTAAACTATTAGGACTGTAATGGAGTATAGCAGCATATATGAAGCGATGTCATAGAAAGTATTATTTTATTCACGTAGAGAAATTCACGTGAATCTGGTAGTCTTAATGGTGGTTTTGTTTCTTTTACACTTCCCAATGCAGAAGAAAAGTTGGACGTTCAACTGGACAGGTATTGTCTTTAAAAGTTACACCATTTTAATTCATACCTTTCCGTAGTGCGTAACGGTACCGTTCGATTAACCTCGTCTGGCTCCGATACCTTTCGTGCAATTACGGAAACAGCCGAGATGTGACGAGTACTGTAGTGATTTTTGGAGTGAATGGTTTCCAGATTTGAAATTGTATTGAACTTTTGAGTAATTTATAAGCACTAAATGATTTCGCAGTGACCTTTCCTTCATTTCCCTTCACAATTGTAAGAATTAATTCTGCTCAAATATAAAATAACACTGCTCTACAGCAAGCCATGATTTCATTTAAATCAAGAAGCAATGTTGATCTAGTACCAAATCATATTTAATTTGATAAATGTGATAAAATTTAATATCAATTTTAGAAAATTTACTAAATTAGACATCTTATGTATTTTTTTAAAATTATAACATCAATTTTTGGCCTTGAATAAATGTCAACTCAGCTTGGCATACAGACTTAAAAATAATACTGTCTCCAATGTTGCTGTTAATCGTGGTAAAGATACATGAATCCAGTGTAAGTGATTGGTATTTGTTAATTAGTACAGTTCCTTACAGTAATTAGCAAAGTCACTAATATTAATCTAATAATATCGATTACCAATCACGATCATGTGATCAGTGTTAATGCCCTAGTCCCGTAATGCGCCGGGGCTGTTTTTTTCATGGTAAAAAGTTTGGCGATTTGATGAATTTGTCACGGAAGTCGGTCGTGTGTTCTGACAAGGCATTAACAACTAAATCATGTTTTCGTCCAGCTTTTTAAAGGATGTAGAAGACGCCAGATCTCATGTACATGATGTTGAGCTGTGGATGAGTCATCCTATCAATGCATTGTATTTTGTAAGTCGGATCGCGACAAAATGGGGACGAATTATTTCATCCATCGAGTGCGAAACGTGTCTGGAGACTGATTCTGTCAAAGGTACAGTAAAAAGCATCATCCACTGAAATACTGGGAGATGGAAGACATTATATTCCTTGTGTAATATAAAAATTCTCGATTTCTTTCATAGGCACCCAAGCAATAAAATGTTGTTTGGAATGCCTTTAGTATATTTTATAGAAATGCCTTTTAACTAAAGTAATTTTCCGCGCCCCAATAAGGCTTTGTGAAATACCTATTGATAGTCAAGAAATTTCAACGGGGTCTGCCTAACGAGATATATTGGAAAGTCTATGGCACCTCTCATCTCGATTCAGGACTAGCTTTGGTTTTAACCAAGTTAGAGATGAATCGACATTCACTGGTTATTTTATTTGTCGTTTTCTAAACAGTCGTCAGGAGTTTTCAAATTTTTGTTTAAATTTAAAACTTAGATATCAAATGAATAATGTTTTCCCCGAAGAGATATTAGATAATGACTTAAAGAGACGGGACATTAGTTGATAAATTCAGAAAGTTGTAATCTTTCGTCAAATCGTCTTCTTACTTATATTTAATTTGACAGAAGTGTTATTTTGACTTTAAATCAGAATAACTAGCAAAACTTTCTTGCAAATCCGTATACATGTATCACACATGTTTCCTCTAAGTCAGAAAACATACACTTACCTCATTTTACAAGATAAATTTCTCTACAATGGTACATGTATCGTATACTTTAGAAGCTAAGAAGCTGAAAATAAACTTTATGTCAGATATACGTGCATTTGAGATGATTTGTCAAAAGTGCGTTTTCAATCAATACCTTATTTTTCAGATTTTACCAGTGTTTGGACTGCAGCGAAACAGATTCCAAATTATTGGCCAACTTTATTAGACACTCACCAAATCTACAAAAGTATTTTGGCCTTTTGGAATTTTTACGATCTCGATCTCATTGATATTCTTAACGGGAAAATAGGCGAAAAACAGACCTACCCACTAACATCGGCCCAAGTCATCGAAATGGTAAAACATTCCAAATATGGTAATAGGCGGTATGCCGCTGTTGTGTGGCTGCAGGCATTACACGACCGCCGGAATAATACTAAGCTGGATGTAGACGAAAATGTTTCGGAACAAGAACTGGACTTCGAACTCGCAACGGCCTATGCAGAAGTAAGTGAAACCAGCAATGGAAAAAAATCATCCATTTTGATGAAGTAGAGGTGGCATTTAATGCTATGAAAACACATTTAATATACCTATGTATAAAGATTATTTATTTTACAACAATTGCGAACAAGTTTTCCCAACATTTACGAACCACGCTTGTTAGCCCGGATTGAAGCGCGAGAGGTTTTACCGAAGAGTAAACTGTAGTACCCCCGAGGAATTTCATGTTTAATACAAAAAACTTCGAAAATGACATTGCCACTTCTCAAGCGTATTTTAATTGTAAGTAAAAAAGGGTCAAAAGTTACCCTTGAAAATTGTAAAATCGTATATTTTCTTTTTAGTGCGTCGGGGTTTAATTCAACAGAAAAAAAATAAATGAAGTATATTCATGAACATTTCCCAACCCCTCCCTGATATTATAAACACTACATGTGTGTTAATGATTTGTTTTTCTTCCAGTACATGTTTCCAGAGAAGGTTGTGGATATAATGAGCAAATATGAAGATTCCGGTAAGTTCTTTTGCACACAGCGATAATCACTGACGACTCTAAAGCCATATGATGCCGTTTAATTCAGTGTTTGTTTCTACTGTATCTCACTCTAAAGTCTGTATTGAAAAGAAACAATATTCACATGTGCATCTTTTGACAATAGATATAAAAGTTATCAATTTTAGTACAACTGAGAAAAGGTTTTTTTTCAACTTCTATTAATCATCCATGTCGGCCCGGATTTAAGCGCGCAAAGGGCCTTACGGTGGGAGGAAATTGGAGTACCCAGGGAAAACCCGCGTAGGTGACCCCTATTTTTCACGTCCGGTCCGGAAATCGAACCTCGGACGGCAAGGTGAAATGCAAGTGCTTTACTACTGCGCCACCCGACCGTCCGACCACCTCTTTTGTATAATTGTGGGTTCTTTTAAAATCCTCAATTTTTTATATTTGTATTTTGAAGTCTGTTAGTGTTATAGTGCACTTTCGATATGTTGTTGTTTTATTTACTTGGTTAGACGACAGACTGACCCAACTTCGGTACGATAACCTAGTAAGGCAAGCTTATCAGATCCCAATACAATACCGACAAAATGCAGTTGAACGACCCAAACGAAACTGGAATGAAGACAGAATACAACACAAGGCTCTGTGTAAAGGAAACGTGACGGTAGAGTAATTTTTAACATACTGTAACTTGTGCTTCCTACTGAGGAAGTTTGATCATTTTTGTGTATATATCTATAACGAGGAACGTTACTTATATTACGTTGAGCTTTTTATGTTTCCTTTGTTGTACAATTGGGGTCTATCGTTGTAGAGATTCTAGTGTCCCCTTCACAGGAATATATGTATATCGAAGTTTATGGTGGAACATCGTGCCTCTTGCATTTTTGATACTGAGAAATTTTATGTTATGCCATCATCGACAGATTTTCTTGTAAAAAATCCAAACTTAATGGCATGATCTTCTCACTCACCCATACCTGCTGAAAATGCAAATTTATTTTGAAGTTTTGGTTCGTTGGTCTGTCGTACTATCGGGAGACCTCTTCATTCCGTTTCATCTCTTTTTACCGATATTACGTTAGCATTGAATTGCTACTTGGTATTCATGTACCCATGAATTCCAACTGCAAGGAGTTCAATGCTGATATTTATTATTTTTCATTTTTCGTCTTGTTATAAGAGGACACCCCAAACTGTTTACGCTACTTTTAATATTCCTACGCTGTTGGCGGTTCATGAGCTGGTAATACACAACTGACTTTGATAAAGTTACATCATAGTAATACCAAACAATGGTAAATATTATAACATATGCTATATAAATTCTATCACAGCAGACTGCAAATGTACACTTCCTGAAATGCTTGTACAGACCTACCAGGATAAGCTATTACAGAGTGAAGGAAGAAATTGTTCACCAAAATCCACGTGTTTCCATCTTCCATGGCCTTATATCTGAACTTGAGATTCAAGAACTGCGTCGTCGGGCAGATAACCAGGTATATTTTGTTCCCATTTTTCACTAAGTCAATTTACTGTTCTTCGCTTCTGTCGTGGACTGGTTAAGAATTCATTGATGTCACTTTTAGCGCCTTCTATATTGACTTGATACCTAGATAAACCTATTTATTCAATAGATAAACCTTTTTGTATAATAGCTAAATCTATTTATTTAATAGATAAACCTATTTATCTAACATCATTTCTTGCATCAATCTTTGTGCTATCTTAGAATGGTTTCTTTAAATAAAACCATGATCGATTATTTACAAATGGCTTTACTTGTATATACATGTATATCTGAAACCGACAATATGTCGTCATTATGAAATGTGGACGTTGTTTGAGATAAAGTCGGTATATGTACAAGTTGACTCAATATTTATCAAGTATGTCTTTGAATAAATCTCAAGGGTGTTACATGGGAGAGAATCCCAGTTATTTCTGTTTTTTGTACGTAAATGAGAGCTTTTGACTGTCAAATCACTTACGATTATCTATTTTTAGCATTAGTGTCATGTCTTCTTCGTATAGCTGAAGCAGTCATTGTCAGCAGAGGAGAAAAAGCATTGGGTCAAATTTCAAATCAGCCAATCGTGAGTTTACCTTGTTCCAAACAGAAGCCATTTTATAGAAAACGATATCTCAGTAATTGAATCACGGGTTGTATCTATTTAAGTCTATTTACTTAGGTTATACTTACTTAAGAAACCAATGGAAACCAAGCAATGATTTTTTTTTAATCATCAAGAAAATTTACATGTTAAGAACAGAAAGATATTGAAATGTGCTCAAAAAATAATTTACAACTGCGAAAGAAGTTATATCATAATATATGAACAACTGTTACTGGCTCTGATGGAAGCATTCGAGGGGTCTTACTGTGGGAGGAAACGGGAGCACAAGGGGAAAACCGATGTGGTTAGCCAGATGAAACATCGTATGTCTGTTAGGGTAATCAGACGACGGACGCATCAACCCGTTCCAAAATGTGCACTACTATGAAAACAACGGAAACACTGCTTAATGCAATGCTAATTCCGATATCGCTTCAAGGTGTCATCGCGCTTTTACAGTTGTTGTCAGAGAATCATGTGTTTGTTTGTACTGTTACAGAGCCTGGATGGCTGATTCGGAGGATAGGATGCTGAATAGAATAAACCACAGGATAAAATTAGTTACTGGACTTAACACGGCGCACGCTGAACAGAAATCACTGATGAATCAGCACGAGGTGTAGTAGACTGTCCACAAGGATAAAAGCAGCATGCATACTGCATTGTGTTACTGCAAAATCATCATTTTTTGTGGGAATTTATTATAAGTGATATCGTAGATATTATTGAGGATGTATGATTCTCAAAAAACGAGTTTTTGAAAAGGTTAGATTACAGAAGGTAAATTGAAAGGAAACATACATATTGCTGCGATTACCGATGTCAGAATATGTGTTATAAGAAATATGCTTTGATTCTTATTTTTCTTTTCGTTGATAACAAGTCTTCCTTGCTATTTTCGTAGTGATCTTTCTTTCCAACAAATGTATTTTATATAAAAATACAATATAATTATATTGGGATCATAAGCAAAAAATAATCTCAAAATGCTAATTTTTAATTTGATTTGACAGTTGCGAATCTCCATAGCAACTGAAATTTACTGAAATCCTATTTTTGACAATGTTATAAACTTTTTAAAGAATTCATATTTTGACAGAAAAATATTTGGGAATCGCATCGCATTCCTACTTTAAAAAGTAGTCGTCATGCTTATCTTTTTTCTTTTCTCCTTTTTTATCTGTTTTTGTTATTTTGTTTTTGTTCTATTTTAGTAATTTTCACACAAATGCCAATTTCTCAAAAATCAAGAAACAACCTGAAATATTAGATCCTATTTCTGTTACTGTCATGCTAACAGTTTACAAGCAAAACAAGCAACACAGACGTATTTACATTTGTATATCTGTTGGACGAAATTAAATTTTTCAAATAGTTTGCCGGTTGTCTTCAATTAATAATAATCATTTTGCCACATTTGCCGAGCTGTTGAATAATCATCCTCTATAGAAATTTTGATTTTGTGCATGAAAAAAAAAAAAAGAAAAAAATACAGCTATTGAAAAAAAAAAAAAGAAAAAAAGCCCACTAAATAATGACGTAAAATCAATCATCTATTTTCAAAAGTTATTTCTTAATACTTAATACTTTGTGCATGAATTGTTTGTTCTCCAAACCAATCATATCGTAGACATTGTATTTATATATCTTGGCTGTTCTAAAGTTCTGCTATTTCTGTGATAGAAACAAGTTTTGTCCTCCCTTTTTGAGATATAATGTTTCAATATATTCTTATTAATACAATAATAATAGCGTATTGTGACTGTTAAGGAACGACAACTCTGGTAGAGGTTGATTATGAGCATTGGAAGGGTGGGCGGCTGACTGTCACAATGGCTGTTCCATCCAGCAGATTACACTGTCGATAAAAGAATGATCAGAAATGTACATGTAATAATTGAACTGCTCTGCTATGGCATTAATGTTCATTATAAATGACTTTTGAAGATGAATATACCATACTACGGTAGTATGTTTGCCTGCAAACCCCTGTCATTCAGATCGATCATAAATGCCATAGGAAGACTGTTCAATGCTATGTTGCCTTTTGATATCATATGTAACATGACATTGCGTTTTAATTGTAAGCATCTAATTCAGATTTTAAACTTTGGAGTTGGTGGGATGCATCTCTATCATTACGACGCAATGGTGAGTTAATAATTGGCAATTGTCAATGGATATTTCCATTAGAAATGATACATTTCCTTGGAATATATGCCAAAACAAGTTATCCTATAAGATGCATACTACAGTCCTACAAATTGAAGAATTTTTTTAATCTGTGTTACTATTGATTAAAGAACATTGTTTCCCAAATTTTATGCTTTGTTCTAAAACATTAAATGATCTAGTTCAATTTCCCAACATGGATGTCACGTTTTAACCATTTAAATAGCGACACAGTTTAGCATATTCACGTGTATTTTTTAAAACAAATGATCAGATATATAAAAATTGCAAAATTTGTAGAATTTTTGGCTAGGCTTGTGCACCTCCCCATCTTGATATTGACAATTCTTGTCATTCACTCATGTGTACAATTTCTAGGTTAAAAAAATGGGCATGTTTTCAACACATTTGCTAAAAGATTCAAATCCATTGCATTTTCAGTTACAGTTGATATTTTGTAAATACATACTATCAGTCAATATTTCCCAGGTTTAACTAATCCCTGACCCTTCCAGGAAAAAAATGGTTATGCAACCAATGTGTATTGTGTTTTGATATCATCCTTCCCAATGATTTTCTTTTTTACCCCAAACAAGCTTTCTGGCTCCTTTTCTGAAACTGGGTATGCTTAACATAAACCAATTCCAATTCCTTTAACACAGCTTAAATGTCTACGGGTGTAAAATTGTAGTTTACGATCAATATAATATGGACTTGAAATTACTCTCACGTGAGGTATAAAGTATTATTTTTTTTATCTTGTAACTTTCCGATATGTTTAAGTCTTTTTACAATACTTTGTTCTTAATATTTCCTTTTGTTTTTCGGATAAGGGAATTTTATATATATAGATTGTCATTTTAGTAAGTAACTCCTCCAATAAAAACATGACTTTGATGACGACCCAGAATGATTTTCTGTAATTTTCTTTTATTGGTGAAACATCTGTTAACATTTTTGCATAAAGAGACATATATCACTTTGACCTAATGCAATGTATTTTGTAACGTTTGCAGGTAAAGAACGAGTTTTTTGACATTAACCGATTTCCAGAAAAGCAAAGAAATAAAGTAATGAATGACATGGATAAGATGGCAACCTGGATGTTTCACGTAAGTTATTTTATCAATATGATTAAACCAACCCGGTTAAATCTGTAAAGTCATTCATTTCAGTGGGTTTTTTTTTAAACTTTTTTTTTTATTATACTAAATTTTATTATTCACGAATTTATATGTCCAAAAGTAAATAAATTATAAAAAATATGAATATTTTTCATCATAACTATGATTTTGAGAGTAACCACGGAATCAAGTGCCCTCAGAACTTTTTGGTTTTGAACAAACACTAAATCTTGAGTCCTGCGAAAATATCTTATCTGGCGTACGTAGTGTATGAGATGGTAAGGAATCGTCCGACCAATGGGTTGTACTATAATCTTAGTTTTAACAAATATCTTATTAATTGTTATTGAAATACAAGTAGTCACAGAGTAACAAGAGGTAAAAAGGGAGTTGACATCAAGCTTTTAGCTTATGTAAGTCATCTCCCATAAATTGATCAGCATACATATTGCTAACGAGTGGTACAGAGATAATAATAGATTAGAGTACAGAAAGTTTAGAGAATGATATCTATATATACATGTGTGTATGTGTAAATCATTCACTAAATGTTGATCATGGATAAAAGTTAATACACAAACCAACTGTAGTACGTCATAATAATTTGATTTCATTCAAAATGACTGCTATAAATTATAAAAATTTCACAGCAATGAAAATTACTTCATTTTCTTTATCATTTAAAGCCGAGTTTCCTCATAATAGTGTGTCCACGTCAGTATTATAATTAAGGGGCCATGAATATTGAAACCTGATTTCATTCTATTTATGACAAACCATTTAATAATGAAAAATTTCTACAATATAACCACAACTACAGAATGGATCATTAATAACATGTTTGTAAAAAAATCTATTCAGAACTCAAAGTTTTACCCATATTTATATCAAACATGTACACGATAAAAAACGAGCAGTAAATACTGACATTGCAAGAGAATCAATTCAGAACTCAAATTATACCCATATTTTATATCAAACGTCACACACTAATCTTCTGCTGGTTATATTCTACAAATGATTTGTGTTTCAGCTGAGTTCTGTGGAAGAGGGTGGTGCCACTGTCTTTCCTAGACTTGGAGTCAGAGTACCAGCAACAAAGGTACGCCATTGTCATTAAGAATATTTACCAATCAGTCAGCTCAGGTAACCATAGCAACACTAGCAGAATGTCTTCAAACGATTATCTTAAAAAGGGGCGTATGCTACTGCTATATTGAAAGTACTTGTCCTGAGTTTTGTTTGGAGTATTTTGGAGCAGCCATGTTATGTCCAATCGTGGATAACTGTCATGCTTAATCTGAATTCATGCACAAATTCGAAGAAACTGCGGCAAAATAATAACAAAATTTAAAACTTACATGAAAAATCATGTAAAAGTACAAGGAGGATACACAAGGTGTTCCGGAAGAGCAAGCCTCTTCTGCCTCATCCAAAATACCTGCCAAATAAGTCTCGGCCAATAAAAGAAAGATCATGTCCCCAAACGAGACCAAGGGAAATAAGACATGTAGTAGACTGACAGAATATCAATACACTTTAAAAACTGCTGGCTTAGATTTCAATGTTTTATTTCTTGAGTTTTGATTATTATCAAGAACTTCTGAAAGAACATTTTGTTACCTGAAGTTTATCAAGGTTTTCTTAGAGCTTCTGAAGAAAGGATGATTTTTGAAGGGGAAGAAAACTGTTTAAAAAAAGACTGTTTATAAACTATAAAACCAGATGTCAAACAACTTTCAATTAAGAATTTCAAAATTTTGTTTTAGATTGGGGAATTTCAGTCGTTATTTTCAAAGAAAATAGTAAAAACATAAAAAGATTTTGATAATACAATGAATTTCCAAATTTGTTTATCCAAGAAAGAAATGCATCCACACTATCAGTCGTACCAGTTCTTCTGTGATAGAAACTGTGAATTACACTAATTTAGCAGTGCACAAGAATCACAACTCTTTTATTGCCCTTTGTTATTTTTATCCTTAATTTTTTTCCCAATGGGGGCCATAGCCCATCTCTGATGGTCCTTGTTTGTTATATTTGGTGTTAACATGTAAATTGCATGTCATGTAATGACTGTAACTTTTGTAAGACTGCAAGTTCTATCCATTGTTTGTTGAAATGCAACCTAACAAGAGCTTATGCTAATTTTGTTTGAATTTTTAATGAAGGAGTGATATTAGATGTTTTCGTATCCTGATTTACACAATGTAGGGCTTGGCATTGTTTTGGTACAACATGGATGAAATGGGATCCGTGGATGAGAGAATGATTATCGCTGAATGTCCCGTTCTGATTGGTTCAAAGTGGAGTGAGTAATGCACAACATTAATATTCAGGGAAAAATTGTGGATAATTGAATGTTTCGTCAGTTTAAATTAAATGGTGGTTATACTAAAGACTACTAATGCGACCAAGAGGAGCTCTGTTTAAACGGCGAATTGTAATTAATTTTGTTTGTCCTTGAGTTAAGATGCTGTATTTAAATTTTGTAGAAAAATAAAGATAACTCTTGTGTTGCTGGTGAAATGTGTCCTAATTGATTTATGTAATGAATTATTGTAAAGTATGACTTGAATATATAACAATATGAAATTCTGTATTGACTTAAAGCCAGGGGCATCTTTATGCTGGACACACTCGTCTCATTCTTTAAAGATTTGCTTCCCAACACAAAGTGACCCATGATCAATTGTGTATACAAATTCACTTATCTTATCCCTTCAATGTTATGTAAATGACAGCTGACATTTGCATAGGTTGCTCGAAACAGAACCCTTAACTTCCCTCTACATCTCTAAGAACAAAAGTTCCAAATCTAAATGCTGTAAAGAATGTGACAAACATCAAGTGACAAGCACTTATACTTTTAAGTATATACTTAATGTGAAAGATGCATCACAGAAAATCTGAGAATTTCATATTCAACATGTAATTATTTCCTAGTAACACAGATTTTTGTTTATTTTCAGCTTCAAAGAAATGGATGAGTTATGAAGAAAACAGGTCTTCTTTCAGCTGAACTTTGTGAAAACATTCAACCACATACATGCTTGTTTCTAGGAATATAAAATTTGAAATCACATAGACTGAAGTAATTTCCATGTACAAGACATTTTCCATGATTTGGGAATTTGACCACAGGCAGCCGAGGCTAGATACGAAACCTGGACAGAATTTTATGTACAGCAGTTTGATGTACACTTTATTATGACAAGAAGGATATGACATTTATTTATGAACTGGTAAACAGATATTGCTTTTAGAAGATTTTGAACTTCAGCCTTACCTACAAAGTAACGAAATGTGTGTTCTCTGGCTAAAACAAGATTTAGTTAAATGGATATCAAACTTTAAATTTATTTATATTCAAATACTGTAATGAAAGTATCGACTCTAGAATTATATCAGAATTTGAATTTTTGTTAAAATATTGTTATGCCAAGATAAATATCAAAAACAAGGAGGAAAGTATATCTGACTGAAAAATCTTGTCAAAAGTTACAAGAATGAGACTTATAGTCTCGCCAACAAGCACCCCCAAGGATGAAAAGATGGTACATTATATATATACATGTACATTGACTTGTGGCCTTTAAACAGGGGAACAGAATTCTAATCCTGGTATCATCTACTTTCCCAATTCATTTTCATTGTCACCTTTACTTCAGTTGCACCATTAAAATTTCTTATATTGTTTTTCATGACAAACAAAAATTTGTGAAAGTAACAAGAGATATGCTAATAAAAATGGAATTCAGATTTGATATCCATAACATGCATGATATCAGATTTAATCAAAATATTGATTTACTTGCGAGTTCATTGAAGTGAAAGGTAAATAACTCACATAAAGTACAAGAATACCACCAGGTAAATATTGGCCAACATTGTCAAAATAAGATGCAAGTTCTTAATAATAAATATATACAAACTTTTGTTGCATCAAATGCATCTTGTGCCATATCACACCAGGAAATAGAACATTTATCATATGGTGATTAAGAAACTAAAACCAGGCTTGATCAACTTGTACCCCTCATATCCTTGTTGCAGTTTTTTAATTAATTAATTTTCTTGTGAACAATTATGAGAAAACTGAATCAAATGTATCATGTTAGAACTGTAGGCTGGATAAGCAGGAATAATGTTATCCAGCAATGGAAAAATCACAATAGTGAATTCATTACACTTACCATAATGCTGAGTGAAAAGCTGTTTCTGTTGGTGGCAATATTAGTAAAGATCAAGATAAGCAGTCATGTAGCAGTCTTGATTGTGTAATAAATGAAAATAATGTCAATTTAGTTCAATATTTTAATATCTTAACAACCAATGATATTGTTTTGTTTTCATGATATTAATGCAACAGTGAAGTATGAAGTGTTTTTATCCTTTTTCTGTTTTTGGGTCGACTGACAAGAATGTTTCTTCTGCTGATAGGTTGAAATCCTTCTGGATCATGCCATGTGAACCAATCTGAAATAAATGCAATGAGAGTAACTAACAAAATGTATATAAAAATTTCTCTTTGTTTTTATTGGATTTTAACATCCTCACAACATCCAGTGTAATATGAGGATGGGCGTCAACTGGGAGACCAGAGTGGAAAACAAAGAGACCATATAGGTTAACTGAAACAATAGACAACCCAGACAATAAGCTACCAGAGACAATTGACTACCTCAGAGAAAAGGCTACCAGAGACAATTGACTACCCCAGACAATAAGCTACCAGAGACAATTGACTACCTCAGAGACAAAAGGCTACCAGAGACAATTGACTACCCCAGACAATAGGCTACCAGAGACAATTGGCTACCTCAGGCAATAGGCTACCAGAGACAATTGACTACCTCAGAGAAAAGGCTAACAGAGACAATTGACTACCTCAGACAAAAGGCTACCAGAGACAATTGACTACCTCAGACAAAAGGCTACCAGAGACAATTGACTACCTCAGACAATAGGCTACCAGAGACAATTGACTACCTCAGACAATAGGCTACCAGAGACAATTGACTACTTCAGAGAAAAGGCTAACAGAGACAATTGACTACCTCAGACAATAAGCTACCAGAGACAATTGACTACCTCAGACAATAGGCTATCAGAGACAATTGACTACCCCAGACAATAGGCCTCAGAGACAATTGACTACCCAGCTACCAGAGGCAATTGACTACCCTAGACAATTGCCTACCCCAGACAATAGGCTACCAGAGACAATTGACTTCCCCAGACAATAGGCTACCAGAGGTAATTGACTACCCTAGACAATTGACTACCCCAGACAATAGGCTACCAGAGACAATTGACTACCCCAGACAATAGGCTACCAGAGGCAATTGACTACCCTAGACAATAGGGTACCAGAGACAATTGACTACCTCAGACAAAAGCCTACCAGAGACAATTGACTACCCCAGACAATAGGCTACCAGAGACAATTGACTACCCCAGACAATAGGCTACCAGAGACAATTGACTACCCCAGACAATAGGCTACCAGAGACAATTGACTACCCCAGACAATAGGCTACCAGAGACAATTGACTACCCCAGACAATAGGCTACCAGAGACAATTGACTACCCCAGACAATAGGCTACCAGAGACAATTGACTACCCCAGACAATAGGCTACCAGAGACAATTGACTACCCTAGACAATTGGCTACTAGAGACAATTGACTACACCAGAAAATAATCTACCTGAGACAATTGACTACCCCAGACAATAGGCTACCAGAGACAATTGACTACCCCAGACAATAGGCTACCAGAGACAATTGACTACCTCAGACAATAGGCTATCAGAGACAATTGACTACCCCAGACAATAGGCTACCAGAGACAATCGACTACCCGAGATAATAAGCTAACCAGAGACAATTGACTTCCCCAGACAATAGGCTACCAGAGGCAATTGACTACCCTAGACAATAGGGTACCAGAGACAATTGACTACCCCAGACAATAGGCTACCAGAGACAATTGACTACCCTAGACAAAAGCCTACCAGAGACAATTGACTACCCCAGACAATTGACTACCCCAGACAATTGGCTACTAGAGACAATTGACTAACCAGACAATAATCTACCTGAGACAATTGACTACCCCAGACAATAGGCTTTCAGAGACAATTGACTACCCCAGACAATAGGCTACCAGAGACAATTGACTACCCGAGACAATAGGTTTCCAGAGAAAATTGAAAACCCCAGACAAAGGGCTATCAAAGACAATTGACTACCCCAGACAATAGGCTACCACAGCAACCAGAGACAATTGACTACCCCAGACAATAGGCTACCAGAGACAATTGACTACCCAGACGATAGGCTACCAGAGACAATTGACTACCCCAGACAATAAGCTACCAGAGACAATTGACTACCCCAGACAATAAGCTACCAGAGACAATTGACTACCCCAGACAATACCCCAGACAATAGGCTACCAGAGACAATTGACTACCCCAGACAATAGGCTACCAGAGACAATTGACTACCCAGACAATAAGCTACCAGAGACAATTGACTACCCCAGACAATAAGCTACCAGAGACAATTGACTACCCCAGACAATAGGCTATCAGAGACAATTGACTACCTCAGACAATAGGCTATCAGAGACAATTGACTACCCCAGACAATAGGCTACCAGAGACAATTGACTACCTCAGACAAAAGGCTACCAGAGACAATTGACTACCTCAGACAATAGGCTACCAGAGACAATTGACTACCTCAGACAATAGCCTACCAGAGACAATTGACTACCTCAGACAATTGACTACCCCAGACAATTGGCTACTAGAGACAATTGACTACCCTAGACAATTGACTACCCCAGACAAAAAGCTACCGGAGACAATTGACTACCCCAGACAATTGACTACCCCAGACAATAAGCTACCAGAGACAATTGACTACCCCAGACAATAGGCTACCAGAGACAATTGACTTCCCCAGACAATAGGCTACCAGAGGTAATTGACTACCCTAGACAATTGACTACCCCAGACAATTGGCTACTAGAGACAATTGACTACCCTAGACAATTGACTACCCCAGACAAAAAGCTACCGGAGACAATTGACTACCCCAGACCCCAGAGACAATTGACTACCCCAGACAATAGGCTACCAGAGACAATTGACTACCTCAGACAATAAGCTAATCAGAGACAATTGACTACCCCAGACAACAGGCTACCAGAGACAATTGACTACCCCAGACAATAGGCTACCAGAGACAATTGACTACCCTAGACAATAGCCTACCAGAGACAATTGACTACCTCAGACAATAGCCTACCAGAGACAATTGACTACCTCAGACAAAAGCCTACCAGAGACAATTGACTACCTCAGACAAAAGGCTACCAGAGACAATTGACTACCTCAGACAATAGGCTATCAGAGACAATTGACTACCCCAGACAATAGGCTACCAGAGACAATTGACTACCCCAGACAATAGGCTTTCAGAGACAATTGACTACCCTAGACAATAGGCTATCAGAGACAATTGACTACCCCAGACAATAGGCTATCAGAGACAATTGACTACCCCAGACAAAAGGCTACCAGAGACAATTGACTACCCCAGACAATAGGCTACCAGAGACAATTGATTACCTCAGACAAAAGGCTACCCCAGACAATCGGCTACCTCAGACAATTGTTCGATCACTTAAGACTTAATCTTAACTTAGCAGTTTATTAAGAGCTATTCCAGTGAAACATCTATCCTATACCAGGAAATTTGGTTTTCTTCAGGAGTAATATTCATAAAATTTCAATGATAATTTGCAAGGAAGTAATGGGCTGGAATGAGTGTCAGGGATATTAGTGGTTTATTTAAGAGCCCTGGAATCAAACAGATGTTTTACTGGAATAGCCCTAAAAAGGTTAGTAATCCTTGATACCTTGTTGTGTAGAGTTTTGTTTTTTGATGAAGATTTACTTGGTGGCATTGGACTAAAGAATTCCTCAGCTGATTTGTAAGTGTCATACAGCTCCTTTGGGTTTCTTGAAAAAAACAAAATTAACGTAATTAACATTTCTGTGAATCCTAAAGGTACAGCTTGTCCTACTTGAACAACTAATACAATAAACCAAGCTGAATACAAATAAAATGCTAATTCGACAATTACTGTTCAGCTTTTTAATTTTCAGGGCTAATATTTCATGGCTAGTTCACCAGGAATTAAAGTGTTTATATGTAGGTGCAATTTCTTTAACAGGGAACTAATAGTAGGGATGAGATAGAATATGGATCTCAACTCATAGGAAAGATCAAAGTAGTAAACATGAGGTTTGGTAAGTGTTTGCAACTTAATAATCTTTCCCTAAGGGTTGAGATTCCCCTGTATTGTTTCCTAGACTCGGGGAAGAATGATCAATTTTCCCTTATTTTGATGGATTTCATATTGTTATCCCAATGCTTTACAATAATGACACACTTCATTGCTATGAAAGTGGAAACCCCTTGCCTCATCCCTAAGGTGAGACAAGGAAATATTCTGCCCCTCTCCAGGGTATGAGAAATACGTTTCCCAAATGGTAGATAAATGGATTTATTTAACTTGGAGAGTAGTTGTGTATGTCTTACTTGCGTGAAAGTTCTGCTGTCAGTTGTCCTTCTCCAGACGTTGGTGTGAAAAGGGACACATGATTACTGATCTGCCGTGTCACAGGATGGTAATGGCGCTAAAAACAGCATCATATATTAATATTAAACAAAAAAAAAATATGATGCAGATAAAATTTCAATTTTTCAAAAGTTTACCAAGACAAATACATAAAATTATTACTTTTTATATACATATATGAATTTCTGAAAACGTCCCATAAACATCTGAATTTGTTTGTGGGGGCAAGTATTATGCATTTCCATTCTAATTTTGGCTTTTATCTTCAAAAATTTTCATAAAGTTTTCATAATATACTACATGTATATGTGTGTATATATATATATAAAACTTTTCAATATCCTGAAATTTAAATGAAGGAGTCTTCAAACATTTTGTCATGTTTATCACTTCAAGAGAGGTATTAAAATAGTCCGTAACTACTGTAAAATGATGCATTTTCATGGGGTTTAATTTTTGTGGTTTTTCAAAAAATCCCTAATTTGTGGACATTTTCTTTTTTTGATCAGTAGAGCTCTAAAAAACTATATATTAGTCTAATTTTAACAGCTCATGGACGTCAGAATTTGAGGATTGAAAGTACAGACGAAATCAACAATAATCAATATCCCATGAAAATTTTTACAGTTATATCATCTCCTTTACGGTCAGGCTGTGATTTTCTACGGTTCAAATATTTGTGGTTTATGGTTATGCATGCAAAAACTAATTGCTTTTCATTTTTGCCATGAAATAGACTACCACCATATCTGCCTATTGTGTGCACTTACATATAATACACAGGTATTTTTTGGTGAAAAAAATCTAAAAAAACTTTTTTTTTCCTGAGAGTAAATTTTGCCACATAGTGTAGGGACACAACTTGGTCAAACCACAAAGTATAGATCAAGAAAGGACGTTATTTTCAGAAGGAGTATTCAGAAAAAATATCATTATATCCCTTTTTTCCCTTCTTTCCGTAGAACATATTGTATTGCTTAGTAAATTGGTAAAGATACTCACCTTGGTCAAACCACAAAGTGCTGATCAGAAAACAATGTTGTTTTCAGAAGGTATGTTCAGAGAGAATGTTTCCTACCTTTGTATAGACTCTTGGCTTAGTCAAACCATAAAGTGGTAATAATTTCAATTTCATGATTTTTGCTTTTCGCGACTTCATCCCATTTTTAAAAATAGCAAAAAAAAAAAACAAATTTGGAACTCTTTAACAATAAAAATCTAAACATTATTTATGACATTGAGATCCTCGAATGAACACAATATCGTAACAAAAATGGTCTCTCACCTTTAACAGGGGTAGTTCCCACAGCATAGTGTTGTGTGCATTACAGTGCTCAGGATCTGCTAACTCTGGCAGAAAAACTCCACTTCCTTGGGTCTCGTTATCAAACAGCATTTCACTAGACTTGTAAGTCTGTAAATGTAAATCACAATAACATAAAGTAAAATTAATACACACAACATTAACAGCACTAAAACATTATTTATCTTTGAACAATTGTAAAACAAACAAACAGTTAATATCATTCCCTCTTGTTGACCTGAATTGAAGTTAGCATGGGGTCTTACTGTTAAAAGACACCATATTACCTGGGAGAAAACCTATGTGATCTACCAGGCATGTCCATAACTCTTCTTTGTCTTTTCACGGAATTAAATCCTGGGTGAAAGGCGAGAGTGTTACCAAGGCCTTGTTGTACTTGGCGGGAGTGCTTGTAAGATCAAGCTTACTTACCAATATGAAGCTCCTAATTGCCAACAGCAGGCCAAGACTGCCTTCTTAGGACTGCATTAGAGACAGTGTTACCGAGGCCTTATTGTACTTTGTGGGAGTGCTTGTAAGGTCAAGCTTACGTACCAATATGAAGCTCCTAACTGCCAACAGCAGGCCAAGACTTCCTTCATAGGATTGCATTAGAGACAGTGTCAAAAGTCTTTTGATGAATGCCAGTACTCTTTGTTGGGATATCTGAAATATTTAAAAAAAAAAAAATAAAAAAATTGTAAAGTATCATTCAGCTGTCCTCGTAATTAATTTTTGACAAGAGAGGTAATACCCAGTTTATTGCCCTTTGAACAGCCAGATATATGAAAGATCATTGCATTCTTGTTCTTCCATAAACACAATACATGATAAGTTGGATACAGCAACATATGCTTAATCCAGTTTTAGGCGACCTAAAGCATATTCCTGTATAGCCAGGCCCGGGGCAGAATTTAGTCATAAACATTAATCAAGCAAATGATTGTTATCATATCTTTGTGGTTGTATCATTATTGATCTAAGGTTTGTTTGTGGGGTTTACTGCCCTATGAATGCAGCCAGGTTCATTTTTAGGCTAGTGGGTTTACTGCCCTATGAATGCAGCCAGGTTCATTTTTAGGCTGGTGGGGTTTACTACCCTATGAATGCAGCCAGGTTCATTTCAAGGCTGAGGCTCCTTTTGGTAGCTGGTGGTTTCCTTACTAAACAACATGCAGAATGTCCATTTCATGTTATCTGAAGAAATTGGGGTCAGGTGACTTGCCAAAGGACGGTTCATGATCTTTGTTTTCTTACATAAAAAATGTACAAATCGTCCTAAGTAGAGATCAAACCACTCACTTCTGATCTTCAACCGAGGTAGCAACAGCCTGATAAACTATTCCCTCAACTATCATTGCTCATACAGGTAGTAGACATTGTGGGCTATATAAGGTTTGAACTGGCAATCTGGATTCATACTGACCTGTCTTTTTCTTCTCGTTACCATGGCATCCAGGCAACTTAGGATGATTGGGATATCTTCACTAGAGGACCCTGTCCAAGCAAACGTATGATTAAAGAATAACAATACAAAGATATCAAATGAATCAGAAGTAATCTATGTATGAATTACTATGTTTATATACATTCTCGTTTATTGTCGTTCAACTTGCATGTCTTCAAAACACCTCCCAAAGTCATTCATGAAAGTTTAAAGAAATCTCTTTAAGAATACTCTAACGTCATTTTGAAAGATTAATCCTGAACTGTTCTAAAAGACGGATTTTGAAATTTTGAATTTTCAAATCTTTCCCGACTTATTACACTGGGGAGAAAGAAAAACTTGACTTCATTAAAATTTAGTATTTTAGCATAAAACAGGGAAAAGTCGGTAAACCATCAATGCCTCAGGTCCTATACCAATCAGAATCTCATCCGGCAGAACTTATGTTACAATACTATCGAGTAAATATGAATCTTCTCCAATGTTCTCAAGGTATGGTTTTGATTCAGAACGAGACGTGAAATGACTTGACAGGGGCATAAAAATTTGTGCACATTGCCAGGTCTTCTGTAATAATGGGTCTTTACGTTTACCTGTATGGACTTTGAAAAGGGTATTGTAAAGATGAGTGTAGAAGGTATTAGGATCGATGTTCAGTGCTGCCCCCTGTCCAGATAGAATGATAAATGCCGTTTCAACGCAGTGTAGTGATTCTCTATAGGACAATTCCTGTAAAAAATAAATCAAATCATTCATATCAGGATAAATAAGAAAATCCTATAGGACATGAATGGTAAATCAGCACTGAATATGGGGAAGTATTTCTCAAATATTTATCTTTGCATAGAATTCAATTCCCCTGAAAAGCAAATTAACATATATTATACCCTTACCTTAATTCAAAATATTTGTCAGCATTTTATTCCCATCTTTTTGACAAAGGCACAAAATCAGCGAATGTTGAACTATGCCCACAGTGAAACTGTGGTAAGTTTTCCCATATAGAGTATTAATACCAGAAAAATTTCTATAAAACGTAGCTGTGATCTTGATCTTAAAGACCCATCTAACAAACACAACTGCGGTATCTTTGTATAAAGCTTAATCAAAATCCTGAACAAAATGGAGCTATTTTGGAACATAGCAGCTAGAGCAAAGCTGCTCCTTGTAAAAATGGGAGAGGTATAAAAAATATCAAAAAGGAAACAAATCCTCGACTACAATGGAAGCATTAAACATATAAAATTCGTACCTGAGATGAAATCAATTCATCAAAAACTTTGAACAAGTCATCAAAGAAATCAATGTTTATTAGATGGGCAAATCTGGAATAAAAAAGAAAAAAAATGCCTTGAGTATCAATCATCTTCATAATTCTGTGTTAATTGGATAATTTCATGTTTTTTGTTTTCATTATCTTTTCAATAGTAAATGAATCGTGTGGAAATGTGTTAAGAAATTCTTGAGTTTGAAATTAATTAGAACACCATCCTATTTACCTAACAACATCAAATTGTTTTCTCACAGAAATCATAAACACCATGGCACCTCAGATGATGACAGGTGTCATTTGATGATAAAACTTTTACACTGGAAAAGAACTGACAAATGGTTTGAAGCCTTAAGGAGAAGTTACCTGAGCTCCCTTTCATCAACACACAAAATCAAGTTACTTACTTAGCTAGCCCTTCAAGAACAGCAGACAAGAGCTCGGAGCTTATTCCTCCTTTCAGGATGCGGAAATAAGTCAGAAACACTGCCTGTATTGTCTCAGTGTGCTGAAATACAAAAACACAAACACATTTTTTCAAATGATAATAAAACTCGTCTGTATCTATCATATTCATTGTGAATGTGAAACAAGAAATCCCAAGGCAAAACATGATCTTGACCTTTGACCTAGTGACATTGTTTTTGGTGAAGCACTTACATTACACAAGGCAATAAAACAACAAAATATTTATAATAAATAATTAGAATTATCGGTCTATATGTTAAAGCATTCAAACATTTGGTTAAATTTTCTTTTAAGTCAGAAATGAAGATGTCACTAAATAACATACATATCGACAAGAATCGTATCAAACAGGAAATTCAGAAATTGGTTAACTCTTGAAGAATCAATAATTGGTTTAACATGCAGACCTGTTTTGCTATACAATGATAAAATTTTAAAATATAAACTTTAATTATTTGACAAGCCTTAATCTTATATTAATCTCTCATGCGGCCCAGTTGGAAATGCTGTTTTACCATGGTATAAAAAAAGGAGTACCTGTGTGGTAGGGTAGGTGACCCCACCCTTAGCTTTCTATGTCTATTCAGGGAATCAAACCTTGAATGTCCAACTGAAAGTGTGTCACCACTGCACCATCAGACCACCCATGACAAATTTTGAAGGAACTGATGTGGATTGTTACATGAATATTAAATATATTTACTAATTTCAGTCTTTTTCTCTTGTCTTCTGTTGCTTTTGTCTCCTGCAATTCTTTTTCCAACTCTTCCATCTTCTTCTTTCTCTGAAAAATTCAAACCTGACATTTCAGCACGATCCTACCTAATGAAATACACACTCCTACACCACATCTGACATTCATCACCTTAAAGATTACAAGGATACCAAATGTTAGGAGTCATTTAATATATATGATTGTAGTTTAATTACTTTTGAAATTTACAGTAATCATAATCGTAACATTGTTTGCTCTTAAAACTATTTTGTTGTTGTGATGCCCAAGTGGTGGCATCTTCATCAAATATAAAATGGTAGTCACTGTATACTTTGTAATAAGCTCATAGAGCTGACATAAAAACTATGATTCAAAGTAGGGGGCGGGCTTATTTCAGGACCCCCGAGATCAACACATTACATTTGACTCAAAGCAGGGAATGGGCCTATAACAGGACCCCAGGGATCAACATACTACCTCTGATTTCAAAAGTAGGGGGTGGGCTTATTACAGGACCTCAGGGATCAACACATTAACTCTGACTCAAAGTTGGGGTTAGCTTATTGCAGGGCAAAGAAATAGTATTTGTTGAAACTTTTATTGATCAGTGACAGATACCGATGGGCTTATTACCAAGCATGGGCTTATCACCATGCATGGGTTTATCATTAGACTTACGTCATGATATTGCAGTTATTCATATTGCAACGTTTTCATTTTTATTTAGTAACACTTCTCACTGATGACAACATTCACCAATAAAAAATGTACCTTTTTTTCTCGTTTGGACATTTTTTTCATCATGTCCTTACGTTGCTGACCAGTCATTTTCTCTTCCTGTGCCTTGTAGTCTACTTCTTTTATCCTCAGGCTGAGAAAAGTATCCAGAACCTTAAAATGATAAATCACATATGTTCTCATTTCATAATTATAAACGTCATCAACAAAATATCTGAGTGTCTGTAGCTATAAGAGATAGGAAAGATCCTCCTGCAGTTATCAATAATAAGAGTAGGCACTTAACACTGCCCAGAAGCCCAAATAAGTCCAAATTAGACATAAAATCATTCGGCAATAGTATCATTATTATAAACTATTAGGCAAGGACTTCTAAATTCCCCTGATCTAAAAAGTTAGAACACATAGAAGGACAGTCTGGATACAGAAGATAGGACCCCCTTCTACTACTGGAAGTCCTGACACACCACAACAGAAACAGTCATTAGGCCAGAGAGTTGTCTTCAAATTGCAGATCATTTCATCCACAGACGACTCTACCCCATGAGGGGAGCACACCCCCCCCACCCCCACCCCCCCCCCCCCCCCACCCCTCACATTGCCAGAGAATCAACTCCAGTCCATTGGACAATGCCCGGAAACGGGCAGAGTCCCGAAGATGAGAAAACATCATCATCATCATCATCATTATAAATTATTTCTTCAAAAATCGTTGAATGAATCCAAATTTAATTCAGGAAAACAATGTGCTATAGCATTGACATATAAAATGGACAAAATTTCCAAAGAGATCAGTTGAAATACAGATGAGAACTACAGGCATGTTAATTTTGTTCAAATATGTCCAGTGTTCAATCTAGGCCAGGCCATTGTGCTAATAACCCCTTTGTTTTTCTAATCATGCAATTTTAAACATACAGCTAGGCCAATCTGTTGCATTAGGAATGCAGTTAAAATTCATAATGCTAATCATATCAATTGATCAAAACTCTCACTGCTTTCCTTCCTGCTAATCACATCAACTGACAATTCACGTAGCCTACTTTATTACATGTCTTTTTTTCAAACTAAATAACGATACAGACAAAGGGATATCACTATGTATTTCTGTACATCATGACAAAATAGCATTCCAACTATGCAACTCAACTTGATTTGAGTTCTTTATTGGTCGTTAAGAACACAAGACAAGCATTCCCCATCAGTGACAACATTTGAGTACAACAGAAGACAAGCATTCCCCATCAGTGACAACATTTGAGTACAACAGAAGACAAGCATTCCCCATCAGTGACATCATTTGAGTACAACACAAGACAAACATTCCCCATCAGTGACATCATTTGAGTACAATGATTACAAAGTTTCGGACACTGAAACTGTCTTTGACAACGATGAAGAATGACAGCGTTTCTGTATTTTGGGGGATTCTGAGTCTGATACATTTCAAAGGATTAAAATTTGAAGACGACTATTTAGCCCATACTGTATGAGATATCATTTCAAGTCAAAGCAGTTGTGAAAGACTTTCTGACCAGAATTTTGAATTGAAGTGGTTGACAAAACATCTGTCCTATACTTTTAATTCTCTGGTTCATATCTGTTATATTCACAAATTTCAGTGTAAAATTTCTTTATATCTATGTACCCAGTGCTGTACTTATGTATATCTTCATTCCACCTGTATCAAGTTTGTAATCTGACTTACAAATAAATTTCTGTTCTATTTATTACTCAGCTGCACCCTACACAGGTTCAGACCACATTTAAAACAAATAATAATAGTGAAACATATTGACTGTCTCCAAAGATTTCCAGAATTTAATGGTTATGAAACAGTTATGCTGACAAAAACATTTGAATGTCCAATTTACCAACTGCTGCCCAAATTATCTTAACATTTGTTTGTTTTTCAAAAGAAAGGAAAAACAATTTTCAAGCACCCTTTTTCCTTTCAATTTGCTTCCATATTTCACGCATTGCGCCCAACATGGCCCCTTTTAATGCTATAATCTAGGATTGAACACTGTATGTCAAGATAAAGATATCTGTACTGTGAGAAAGTTTCAAAGAAACTAAAAGCAACTAAGATGAGATCTGCAGGAAAGTTCACAGTATTAAAAAAAAAAAAAAACAAAGGGCAATAACTCCTTAATTATGCAGCAGAGAGTTAAGGTTCTTATACACTACACTTCTCCTCATCGAGATCTATCTACCTATAAAGTTTCAAGTTGACATCTCTTACAGTTTTTGTGTTATACTCCAGACAAAATTATGACGGACAGACAATCAGATGGATGGACAGACAAAGAGCGACTACATGCTCTCTCTTCAGTGAGCATAAAAATGCAGAATTGAAGAATACTATAAAAATCTCATTCCTTTCAAATCAAGGGTATACAAATCTTAAAATATTGCGATCAGAGATGAAGATTCAGCTGCTAATTTGTCCTTTGGATCAATCTCAGAAATTGATTTGCCTTGGAATCGAAACCTGCTGTATACTTACCTCTCTTTTGACTCGAAAATTTCTGGATTTAATCATCTTACTGATGGCTTTCACAATCTGAAAAGTAAACACATAGAGGTCAGCAAACCTCCAGGATAATTCACCTACAATTTAAAAACACTAAAAGAAATATATATTTTTAACAGTGTCGTCAACCTCTTGCCATCTAATATCTGGTCACAGATAGCAGGATGTTTTAAATGGGTCCTTAAGGCAAATAGCCTTACAACCGCCTTACAACCCATTCTGCTGGCACATATCTATGTATGTAGAGGAATCAGATGTTCTATTTTATTAGAATAAAAGTTCTTACAACACAACTAGTAGAAGATTTAAGTGTGACGTTTTGATGCCTAGTCACCTTTGTAAGACAAATGACCAGTGTGTTGCGTATTCACACTGACTTGTGTAGTGTATGGAATAGTAAGGATTTTATCAATTTTTTAGGCTGTACTGTAATCCTATATACATTAGAAAATATATACGTTCTAGTATGCTTCACATTGGTCATTGGTGGGATGACTATGACCGCACAGTCATTGAAACATCACACTGTAATCTTCTACTGGTTGTGTTATAAAAACTTCTATTCTATTGACATTACCAACCTGAAGAAAATGTTTTATGATATGTGTGAATCTTTGTATCCAAAAATTAATTTGAAATTTTAAATATTAATCAAAAGGTACTGAAAAATCATTTTTTGCACTTTAAGCAGGTCATGATATGGTCAACATTCGGTGGATGTGACAAATTCCGGTGTGTTGGTGACAGTCTCTCACGGTTCGATGGATCTGACCAATTCCGGTGTGTTGGTGACAGTTTCTCACGGTCTGGTGGATCCGACAAATTCTGGTGTGTTGGTGACAGTCTTTCACAGGGTTTGGGATAATTTTCTAGTTTCGTAGAGTTTATCTATACGTGACTGGTATCTAGAAACAAACATTTCTATGGTTCTCGCATATTTTTCCAAGTCCTGTACTATACCTCTAGACTGACATGGCCTGCTCGATCTTCTTTGAAGACATCTCTAACAGTTTCACAGGCTATACAGGACATCTGAAACACCCCAAAACAAGCAGATTTGTAGATATTACATATATCCTCACACATTTTTTCAAGATAATGTAGCTTTTGCCAATAATTTTAGAATCTAAATGCAAAAATCAGTGAAGATCAATACAGTGTCCATTTAAGTGTAAACATGACATGAACAATTAAGTGGTTTCATTTTCTAGGGATTGTAATTTCCACTATTTTCAAGAATACAATAAAAATGTGAATATTAGATACGAAGATAAACAAGATTATTACAGAGTCCATTTAATGGCTTCTGTGAAAATACATCATTATAAGTTCAAAAGTTTTGGTAAAACTGCAAAAATTTCAACCCTTAACATGAAAAAAAAAACCAAAACCTTTTAAAGTATTTTATTTTGGATGGGTTCTTACTTCCCACAAACTTTATGGATGGAATAAGATTGTGAAAATTAGATACAGATACATACTTAAACATAAAATCAACAGAAATGCCTGTTATATGATTCCTGTTTAGCTAGATATTTTCAGAAGGATGATATTTTCACTATTTCGTGGTACAACATGGCAACAAAAAGACAATCCCTGAAACACTGAGCCACGAGTGTATCAGAAGTTCTTTTACATCCAGATGTACAATCTGTATTCATTATTATAAAATTTAGCCATCTTATTACAATATCGTATATAATTTTAACCCATAAAAATCACAAGCTATATGGTACGTCCGGATCATTTGAAACTGTTGCGATTTGAACCAAGAAAAACCATCTTTATAAACAAAATTTGATACAATTCCACCACACAATGATATAAGTGACAGTCAATATTCACCTGAATGTTTCCTTTGTTCATGTAGGGAACTATAACATTAACAATATTGTTCCTGTAGTTAAAGTGAGGGTGTTTCACCAGCATCTCACACATACATCTCAGTGCCATAATCTGCATCGCCTGAAAAACACACATCAATGTACAAAGTTAGATTGCCTGAAACTTATATCAGTGTACAAAGTCAGATTGCCTGAAACACACATCAGTGTACAAAGTCAGATTGCCTGAAACACACATCAGTGTACAAAGTCAGATTGCCTGAAACACACATCAGTGTGTGAAGTCAGATTGCCTGAAACACACATCAGTGTACAAAGTCAGATTGCCTGAAACACACATCAGTGTACAAAGTCAGATTGCCTGAAAGGCACTTCAGTGTACAAAGTCAGATTGCCTGAAACACACATCAGTGTACAAAGTCAGATTGCCTGAAACACACATCAGATTGCCTGAAACACACATCAGTGTACAAAGTCAGATTGCCTGAAACACACATCAGTGTACAAAGTCAGATTGCCTGAAAGGCACTTCAGTGTACAAAGTTAGATTGCCTGAAACACACATCAGTGTGTGAAGTCAGATTGCCTGAAACACACATCAGTGTACAAAGTCAGATTGCCTGAAACACACATCAGTGTGTGAAGTCAGAATGCCTGAAAGGCACTTCAGTATATTCAGTAATTCATTTAAATAACTGTATTTGAATACCCCCTTATCCAAGCATGCGACCAGCCATATACCATGATACTAAGCAGACAATCATGTGTATTCTAAGAAGTTACGAGACAATTTAAAATAAAATTATTCCTTAATTTTGAAAATAGGTCAAGGTAATCTATTTGAACAAACATGCACTAATAGCATTCACGAAAACTTGATGGCAAAGTAACAGAATGAACCAAGTTTAAAAGCAATCAATTGAAATTAGATTCTTTGTTCATGAAAAATTTACAAAAGATTTACTCACCATATCATAACATGCATCATAATATATAAATCATCCTCGATACTCACTTTCGCTCTCTGCAGTCTGGAACATGTCATAGCAAAATTGAAGGCAAAAGCTTAGAAATTTGATTGATTTGAGGAGAAAAAAACCCAGACCAATCACAAGCTGATAAGCTCCTTTTAAGGATTACAAAGATACTACACCCAACTTCAAAGCCATTACAATATACCACTATGCAACTTTAGGATTCATTTGATGTACATCAAAGGATCAAACTAGTCTTTTTGTCTTCTCCTCAAAGTGCCGCACAAGGAAACTTCAGTTTACCATGACAAGTTCCAAGGGTACAGATGCCAAAAGAGGTTGTGATCACTTGAGTATTGAGGAAGTATATAAATCAGAATTTATGTTTGCCTATCCTACCTCAACAGAATCCTGGTGTAGACCGGGATCCAAATCACCATTAGTTCTCTTCTGTTTGTGGCGGCGAATTTCTTTCTTGGAGGTTTGACCTTGAGGGGAAACATGAAGAGCAGCATTGTGTTTATTCTGAGACATTCTTATTCAAAGTCAGCCATTGGACTTACAATAGGACAAGGCAACAGAGTCACTATGTATTTCAATTATTATGTTTACCGTATTTATCTGTAAATAAGCCCATGTAACAGATAAGACCATTTTTCATTTTTGCAAAAAGAAAATGAAAATTTATTAAAACTTTACAGTAAGGGAGAGTGCTTATTTGAGAATAAATATCACACATTTTCATCTCTTGATAAAGCTTAACAATCACAACCTTAGTATTTATCAATATTTACACTTGGTGATTAGGCTCAATTGGCCGATCGACAACGCAAAGATAACCACGCTTACCGAAAATAAAGGGAGGCTACTCTTACCATCTCCGACAAACAAAGTGTCGTCAGCATTGAACGTCATTCCCAATGATATCGGACTTAATTATACTTCTAACGTGTCGTTGAAGAAAAAACTAAAAGCAAACGGTTTCGTGTCTGGGTCATACTTTCAATGAGCGTCCTTCCAAACAAGAGACGATGATAAAGTTGAAATTAGTGGCCATGTTTTCCTCAGTCAGCGGAAAAAATTGGGGATATACCCGTTTTCAGTCGAATATTTATGGGGTTTTCCTTTTCAAATAAGGTTAACATGGCAAATCACTGCATTTATTCAATATATATACCAATCAATAGGGAATTCAAAATACTAAATTTGTATCTATGAATTACAGTCCTTTCCGTTATTGAAGGAGTAAAAACTGTCTTTTTCATTTGACGCATATTGCCAGGACCCAGTAAGTCGCCACATTACTACGATCCGTTTTTCAGACGAGTATTTCTGAGACGGTTTTTTACTTTTTAAACTAATTTTATAGGTGGTAACAGTGCAATAATTAAATAAAGAAATATACCGGTCGTTAGGGAATTTAATAAACTAAAATTATGTATATATATTTTTAGCCCCTTTCCTCCTTGAATGACTTAAAACAGTCCATTTAAGTAGTCACATACTTTCATTTCCCTATACTCGCCATGTTAAATCGAGTCGATTTCAGTCTCTTTTGGTATACTGTGACGTCACTGGTCACTCATTGGGTTTTCAGATTTTTACTCAACTGTTTCCGTGAAATCGATAATTTTGCCATTTTAACAGTCAATGTCGCTTTTATGGTTCATCTTTGAAAATTTTTATTTCTTGTAAAGTGGTCACAGTAACCTATATTTTCATATATATAAAAAAAAGATTTTTCGCTGAAGATACCCTTTAAACACCACACAATGTTGAATCTGTTTATGTTTTTTTCCTCTTTACATTTTTGCTAATAATTTAAAAGATAAAAGAAAAAACAAAACAAAGTTCAAGTGGTTTAATTGTTTTCTATGGAGCAGAATTAATGAAATAAAAATAAAAAGTCGCCATGCAGTGTTAGCTCAGTAGGTAGAGCATAGGCTCCACGACCAGAAGGGTGCAGAGGGCCGGGTGGGTTTGAATCCCGGCAGCAGCAATTTCTTTCACCCCTGTTTCAAGTGGGAAGGAAGTGGTAAACCCCAAAGAAACAAACAAAACAAGTTTGCTTTTACAGTCATATAAAGTCTTTATAAAATGGCCACCAAGATACATCACTGATATAATGGTTACTTTCTAAACTGGCATTAAATTCTTAAATTTTTGGTTTTTTTTTTTTTATTTATATCATGTTAATTTGTTTATTTTTCATCAAGAATATTAATACCTTATTGGAAGACTTTAAGATTTTATTTCAGTTGTATAACCATAACAGTAAACATTCATTTTATCACAGACCATTCACAAAGTAAAACTTTGTAAAAGAGCAGAAACATGTCCAGATAATTTCATTTCCCTTCAGTCAATAATTATCCGAAAATGGTCAGTCCGAAATCAAGCTTGTTTATAAATACACACATTAACATGCGACTTATTAGCACATGAGAGAGGATTATAAAACTTATGCTAGCAAAATTTTGAGTGAAAAACAAATACTGATATTCATTGCAATATTGTACACGTGAGTCTGTGAATATTTGCGCACTTTTGAGCAGACATAAATAAAAAATGCTTTCCTTTAGAAGGACACCCACCACAGGATCTCCTCATTAAGTTGATACTTAGGCCGTCTGCACAATCGGAGCCAAGATTTGCACTTCTCATGCTTCATCTGAGATTTGGGCAACGGTATGAACACAACACCTCCCTATAATCACTCGGGGTAGCGAAATCGGTGTTGCAAGTTCCCCAGCAGCAAAGTATCACCATTGTCGGAGAATGTCGGAGTAGCGAAATGTAAACAAAGAGGAGAATACTACTCGCGATCTGATTGGCTAAACCGCGCTGTCAATCAAAAGCTGTCGATCGGCCAATTACATAAGAGTACACAATCCTTTCATTATTTTTCCTTTTGAAAAGGTACAATGCTTGTTTACTTCCATATACCATATAATAAACATTATAAACATGGTATGTGAAGAGAAATGTACTTGATGTACCGTTAACAAACATGATATACAGGAACAAGAACAATTCAATCATTTGCTCTTGTTACTGTCTTGTTGTTCACCTTGTCAACGATGCCCAAGTGGCGCCACCTAGTGTAAGATATGACCCAGACCATCAGTGACATCACTTATGATATGGCCTGGACTTCTAATGGTGTCTTTGCATATCAGATTACAAATATTAATCATATCATTATGACACCTGTGATTGGGGCATATGAAAAACAATATATCTTTTTAAGTATAGTTGTTCATACCTCGTACAGTGCTCTCTAAAAATTCCAGATAATGACGATAGTTCAGTAAGAATGATTCCTCAAATTCACGTAGAGTCTTTGTTTCTTTTTTAGCCTAAAGAATATATAAACATACATCAAGCACATTGTGCAAAAATATAAAACAACAGTCGAGGAAATATAAGATTCTGAAAATGACCTTGACAACTGAAGCAGAACCTTAAGAATCCTAAAAGTGTAATTTTTCAAGTGAGCAGAAGTAAACGATCTAAGTGAGCCATAATATAATGCTATTTTTGTATAATGACGACACAAAGCTGTCAAAAAGAAAAAGTAAAATTCTTTTGTTTGTACTCTTACATTAATACCTACAAATTTTCATGGTCAGGTGTCACAGTAGTAACTAATTAGTTTTCACTTCAGCAAATAAATCTGAATCCCTAACTGGATGTTGAAAACGTATGGGGCCTCAATTCAAACACAGGACTTTTCCCTGCATACTTCCGTTTCCACACACAGATCTTTTGCCTGCTTTCATTAGGGCCAACAAGAGTAGCTTGTTTCCCAATTGTTGTAATATAACTGAAGCTTATAAAACAATTTTCATTTAATAGCAGTTAGACTTTTCATGGCAATCAAAATTTTTCTTTGTATTTCCCTTTAAAATTGCCTATATATTCACAATTGCTGAAACAATAAACATAAACAAACCCTTTGGGACTTTTCTTCTTGTGTAGCGATACGAAGTCGATAACCAGGGGTGATGTCTTTAAATACTTCCATCAGCGAGACCATGGCCAGTTTTCGTATTGTCAGGAAAATATCACAGTCTTCTTCTTCAAGCATCAACCTCAGCTCCTTTAGTTTTCTTATCTAATCAAAAGAGACATTGAAAACATCAAAGACAATATAATTGAGGTCTGGTATTACATCACAATTCCAATGCTGTCAGATGGTTCAAAACTGCCTTACATGAAAACATGTCAATTTTTTCTATTTTTACTTTAAGGCTTTTCAGACTTTTTCCATTTGTACTACACTGAGGACATCCAATGCACTCAAATGTAATATCAGTACTTCCATACTAACTTAATTCAATTATCCTATTTTTTCAGAGTACATCGGAAGCTTTCAGCAACTAAAATGTCCCCCGATACATCCTATGGTGGCCACAGTTTTCAATAAGTTTAAAGTAGTATTTAGACATGAACTTTTAACCTTAGTGATATCTGCTTGTGTCATTTGAGCTTTTTTCACTTACCAAATTATGACTTTCTAAGCCTCAATTTAATATTTTATTTTTCACAATTTGGTTAAAATATTAACAGTTAACGTATATAACAGCTTAATAGAATGTGGCTTAAAATGTGTAATCTTTACCATGTGAATTTTCTTGTTTATTCTGGGACCCTTATGCCTCAAGCAGAGATGAAGACCTCATCCTTCCTAGAATAATTCATTCAAAAGGCCAATACGGCATGTATTTATGAAAGTATCTCTCCCAACCTAGGAAATAATATTATCTTGATTCTATGGAGTGAATAATCATTGCTATATTTTGATAGTATGAAGGTAAAAATGAACTAAATGTTTTGAAAAGACCTCTGATATCACTGTGATTTAGGACAAGATAGGACAGGATGTGTGGTGACATGACATGATGGGACAAACAGACGGATAAATGGACATGGGTAACACTATATGCCCAACACCTACTCTCAACACTAAAATTGTAATTCTAAGTAATTATAAAAAATACTTACATTAGCCTCAGGATTCTCAATCAGCGCGCTGGCCAGCAGTGCTATCCTTCGCCTGCAATCTAACAGTTTTTTCTTCCTCATAGACATCAGTTGTATGCCACTAAGTTCTGGTAATACCTCTGTCTCATTGGTATCATCTCCTTTACCCAACATTTCCTCCTCTGCAGTATCTTTTTGGTCATTATCTTGAACTAAGAATGGAGAAAATATGATCATTTGTGATTCATGTTTTCTAAACACACCATTTCATATGTTAAAATCAAGATCTTTAAAACTGTAAAACTGAATAAAGAAGATACAATGCATTAAATTAAATGCAAAATTAAATCAAAGTCTATAATATTTTTATAAATTTATATATGGTTATAATCTACAGTGAAAAATCAAGGACCTTAGAGGTTTACTTTTATATCTTATAAATGCAGCATTTGGTCTTCATATAAAAAAAGTCTTTTAGGAACTTAACAAATTTAATCATTAACAAGAATATACCTGGTAATAACTCCACCCATTGATATTGTTGGTGTGAATTGGTAAATTGAGCATTATAAAGCAGTGCAATTTTATCTTCCAATAATACACCTACTCTCTGACTTTGACTTTGAAGTAATGTGCTGCCCTCCTTCCCCTGAGGTTTTGAAATAAGCCCATCCCTCTGACTTTGAGTCAGAAGTAACAGGTTGGCCCCCTCCCCTGAGGTCCTTTAATAAACCCACTCCTGACTTTGAGTCAAAAGTAACATGTTGCACCCCTTCCCTTCCCCTGAGCTCCTACAATAAGCCTGCTCCCTGACTGAGTGATAAAAATTGTATTGGCCCCATGTGGTCTTGTAATAAGCCCTCCCCTCTGACTTTGAGCCAGTCATCTGTGGTACAATTGGGCCCCTGAAGTTCTGTAATAAGCTCATCATTCTTACTTTTTAGTCAGAAGGAATGTGCTGTCCCCCCTTCCCTTATAATAAGCCCATCCCTCTCTGATTTTGAATCAGAATTAACATGTTGTCCCCTTGGCTTATCGCAAGAAAACACACTATACAGTAAAACTAATACATAATTAAGATTCATGAATGTATAACTGACATGGTCATGTCTAAAATTCTAACAGTGAGAATATTCGCACCTGGAACAGAGTCATCCTCAATCATCTGTGGTACAATTGTTCCCTTCTTGGTTTTAATTGGTAACAGAGACTTCAGGTTTTGATTTTCGTCTTTGTGAACAATTTTTCGCGGATGCCTCTCAAAGGGTGATTCAGTGTCATCATCAAAAGCCTGCTTTCTTTTCTTTGTTTTTGCCTCTGCATGTAAACTATTGAATAACAAAAAAAAAAAAAAAAAAAATTAAAAATAATTAACTTAACTGCATCATACTGGCATTTTGTCCTGCTAGAGCTCATCAGTGATGTTAAAGGCTTAAATTTTGAAACCTTAGAGACAACTGATGAAAGCAAAATTTTTTAGAAGAATTGTAAAAATTTTGCTGGGGAGATGCATTGGCCCAATAGTTCAATATTTCAAAAATAACCATTTATCTGAAAATTTCTCTTGAACATAAAGTAATTGTGAATCAATTAAAGTGTTGCATGCATTTTTCAGCAAACCTCAAGGAAAAAATTCACCAGCATTGTCTACCACTGAGACGAAAACTGGAAGACTGTACAAAGACACAAGTGAATAGTATCTTTCAATGCAAATCAAGAATTATTATTGAGTTATCTTCCCTTACGAAATACTTAAAACTATGAAAATGATTTGCCATATCACTAGTATAATTTAAGTGACAGTTTATGGCATACAACTGATAAAGGTTTATCTCACTCAGGTATTACATGGTAAAGAGAACTGTTGGTCTCATTTAATGTCATATTAATGATATTTTCGGCATATTTGTATTTTTTGGAGTTTGTTTTACCTATATTGTAAAACCAAAACAATGATCATTGAAATCTATGATCTATCATCAAATCAAACACATGAAATGATCTTCGACTTAATGAATAAAACATATGCAGTGTTGAATTACCGGTATGTTATCATGTCAAAGCCATTTTATATATTCATCTACTTATCAAAAGTTAATAAATCATCTTTCAGGAATAATTTTCAAAAAGAAAAAAAAAATATATATATATATACCTTGATTTAACAAAACTTGTGTTCATTCCAGGTGTACTGAAATAATCAACATCTTCTTCTGACAATTCTGACTGATAAGAGTCCACCTGATGACTTTCCTTGACCTTCTGTGCTGCTGGATTTTCCTTGTCTTCATCTGGATGTCTCTTTGCTTTCTTATTTTTCTTTAGCTTTCCTTGTCTTGCTAGCCTTGTTGTCAGCTTATTATTAAGCTTTGTTGTACTTGCTTTCTTACCGCCTTTTTTACCTTTTGACTTTTTCTGGAAAAAAAATTACATATATAAAATAGTAATTGATTACACATTTTATGTACTTTAGGAGAAATTTTTTGTAGAATTGGTGTCCTGTTGAGGTTCGGGCAAAACCGGTCTACAAACCAATAAAGATCCTACTGTTTAACCCGAGCTTGTTGTGGTTGATATATGTCGTTGTTTACTCCTATTCCTCAATCGCCCTGCATACCAGTGAAGGTATCCAAGTGAAAGGTATCAGGAACGCAATACACTTTTACTAAAAATCACAACGTTGGCTAATAATTGATTGATATACAATGTAAGTGTACATATCAGTATGTGAGTTATGTTTCCCTTTCAATGAATTATAGAGTGCACTTAGCTAACAAGTTGAGGCAACAATTTTACCTCATCATATTGTAAAATGATTCATCATGAGTCAATACCTATTTTTGCTGCTGTTCAATTTTACATATCTCTTTCAAATTTGCTATTTCCATATGTTATGATACACCATTTGGTAAAGTCAGTCCAAATATACATGAAATATATTGCCTCCTTCATGTCATTTTGTGAATGATTTTTAATTTTGTTTCTCTCTGTAACAAGAAGAAAGGCTTAAATCATACACCATTTTTAAAACTTGCTGGTTCGCACTAAGTATATATTCTTATTATACTGAACACTGAAATAAAGTTCTGATGTATTATTGCATTGTAGGTGACTTTTTAGGTCTTCAAGTCAGCATTCACAAGAAGTGTATTGTATTAAAAATCAAAATGTGAGTATCATGATATGCATTGTATCCAAGCTAAACCAAATCATTATTACAGTCCTATAATAGTTTTCATGGTTGTATGAATTATGTTAAATCATATAACACATAGATGACATGATGATGAATTTGTTATATTTGTGTTACGTACAATCTGAGCTCCATTGTTAACATGTATTTCCACATTAAATCAAAGCAACAAAACACCGAAACAAATCCACCCCATATTTATATGTCTCACCATCACTACTTTGACTATGATCATGATCCATCTTTGATCTGTTTGATGTTGACTGAGGCTAAACCAATCAAATACAAAAATCCTATATCATTGCTTGATCCTTATTTGTTCTTTAAAAGTTTGATTTTTTTTCCTTTTCTGTCTCCTGATTTTCCTCTTAATCATACAAAATTTGAACATTCCTCTGAAGCAGTGATACAAATCTTTCACTGCCAAATCCAAGATGGTTGCCAGTCAGCCATTTTTTTCTGATCAATCTTAAAATCAATCAGACACAACAAGGGACCAAGGGGACCTACATATGAAATTTCAGAGAGATAACTCCAGTACTTCTCAAAAAAAAAAGTGATAACAAACTTTATTAGCCAAAATGGAAAAGATGGCCTTCTGTTTGCCATTTAAAATTTTTGATTAAAAATTAAACATGCATGACTAAGGACCAAGGAAACATAAGATGAAATTTGAGAGAGATCCATCTTGCAATTTCCAAGAAATAGCGATAACAAAAACGTTTACAAATGGGCACACTATGGACCCCTGAATTAGGACCCTATATAAATTAAAGCACCCATCTAATTTATAGAATATATGTATGAAGCCTCAGATAAGGTTATACCATTATATTCAATCATCATCACTAATAGTAAATTATTTATGCATCTGAACTCCTATAACATAAGAGGCCACTGGTTGGCCATTTTATCTGATGTTACCAGATGCATGTCACAAGTTGCACGACATTGAAGATTTAATCTTTCATTGATTACAGAACAAAAGGGTCAAGATTAACATGTCTGTTACTCTAATGGTTAACAAAATACCCATACATACATTATTTCTTTTACTGAAACGTATTGATATCTATATGAATTGTACAATATACATGAAAATCAACGTACTGTATCACAGATATATTCATGGAATTTTCCATGTTGTCGTTTTTGTCTTGTATATTTCAAATTATTCCCAAAACAAATAGGAACTATGAATTTAAGCAAAACGTTATGAGCTTACCTTGGGACTTTTTACGTGGGTCACAGTGGAAATATTTCACTATACATTTTACATGCATCACCGACATCACTGGACAGGTCAGGGAGAGCCCAGTGACATAGTGAAAGTCTACTGACACATAGAGATCTGTTCTAATATTACAGTCTATTCCTAAATTATTCAGAAGTTCTATCGATTTAAAAAAATCAGACTGGAGCCGATAATAATTCGGATTAATAATAGTCAGAATGAGTTGTACTAGGAAATTGAAAGATCAAAACCTGGCCATTTTGCGGTTGTACATCACATTTCAGAAAAATAGTTAATATACGACTCTGTAACATAAACTTACCATTGTGTCCTTTGTTTATGAAGAATATATGATTACTTGATAGGTGTTAATTGTTTGGAATGTTGACACAAACAAGGAAATCTGCCTGTTTTCACATTTCACACACGTGTGTAGATAAGCGTTCAATCGACACAGATTGTTTATTAATAACTAATAGTAGTGTCGGTTGATGGAGACTGTTTTCCGGAACAACCGCAATTAAGATAAAATCGATATATTATTTAGCACGGCAAAGTAATATTGGAAAAAACATATGTTAGGAATATTAAAATTTGCGTAATGTTAATGGGCATTGAAAGGCATTCGTATGTTAATAACAAGAGTTTTTTTAAGAAGGAAAACTTGATTATATCGTTTTGCTCACATCATACTTACTTACCCTTAAAATGAAATAAATCTCATTAACAATAAAAGTAAATTATAGATGACAACATTGTTATAAGGGTAGAAGTGTTCGAGACGTTAGAATTTTAGTATTCCGGCGCATTAAAATACCGTTCCACACTTTACCAATACCTTATACGTGCATGGCGGGAAAATATGAGTAGGCGATGTGCGTGATCAGATATAGGTAAGCTTCCTTGTTTTGATAGCACATAACAAGTTTAGTCTGTCCTGCATTCTTTCTATGCTTCATTTACTTTACATTTAACACTTTAATGATTATCAGAGAGGAGATAAGGTAGCTTAAGTTTCCAATAGCCCCGAGAACTAGGCCGTACCCTCAACACCAACACAAGTCAGGTGTGTCTGGCGTTTCATCATGAATAGCCTAGATCTAGGCTATAAAAACCCCTCCCGCATTATTTCCATAAAAAAAAACAACTGGCTATACATACTAGTTGCATCCAATAGTAATGCCATCTCTGGAAAAAGACCTCAACACTCTTGCCTCTTGGAATTGGGGAGAATTTGTATTGTTGTATTTTTGTAATAAATGAAGATTGTTTCTTCATTAAATTAAATACAGTAAAGTTTTACTTAAAAAAAAAAAAAAAATTAAATGATATTGAATTATTCACAAAAAGAAATTCATTTTCACAGGTCATTGTGATTACCAAGCCCTGAAAAAACCAGATTATGACATTCATGGGTACAGTGGTTTGTTCCTTTATCTGTGGTTGGATTTGGTTGATCTTCTCGACACATTCACTACTATTCGGTAAGTCCTACACTCTTAGCCCCAGTATTTTTGAGTACCGTATTTATTCCGCAATAAGCCCAAAGACAATACTTCTTACTCAAAGTCATTGCATGTGCACATCACTTCTTACTCAAAATCTGATTAGCTTTTATTTTTAATACTGTATATATAGGAATGGACTAGATGGGTTTATTACTAGACTTTACTGTTGGTAATCAATACGGATGTCAACATCAATGACATAATCAGTTAGTGTAATCTCTAATATGATCATTAGGGCTGATTATTGCAGTATTAGACCCTCTGAAGAAGATTTTTTTCTTTTTTTTTTAAACAAAAGACCTTTAATCTCTTGTGCATTATATTATGCTATATATATATATATCACTAATGAACACCCACAATATCATCCTCGGTATGATGATTTTCACTCTGCACTCCTGGAACATTTGGCAAAATGGCTGACACAAAGTAATTTGATTGGTTCCAAGAGAAGAGAATACCAAATTTTATGGTACAACATACACTCCTGAATCATAGATATGTAAGAATTCACTATTTGAGAACTTTTGGTGTCCAGTTGATGAATACTGTTATATTCTAGTATTGTTTTAACAAAATGATTTTCTCAATAATTAAAACACAAGAAATGTTCAGTATGGTTAATGAGTGTTTCAATACTTGGAATAATTGTTTTTATATACCTGGTACCTAAAAACTGTCTAGAAAGTGTGGCATTTTCACATTTTGTTTTATCTGTTGTGTTCTATAGATGTGTGTCATATTATGATTAAGTTCTTTCATTTGTATGACAGGAAACTATTTCTTTTTTGTTTCAAATATCACTGTTTTATGTATTTAGTTATTTTGACAAAACCAAATATTAACATACTTGACATGCGAGACATTTTTATAACTGTCTATTGAAGCAGTTGTAGATAAACTAGAAACAGTTCACATGATTGAACAGGTTCTCCTGGGATACTGTAGATTTTCAATACATGGCAACTCAGAAAAAATACATCTTTGTTATAATATACAGCAGCTTTAATCAAAATAGGTAACATACTAAGGTTACATATTTTTTAATTTTGCATGTTTAAAATTTCCCATTATCAAAAAAAATATATCACAACATCTTGGGCCTGTGTATGTGGACAAACTGTTTCTCTGTCACTTAGGTAATAATTGAAACATTTCTGTAAATGTTAATCCACTGGCCTCTGAATGCTTAATGTATTGAAGCTGGTCAGATAGCAGAATCACTAGATCAATAGGGACCACCATTATTTCATGAATAAACAACTCTGGTCCAACTGGTAAAACCAATAATTGAAAACGGACCATGACACGCTTATGGACCAGATTTACGGTATTTGTGGCACTGTGGCGGGTACAGGTGAAGAGGACCTCGCCTGCAAAGGTATGTGTTTTATGCGAATCAGTCAGTTAAAAGTAGCACCATTTAATGTTTGTAAAATTCTAAATCTCAGATTTTACTTTAAAGAGGTGTCGATGTTCCAAACTTTTTTTTAACATATAAGCTATAGATAATATATAGGAATTTTGCAAGCCATAGGAAAATAAATATCATAAGGAAATAAGAAGATGTTTTCTTTCATTGGTTAATGCATTTTGCACCTTCTGATTAAATTTCATTGCAAAAATAAGGTGTGCGTTCTGAGAAAGTAAATCTCCATGGGTATTATGTATCACCCCATAGCAAAATAGAAGTTTTAGTTTTAGTCAAGAACTGGTTTATTCCAAGTTTCAAGGGGGAGTAACTTTTGTATTGACAAGTTATTTTGTCAATTAAATACTCAATGTTTGCACGGTACTAGAGAAAGTCCTAATCTTTAAGAACACTGAGTATTTCATGTAGTGACAAGACAGTAGTAATTGAAAGCACACACAGTACAAGGATACATGGCCACTCCTGCATGAATTTTGTAATCTCCATAGTCGTTATCTCTACTCATAGTATATCAATTGTTACTTGTTTGTTAGTTGGGTTTATTACCCCCTGAACAGCCACAGTGTCATTTTTGGGTGTCTTTGTAGTAGCTGGCAGCTAACTCACTGAACAACATATAGGAGGCCCATCACATGCTATCCATAGCAATACGTATAAGGTATTTAGTGTCTTTATTGCATAAGGACACAAGCACTGATCTTCATCTGAGTCTTCATAGACCAACATTTTAACTGACTGAGCAATTATGACCTCTCTAAGTACATGAATAATGTTCACTTGTAAATCATGGTATGTTTTCCATTTTGGTTTACTGGTTGGCAGCTCATCAAACAACCAAATGCCAAAAGGATCAACATTTCAGTAACTGACTTTTAAGCTTTGAGAGCAGCTGCGGTTCTTGTTAAACACATTTAGAACATGGTTGTCTCAGACTGATACCAATAAGATTTGATGAATTTGTTAAAGAGATAAACGAGTTGTATTTCTTAAAATTGGTTACATGTTTCCAGTAATAATCTTAATATTGGTACTTGATGTTGAAAAGACATCAATCATTCCATTAACGAATCTCACCCACCCAGTTATTATCAATATATTGATAATACAAAAAAATATGCAAAATGTATTGGTGCCGAATATTGTGAACTTTGTAAATATCTTTGAAAGGTAGTCGATTAGTATGGGAAACCTCAAAAATAAGTTTGTACGAATATTATATTTCCTCTGCAATTTAATTTTTGCCATCAATTTTACCTCAGTTATGCAGATTCACAAAACAAACATGGGTTTACTGCTGGATAAATACGGTGAAAGTCTGTATTCATCTGTCTATTTCCATTTACATCCATATTTTGATCAAATTAAGTCTATCCATTCATTAGTCCATTTGAGTACCACTTTTGGTAAATTTCCCATTTCCGTCTTTATCTTCGTCAGTAAATCATTATCCGTTTGGTCTGTCCATCTCACTTTTGGTAGGCTTACCATGAATATAAATTTCCATTTCTATTTGTGTCATGGTCAATATAATTATCTGTTCATCTGTCCAGTTGAATCACACTTTGGGTAGAATTTCCATTTTATTCTGTGTCATGGTCAAATTAAGTCTGTCCATTGATCTGTCCAATTGAATCACATGTTTAGTAGGATTTCTATTTCCATCTGTGTCTTTTTCAATAAGTCTGACTATTGGTCTGTCCATCACACTTTATTAAATTTCAGTTTCTGTTTGTGCCTTGGTCAGTAACTATTTAAGGATACTGAATCTTACTTGCCTGCATCAAGGTTCTTTAATATAAATTGTGATATTATCATTTAATATCTGACATGCTGACATGCTTCCAGGGCCTAAATTTCAATTTTATTTTGTAGAATTTGTGAAATAGAGAGTGGGGGACATTAGGTACATTGTATGGTCAGGTGGTACAGTAATAGCACACTAGAATTTCATCTTTTTAAATTGATTCCTTGCATTGATTTGAAAATACACGAGGTAATCTGCCTGACCGCATGCATTGTCCATGATTACTCTGGTTTCCTCCCACAGTAAGACTCCTTGCAAGTTTCTTTCCAAGCCAATAAGAGTAGTTGATATATATTATTGTAAGTTGGAATAAAGATAGGTCGCAATTATTGTAAAATAAATGAAGTTATTTATTGAGGTGTAGTGACGGACATGATTCATAAACATTCCAACAAATAAATGTTGTTAACCTTGAATGTGATGTTGTATTGTTTTAGGAACAAGCAATGTGACCGTAGCATATGCCTGCGAAGGAAGTGCATTGCACCTGTCTTGTGAACAAGGGGAGCTAATCCAGGTCTTTCAGGCCAACTATGGCCGATTCAATCTGACAGTGTGTAACCATCAGGGCAGAACCTCTGGTTGGAACCTACAGTGTGCCTCAGAAACATCACAAGGAATTGTGTCAGGAAGGTACAAGTTTAATAGACTTCTAAGCAGGGATGTAAGGGAATGATCAAATCATTTTATCATTAATGAAAAAAAATTCATTCAAACAACAAAATAATGAAGAATGAAACCCCAAAAATGAATGAATAAATATTGGTATAAAGAAATAAAGAAATGAGGTAAATAAATGAAACTTTGGATCTGAATCAAAACACACGAGCCAGATATGTTTCAAATATTGTGTCAAAAGTTAAAAAATAGTATTCAAAATTTATCTTAAATCTTTTATGACCACATAAGTTAGATTTAAGCCGAGTATGAAATTTTTGTGTTTATGGTAACATCATAGTTCCAGCATTGTACCAATGACCAACATCATCATGACTGTCAGTCAACTATCAACAGTTAAAATATTCTACAACAGCTAGGAATCATTGTTAATTGGAGAATGTAGCTAGACTATCATCAACATTACAGTATACAATATTCTGGAATCCTTTGACATTAGTGTAATTGTTCTTTATTAAGTATGTAGGTCATATCTCAAAATAAAATAGAAGGCTGTAAAAAAACCTCATGTCCATCTAAGCAATCTGTTGACACCAGAAAACATTAGTGTTAGGGGCTACATATATCAAGGGGGAAAATTGGTAGGAATACATTTGTGTATATGACAGACTTATATGGTATAAATCTTTAAGTCTGTGTGTATTATTGTCGAAGGGACATCATGATAGTATAAACTCCATTATCTAATCTCATCTAATGACATGATTTATTGTAATTTTTCATAAGTGATTATTGGTATCACAATATTTTCTATAGTTTTTAGTAAAAAAATTAATTCATGCAATAATAAAAAAGGCCGTTTATCTAAGCTTTGGAATTTAAAAAAAAAAAAAAAAAAAATTTGATATCACAGAAGTCGATTGTCAGATGACTGTTAAGGGCCATGGCCTTCTTGGTTTTTTTATATCACAGAAATCTGATGCAAACTCTTAGAGTTCTCTGTAGCATGTACATGTATGATTTATATCACAAATGATTAATTTTAAACAAAACATCAGTTGAAGAGGATAAATTAAGTTTCATAAAACCTGGCATCTTATAATGTATACAGAGAGAAGGGCGATAACTCCACATCAAAATTTGTGTTGATACATGGCCTTTGTTGTTGTATCTTGACTTTTTCTTTGGTTGAACTGCATGCCTCCACATCTTTAATTGGCTAATGTTTGTAGGTGTGATGGCCAACTTCATTGCAACATAATGGCGACCAATGGTGTATTTGGAGACCCCTGTGTTGGCACGATAAAATACTTGGAGGTTCGCTACTACTGTGTGAAAACAGGTATTACACCCTCTCCCTAAAATCCTCATCCTTTTCATTCCATTCCAAAAAAAGTTGCACTGAGTTTTCTTTTCTTATCTTCTGTCCATTTGTGTACATGTTCTTACTTGGTAACCCTCCAAAGCCTTCCGACCTCGACTCATTCCTTCTGTCATTTTGTTACATTAATAAGACCCAACACTTCTATATTTCAGGTAAGTCAGGTGAATTAACATTCATGCATATCATTAGATAATTTTGCCTTTTAAGATACTTCAATCATGTTGAAATTTTACAGAATATCTTGTGTATTCATTTACCTTTAGTTAAACAGGATTAAAGATGTTATCTTGTCATGAACTGTAGTTCTGCATCTTGATATTCAAATTACATTTTTGGTTTAGTGATTGACAAGCTTTTTTTGTTACATGGATAAATCAAGGTTATTTATTTTCCCAAACTTTGGCGGACTTTTTCCCTGAAACATTATAGCCAAATATCATGCCTCTAGGCCTTGATAAGTTGATAAGAAGTCATATAAATGTTTTAACAAATCTGACCCCTGCGATCTTGAATATCAGTCAAAGTCATGTTTTTTTGCAAACTATGTTGAGCTACATCAAAGGGACATACCAGCCAAATATCATGCCTCTAGACCTTTTAGTTGATTAGAAGTTGTTTAAATGTTTTAACAAATCTGACCCCAGCGATCTTGAATATAGGTCAAGGTCATTTCTTTTCGCAAAATTTGTTGGCTTCATTCTAAAAAGGATCCTACCAGTCAAATATCAAAACATTTGGTCCTTTGGTTATTGAGAAGAAGTTGTTTAAAGAAAAAAGTTGACGACGGATGAACGGACAGATGTACCATGTGCCGAGGCATAAGCTCACTTGGCCTTTTGGACCAGGTGAGCTAAAAAGTTTTTCTTTTTTCGATCCAATCAGGGAGTTTAGTATGATTTGAAAAACATTATCACAGGGTGTCATGAATTTGTCTCCAAATTAATGGATAACTTCTTTATTCTAGAAAATTGTCCAATTGCTGTTGCAAGTAAGCATTGCCCTTCATGTCTTTGAAGCCATTTCTGATTTTGCCATTCCAGGCACTTTTTACCCTCCCCAAATAACTCATTTTTTTGCTGTGACATACAAGACTAAACTTATTCATTTACAATTGGAAGTTCCTAAGGACAGACTAAATTCAGCATGGCATTAGTTCTACCATGTCTTAAGCTGACCAGGAAAGTTAACAATACACATCATCTAAACTTCATGTGTAAATGACTAAGTTCCACAGTGGTGATCCAAAGGAAGCAGAGACAGAAGAATTAACAGAAATTAATACCACTCCAAATAGAACAACAAATTATAGAATGCTTTTTCAATTTAGTGCCAATTCAAACCAGTAAATATCTTTAGACCCCTATATATGGAACTAAAACATTTCTCTCTATCCATCTATCTGTGTTTAGATCTGTGCTCTAGCAGCTTCATTCCTTGAAGAATTCTTATCAGACTTCACAAATTTATTAAACATTAAACTATTTTGGACATGTTCGAGTTACAGGATTATTAGGTCAAGGTCACCATAACTATTTTTAGAAAATATAAGCCCTCTATCTGATTCATTCAAACAAACTGCTGACACTAACAAATGACCATAACAAACTATTTCATATTGGTAATATAATTGTTTTGAGGGATAGGAGCCTTGCTTTTGAATTGGTGTTGTATTGGATAAGTCATCTAGGAATGAATACCCTTTAGTATGCAGGGGGATTGTATATAACTAAGACATACCCTATAGTATGCAGGGGGATTGTATATAACTAAGACATACCCTCTAGTATGAAGGGGATTGTATATGTATAAACTAAGACATACCCTCTAGTATGCAGGGGGATTGTATATGTATAAACTAAGACATACCCTCTAGTATGCAGGGAGATGGTATATAACTAAGACATACCCTCTAGTATGCAGGGTGATAGTAAATAACTAAGACATACCCTCTAGTATGCAGGGGGATTGTATATAGCTAAGTCATACCCTCTTGTATGCAGGGGGATTGTATATAACTAAGACATACCCTCTTGTATGCAGGGGGATTGTATATAACTAAGACATACCCTCTTGTATGCAGGGGGATTGTATATAACTAAGACATACACTCGTGTATGCAGGGGGATTGTATATAACTAAGACATACCCTCTTGTATGCAGGGGGATTGTATATAGCTAAGTCATACCCTCTTGTATGCAGGGGGATTGTATATAACTAAGACATACCCTCTTGTATGCAGGGGGATTGTATATATATAACTTGTATAAGACATACTAAGACTACTCTCTTGTATGCAGGGGGATTGTATATAGCAGGGGGATTGTAGCTAAGTCATACCCTCTTGTATGCAGGGGGATTGTATATAACTAAGACATACCCTCTTGTATGCAGGGGGATTGTATATAACTAAGACATACCCTCTAGTATGCAGGGGGATTGTATATAGCTAAGTCATACCCTCTTGTATGCAGGGGGATTGTATATAACGAAGACATACCCTCTTGTATGTAGGGGGATTGTATATAACTAAGACATACCCTCTTGTATGCAGGGGGATTGTATATAACTAAGACATACCCTCTTGTATGCAGGGGGATTGTATATAACTAAGACATACCCTCTAGTATGCAGGGGGATTGTATATAACTAAGACATACTCTCTTGTATGCAGGGGGATTGTATATAACTAAGACATACCCTCTAGTATGCAGGGGGATTGTATATAACTAAGACATACCCTCATCTGCATGTTTCTATATGCTAAATTAAAAACTATTGATTCAATGAGTTAAGTACCAATATTTAGGAAATTTTTCTACATTCAAAATGTAAACTGTGACCACAATTTATTCACTTTGATACAATCTATGGGATAACCGGATCTAATGTTTTTGGTGTTTTTAATGTTGACACAAAAGATTGACACTGAGGAAACAATTTCATTTCGTAAATGTTAGGTACACACATAATGGTCAGCAAATTAATGGATTTGATAAATAAACAAAGTTTCATTCTAAGGACAGCAAGAAAGAAATTTCATTTCATTGATATTGAAAACATAAAATGTCTTTGTATTGCGTCATGTATTTTAACACTAAATCAGTGTTGACAATGTGACATAACACTGGAATATAATTAAAATATATCCCTACAAGTTGTCATTAAACAATAGTTATGAAAACACTTCCGAAACATTAGGCATACATAACATTTTGAAAAGTGAATTTACACAATTCCTGGTATCAGTGTTACCAGAAAAATGTACATGCTCTAACATTTATTCTGGTTAAGGGCAATATTGACCATGAAAGTTAACACGTTGTTACGTTCGTTACATGATGAAACACGACTTTTTGTATGAAGACAATGTTTAAATATCATCTTTTTTCTTTTGCAGATATCTGAAGATCAGAAAAGATGAATAATTAAAGAATAAAATGTTTTACTGCTGATCTTTTGTTTGTCTGTTGAAGTAATAACAGGAAGTGACATTGCGGTGTCAGCTCTATATATACTGTATCATAGACAAGAAATTTGGTTGTTAACTATAGCAGTGCATCTTTTACTTTGATTTTATCTTTTTGACAATTATACTGTTTATCATGTAAATCTCACAGAATTTTGTAAATGGGTTTTGAATATTTTCATTTTTAACCTGTACTGGTATGCATTCCATGTCAATGTGTGTAACACTCATGATTTCTTGCCAGTTTGTCCAATGTCTGACATAATGTCCATCAACATTTCTGGATACATACTTCATTAAACAAGCTGGATTTTGTCTAGATAATGTTGTGATGAATGTGTTATTACATTTTTGTGGCATTTACGTCAGAAAAATTGAAACTCCAAATAGATACACCTAAAATTAAATAAGTGGAAAGTAGAAATGAGTAATGACCATCACTTTTAAAAAAGGTATAATTATGCATCAATGAAGTTACTTTATACAATAATATTTTTTGTTAGTGAAAGAATTTGAAAGGACAGTCTAAAAAGTAATCTATTGATAGATAATTGAAAAATTTCAAGCAAAATTACAGGAGGAATCATGTCAACGCATGTAAGATTCAAATGCCAGACTTAAAAATTAAATGATAAATATTGTGATGAACAATCTTTATTTTTTGATAAATCAGCAAATGAGATCCAGGGACAGTAGTTAAGTGGAAGTGAAATTATTGTGTAATGTTGAATTTGAAAATTGTTGTGTGACTGACATTATTGCTGCCTCTTACCTGAAAAGATACATTTGTTAATCTATTTTACAGCAACATGTAATTGTTATTAATTTAACAGCAACATCAAATTTGAATAATTGTCTCAAGAGCAACTCAATTCATCGCCTCATGAAATTCAGCAAAACAAGATTCAGTGCTGAAATAATGTCATATTCTCTATTGTGTAAAAGTTGGGCTGTAATTTGTCATTTAATCTATTACAGCATTAGGTAATACTTTTTAAAAGCCTTTGTTACAATGAGAACCTGCTTCCAGAAACCAGGTCAGGGTCATGCTTGCTAAATCTAATCTACCTAAATAAACAATGTAACTGAATTTGGATGTCTTGATATTGGCTAACTTCTGAATAAATTTGGTTTTTGATATCTTCATTAATCAAGCTGCCCGTTTAGAGAGTGAGAGGTTGCTAGTTGGAATAACTGTAGGCTAGATATTTTTTCTATAGTCTACTGGCCCTTCAGTATTACATTATCAATGATCACTGCAAGTACATGCTGTAAGTAAGTGATTCTGAAGCTGAAAAATAGGTTATGGTTACAAGTATTTACAGATGAAGACTTTTGAAGGAGTGATAAGAGTAAATAAGTTGAGAATACAAAAGATGTCTTCCTGAATACTGGTGGTGCATGGGAATTTCTGGTTGTTGCTGTTGTCAGGAAGTACATCCTCATGTAGATTTTGATATATCTTTTTTTTACAGTCACTTTGGAATTTTTATCTCGTTCTTGTAGTATTTAAACAAGATAAAGCTGGGCTGATATGCTTCTTTCACTAACTTTAGACACACAAATGTAGGATATTCACAGGGTACATTTGGACCGAATTGTGGGAACCAATGTCCAGTTATTAATTGTGCAGGAAATGAATGTGATTCAGTGACAGGACTTTGTACTGCGGGTTGTGCCCCAGGTTACCTTGGAGACAATTGCTATACAGATAGGATAAATGTCTGTTCCTTTTCCATTGCATAATAGTTAATAGATTTAAGCATAGTATACTACACATATATTCATTGTCAGGTGACGGAGGCTTGGTTGACTGTCTCTAGATTCTGCAAATTTCAAAACATTGCTTTCCTTCTATCCCTAAAGAACATTCGTTGTTGGTATACAATTCTAAGATCTGGCAGGATCATTTTCATGATCTTTGTTCAAAATTGTCTCCATGTGTAATTGGCATTCTGTTCAAGATTTTAAAGAAAACTTGACACCATTCGGATGACCATTTTAGATATACATCACTATTATGCAGAAAATGCCGAATAGATTTGGTTTTTATAAAATTTCAAAAATTGCCAAAAAAGAACAGCTCCTTGTGGTCATTAAAAAGTATAGTTAGATAAATATGTATTCCCAAGTATTGAAACTGATTTGAAGAAAGCAAATGATGGACTATTTAAATCATGTTTCCTCACAGTGTTCTTTCTCCCTGTGCCTTAAATTCATAAATTGGGAAAAATATGTGGGTGTGTATATCAAAGAATTTTCTGAAAATATTGGGAAATATTCTTGGATTTTGTTTCATTTAACACACATTTTGGTTAAAGGAAATTGCAGTTTAGAGTAAAAAACCACTGACCTTGATCATGCTTGTACTCTGTCATCTGTTCTTCTTACTCCTAAAACAGTTTTTGTTCTCAGATATATTTAGGACCTTTGAATTAGTTTTCAGAGCTGGGTTTCATTAACCTTGCTTTTAATACCTAAGATTTTTTGGGAGCTACAATTTAGTTATGAAGTGTTTTATTTATTTGTTCAGGCATAGATAGTTGGAAGACATGCAAATCTCACTTTATTGGGGCAAATTTGAAAATCAATGTTTCATTATAGAATCTTTGATACGTACATGTTATCATGAAGTTGATTATGAATATCCAAAGACATTAAAATGTATAGTTATATTTTTATTGTGAAGAAACAAAGAAAATCAAAACAAGAGATGAAAGTTCCAGTTAATTTTTTAATTTGCTTGTTTATTATTATTTTATATATTTTGCTACAAATAAACAATGTACATGTATTGTTGCTGTCTCTGGAAGACAGCTACGAAGCATTTTTTCTTTTTTTTCCTTCTTTTTTCTTGTCTTCACACTAGTCCTATATCTTCTTTAATACCCTTTATCAATTTTTTTTTTTTTTTTTTTAGAAAAGTCCAGATTAACCAACAAACGTTGGCAGTTGATATTTGATATGCAGCATTCTGAGATGAACAAATTATGAACTGAAAATTATGGGAAATATGTTTGGTTACATTGCTAGGCTGAAATATATGTAGCATTTTTGTGTGAAGATTGGCATGAATGGATAATTTTCAAAATCATATGTAGCTATGGAAAGAAGTTAAAAAAAAAAAAAAGTCAGCTGAAACATTCATGGCAGAGCCAAAATTTTCAGGAAATACTTAACTCCTAACAACTGTGAAAGCTTTTGAAAATATTTGACTGATCCAAGTCTAATAAACCCAAAAGCAGAGTGTGCTTCCTAGTACTTAGTTGGTCACTGCTGGGGTTTACTTTTTAGGTCTAAAGGGGATATTTCCTGTCTCTGTTCTCTTAAAGAGGATTTCATTGTTTATAGATCTCTGAAAAGAAATGATGTTTTTTATCTATGTATGTTTCAAATTATGTAAATGATTACCTCAAAGATTATCAACAGTGGTATTTCTTTTTCGGTTTTACATCAGCCTGTGCTGTAGGGTTTTCTAAATTCACCAGGAAAATATTCTTGGATTTTTCTTCATTTTTAGAAGATAATTAACAGACATTTTTTTCCAGGGGAAACAATCCTTTTTGACTAAGCCATTATGATACACATGGATGTTAATGGTGTAATTAGCAATAGCTAATATAGAATGTGTTATCTGATTATATTTGAAGGAAAACCCATCCTTGATGGCAAAATCAAAGGCACAAATGAAGTGATTTGATTGGTTCCAGAAAAAATATTTGACCAATCAAAAGCTGATATGTCCTTTGAAAGTAAAGACACCCATCTTTAAAGCCATTACAAGATACAGTTATGCGGCCTTAAGATTTGTTTGGTTTACATCAGAGGATGAAACTAGTATTTTTGTCTTGTCCATAAAGTGTTGCAACTAAAAGCTTAAAATTGTTAGTTTCTTCAGAAAATGAATTATCTCAATCTCAATACATTTGACTAGAGAGTATGAGTGCGATGGATCACACTATCAATGAGATATAACAATGCATGGATGATGGAGAAATTGGGATTGAATGTTAAATGGGAAATTCATTAGACAACAACACTTAATTGTGATCAATCCTTTTAATTTGCAAGAAATCAAAAAATATGAAAATAGAAATGCTATACATTCAATAATTTTCCCTTTTCTCAATTTTGTTAACAAAACATTTTTATATACGTATATTTATGTACATGTACCATTCCAAGAATAGCAAAAGTGGAACCCTTTGGAAGTATGTTTAAGGAATCCTATTTTCTCAGCATTGTTTTTAACAAAGAGCATTAAATATAAGTAAAAGTTCCATATAGAAGTGAACCTTTTAGGATTTAAGGTGCCAGAATTGTAATTGTTAGACTGTTATATATGTTGCATGTATCGTTTTTCAGGAGTTACTCAAAAGAACATCAAAAGAGAAAATTTTCTTCCTTTTGGTCGATTTTCAAAAGCACTTCCTTAAAAGCAATTTTACAATAGGAATTACTGCAAAATCCAAGTTTGTTAAACTTGTTGCTTTTTAGCCAATTTTAAAAAATAAATTTATTTTCATTTAAGTTATCCATGCTAACATGCCTATAATATTTGATTTTTCCAATGGTTAATAAAATTAAATTTCTGCAGTTTTACCAAAACCTTGCTTCAAAAAAAACTATTTTTTGTTTTTGTTTTTTCTTGTGTTGGTCTTTTTTCTCTTAATCTTTGAGAGGGAGTTGAGAGAGGGAAATTTATATATTAAGTCTATTTTCACAGCCGCAATTTTGCACAGTGTAAATGGGTTTACATATTGTTCTGTTCATTTTAGAGCTTCAGTGTTGTTAAGCCTTTTTCTGTATAATTTATTGTACGAACCTCTTTGCAGTATGTGATCCCTGGACTTGGGGCAGTTTCTGTGAAAACTTATGTTCATATAATTGCTATGGATCTGTATGCCACAATACAACTGGAGATTGCCTATATCATTGTAGGAGGGGTTACGAAGGCAGCAGGTGTGACTCTGGTAAGACACTATGACTGTAAGATTATTCATTTTTATGGAGGTGTTAATTTGCTAAATAGGCAAACCAATTTCATTTAGTTGGATCAAATTTTTATGATAAAGCTAAAACATATCAGAAGTATTTATCATTGGGTGAAAATGAAAAGTTGTATTAAAATGCAAAAAAATCTTGGGCAACTTTTTCCATAGGTGTTTCAGGTTTTTGTCATGACAGAATTACCATATATGGCTGTGGTTCTATTTGCAGGCCCTTTAAATGATTAGCACATGTAACATAAAAACATGAAATTTAAAATGTATGGGTGGGTGGGATGGAGGGATTCAATTTTTGTTAAATGTGTAAATTCTGATCAAGTGACTTTTACTGATAACTTTTGGTAAGTTGAATTCTTTTGTGTTGTAGTGTGTTCGGCAGGGACCTGGGGTGACAATTGTGGAGAATCCTGTGAGCCTGGTTGTAGTGGAGGAAACTGCAATCACATAACTGGCATCTGTAGCTCAGGTTGTGTACTGGGTTACAATGGAAAGTTTTGTGACAAGAGTGAGTATAAACTATCACTGACCACTGTACTTCTGTACAGTGTTACAATGGACAGACCTGTGACAAGTATGTACTACTGTTGTCACTGACCACTGTACTAATGTACATGGTTACAATGGACAGACCTGGGACAAATATGGACTACTGTTACTGACCACTGTACTTCTGTCAGGGTTACAATGGACAGACCTGTGACAAGTATGGACTACTGTTGTCACTGACCACTGTACTTCTGTACAGGGTTACAATGGACAGACCTGTGACAAGTATGGACTGCTCTTGTCACTGACCACTGTACTTCTGTACAGGGTTACAATGGACAGACCAGTACGTCACTGACCACTGTACTTCTGTACTTGGTTACAATGGACAGACCTGTGACAAGTATGGACTACTGTTGTCACTGTGACCTACTGTTGTCACTGACCACTGTACTAATGTACATGGTTACAATGGACAGACCATCGTCACTGACCACTGTACTTCTGTGACAATGGACAGACCTGTGACAAGTATACTGCTCTTGTCACTGACCACTGTACTTCTGTACAGGGTTACAATGGACAGACCTGTGACAAGTATGGACTGCTCTTGTCACTGACCACTGTACTTCTGTACAGGGTTACAATGGACAGACCTGTGACAAGTATGGACTACTGTCGTCACTGACCACTGTACTTCTGTACTTGGTTACAATGGACAGACCTGTGACAAGTATGGACTACTGTTGTCACTGACCACTGTACTTCTGTACTTGGTTACAATGGACAGACCTGTGACAAGTATGGACTACTGTCGTCACTGACCACTGTACTTCTGTACAGGGTTACAATGGACAGACCTGTGACAAGTGACAAGTATGGACTACTGTTGTCACTGACCACTGTACTTCTGTCAGGGTTACTGGACAGACCTGTGACACTGTCACTGACCACTGTACTTCTGTACAATGGGTTACAATGGACAGACCTGTGACAAGTATGGACTACTGTTGTCACTGACCACTGTACTTCTGTACTGGGTTACAATGGACAGACCTGTGACAAGTATGTACTACTGTTGTCACTGACCACTGTACTAATGTACATGGTTACAATGGACAGACCTGGGACAAATATGGACTACTATCGTCACTGACCACTGTACTTCTGTACAGGGTTACAATGGACAGACCTGTGACAAGTATGGACTGCTCTTGTCACTGACCACTGTACTTCTGTACAGGGTTACAATGGACAGACCTGTGACAAGTATGGACTGCTCTTGTCACTGACCACTGTACTTCTGTACAGGGTTACAATGGACAGACCTGTGACAAGTATGGACTACTGTTGTCACTGACCACTGTACTTCTGTACTTGGTTACAATGGACAGACCTGTGACAAGTATGGACTACTGTCGTCACTGACCACTGTACTTCTGTACAGGGTTACAATGGACAGACCTGTGACAAGTATGGACTACTGTCGTCACTGACCACTGTACTTCTGTACTGGGTTACAATGGACAGACCTGTGACAAGTATGGACTGCTGTTGTCACTGACCACTGTACTTCTGTACGAGGTCTAATCACCAACTGAGTGTGTATGTAAAGCATGTGTATACTAGCTTGATATCTCTGAACATCTGACAGAATTAGTTTATATTATAACTGTAATATTACTAATTTTCTATCATTACCTCTAGACCTTATTAGAGTTTGGTGGTCTTGTATTTAGTGTTAAAGTTCAAAGATCACTCTTGACCACTATTAAAATAAAAAGAAAAATATCTTGTAAACCTCGTGACAAAGTATATCGGACAAGTTTGAGTTTCAGGGTTGTTGGGTTAAAGTCACTTGTGGGATGGTGTAGAGGACATTGCAATACTCAGTACGCTTGTTTTTTGTTGACATCATCATCTTATGATCTTGAATACTGAAACAGTTTTGTTTATTTCGCTCAGTGAGCTGTCTTTTAATTAACACAGACTTTGGAAGTGTCTTTTTTCATGAAACTTTTTCCAAACGAATGATGTGTTCATTGGTTGTTACAGATATAGTAAATATAGAATTTGGGCGAAAAGGGGAATTTTTTTACCAATTATGAGAAATGGAGAAATTTCTGACAGTTCTTTTTGCCAGAATTTAAAAGAGGGATTATATGGAGATGAAATATATGACACACATGAAGATTACATAATCAAAATATGACAAGGTTGAGGTTAGACTGATATTTCTTTTTCTTGATAGCATGATTCAAAACTGTGTTGTGTAGAATTAATCAGCTCTGATTTTGGGGAAATTTCCATGTTTTCAGTATATTTTCTTGATTGGAATTTTTTTCTTATATTCAGAACAGAAAACATGCCACTTGGGGAACACTACCCTTTTCCTGTAGTAAGATATGTCTCTATTGATCCCTGGTATTAAATATATACAAAGTGTATTGAGACTATTTAATTTTTCTTACAGAAAATGAAATAGTTCTTAGAGTAGCTAGCTTGGATGTAACTGTTGAACGAGAGCTTCCGTTAATAGTCATGGTGCAAAACTTTGACCCAGTGCATTCAAAAGTTTACATACATTTTATTGATGGAGAGCCTTGTAACTTAACCAGTGGTTGGCATGAGATACCAGAAGAATCCCCAGAAATTCAAGTATACCATGGAATTACATTGAATGTAACTGGCTTCTCCCACAAGCATGAGATTCGTCATATGTTCTCGCTACAAACAACAGAAGTTAACCTAACTTTGGACAACCTGGGCGTCATCAGCTATTACAATCTTACCTTCAACCCTCAGCAACATCAGCTTATCCTTGACTGCTTTCAAAATGCATCGATAGAAAATACTACTACTGATATTTTAACACCTTTCCAAGCTGAGCGAAGCTTCATGACCCAATACTATATCAATTGGAATCTTGACGATGATTGCCTTGGTACTTATGGCACTGTCACTGAATTGGTAAGAAGTTCAGCCACAGCAAAATTGTTATATTTTGTTGGGGAGCTATTTTGGGATATTTTCATAGGTATACTCTTAATCATCAAAGCATATGTCCTGAAATAAGTTACTGTAAAATCATCTTTTTTGGTGGGGCTCATTACCACTTTATTTTGTGGTAAAATCTTGCTTATGAAACTGCTAGTACCTATACGCCGTATAATTCATGTCAACTCGTCAACATAATCATAATCCAAACCTGAAATCAATAAAACTAGGGCAAAATTTGAACAAAAGAAGATTTACTCCAGAGACACCTGGAAAATCACAGGGATAATAAGACCAGGTGTTCTGGAAGAGTCAGCATCTTCTGCTTCATTGATGACATCCACCATGGTCAATCCTGCAAGTAAGTGATGTTACATTCTCAAATGAGAACAAGGTATACAACAACAGAACCATCAAACATGGCCAGCATTATATTACACAAAGAAATAAAATATTTCACAATGAGATCACTACGACGACTATAACTTCCCTATAATTTTCATAAACCTGCATCTTTTGAAACCTGTCTTGCAAGTTTGTCCATCAGTTGATGATTTCCTGCATGAAAATCATGATAATGGGTAAAGGCCCTTGAATATCAAATCAATTGTGGCATGTAAACACCATACATTGGCGATGCAGGGGTGTTGCTATTCAGAAATGGGAAATTCACAACAGGGAAATTGAAGTCATCACACTTATCATACAGCTTGATGGAAAGCTGTCCATTTGGTTATAGGAATAGATTGAGATGAGCAGCTGATGTAGGAGGGTCTGTTGTGCACTTGATTTCTATTGTGGGTATGTGTATATGATGGATATGGTCAATAAATTTCTTGTTATTTAAAGACAAGTTATCAATATACCTGAAAGTGAAATAAAATGAATTTGCAAGGTCTTTGGGGCCTATCTTGATAAGCTCTTTGATAAATTCAGCCACATATGAAAAAAAAACAAGTCAGCCATTAGAGAGACACAGTGAGTTCCCATAGGCATGCCAATAGTCTGTTGGAAGACCTTAACACCAAACTTGACAAAGGTATTCGAGAATTTCATCCTTTGTATATTTCTTCTTTGATTTGGACGTAGGGTTATGGATAATTATCTTAATCACCATCCTCCTCTCTCTGCCCTCCTCCATTATACATTGTTCATTTTTGGATTAGTCCTCAGTTTGTTTCAGGTTGTCCATTAAACAGGTGGTTTTGTTGTCAACATGCCTTTGTACATAGGAGGATAATTACCAGTGTATAAACATCGCAATGTTTTGTATATGAACCTACTTAACCATAATTGCTATATTTCATATGACTTTATCTATAATGACATAAAAATAGATTTTCTTTGTTTAATGTTTACCTGTATTACTTTGGAGGTATGTTCACATGCCTGGTCAGTAAGATATCATCGCGTAGACTCATGTTGGCTGGAAGGATATACTAAAGTCACCATCGTCTCTTCGTCTGGGATTCAAACATGGAACCCTGATTTGAGGCTAAGCGAAAACTTCTTGCCGATTGGATTTTACATCATCAACGTTCAGACCAATAATGAAATAATAATCGATGGAACAAAGATATTTTTCTCCCGAACATTGAATGTAAGTATATACAGGTATATTGTATTGTGTAAACTACTAACATACATTGTATTTGTAAACCCAGGGAACCGTCACACAGATTTTACAGTGCATCTTACACAGACTTGCACTAAAGAATAAATGCTGAAGATCCCCAATAGGGCACTCAGTTACACTCTACTGACAACAGACAGCCAAGTCATTACCACTAGATCAGGCAGGGAGTAGGAACTACCATTTTTATAGATTATAGTTTGTCACAACCATGGGACAGAACTTCAAAGCAGTCCTTGGTGATAGGGTGGCACTGTGCTAATGCACTCGTCATTCACTTAGCCATCTGCGGCTCATTACCCAGAATGGATTTGAATAGGTATGGGATCACCTGCTAGAACAATTGGGTTTCCCTGGGTACTCAGGTCTCCTCCCTTGCAGACTTCAATCTGAGCCTACAAGAGTGATTAGCATTAGTTGGAAAAACTTGTCCTGGGAGTGCAGATTATGCTGAAATAAAGGTCAGTTAGAAGTGAGTCTGAGTGTCATGGAGGCAATGAAAAAATTGTTGTCTAAATATATATTACATTCTAAATTTAGTCACCTCTGATGATTATAAAGTGGGGTCAACAAGTGCAGTTCTAACCACAGTGCATTGATTTATAGCTGTTTTACATCCTATTAACAATCAAGGCCATAAAAACCATATGTCACAGTGGGAAAAGGATATGAGAGTTACAGTATACTACATATAAACAAGCATTCCTGTTAATTACAGAAAATTTCAGTAGTATTCTGTTGCAGAGAAATATGTAATAAGCAGTGTATGTTAGAAATAAAAGATATTTATTCAAACAAACAATAATTCACTTTATTCATTAATACCAAGAGTCTGTATAGGGTCTTTGAATTGCATCCTGATTTATTAAACCCTTTTAAACATTGCTGTTGTGACCTGATGTTTCAGGGCTACATTGAGATCACAAAGAACAGATTGATAGCCTCAATGGGCCCTGTATTCAACTCAAACCAGCGTTATAATCAACCACTGGTGCTTGATGCTAGCTTTTCCTCTGATCCTGAAGGAACTTTGACAGTTGCAAATTTCCAGTAAGTGAAAAAAATGAAAAATTTGAGAAACAATCTGTTGTATATTCAGTAATAAGCCCATGTCTGGTAATAAGCCCACCAAAATCTATTTCATTTTGATTTACAAGTTAGCAATGCTATATGAATGTCCTTATTTTAATCAATGTTCACAGTTTTGGGCTCACAGATTTATTGTAGGTTGGATGTTAAAATTTCATTGTTGATTTTAAGCATCTTTAAAAATGGACCAAAAAATGAATGAACACATACAACATTGAATTGTGCTGTAAGTTTCACTTTCTCAGTTGTTTATAAAATGTCTTATTTAATATTCATGTATTGACTTCTGTGGCAAAAGCTCAAATTTATTACACTGACATCAACTAGTTTGGTAATTTTCTTTCTAGAGTAGTTAAAACATTGTATGAGATGTTTCTTACCAGGAGAAATTGTATCAGGTCTTTCATAACAGGAGAAATTATACCAGATGTTTCGTGTCAGGAGAAATTATATCAGGTCTTTGTCACAGGTAGAAATTATATGAAGTCTTTTTTGCCCAAAGAAAATGGTAGAGGTCCTTTTTTAAGGAGAAATTGTATCAGGTCTTTCTTGTATGTAGAAATTGTACTAAATCTTTCTTGTATGAGGAAATTGTATGGCTGGTCTTTCTTGTTTGAAGAAATTGTATGAAGTCTTTCTTGCCTGGAGACCTGGAATTAGGCTTTCTTTGCCCAGAGACTTTACATAAGGACTTTCTTGCCTAGAAACTGGTACGAGGCCTTTCTTGCTTGGAGACATTACATGTGGTCTTTCTTGTATGAAAACCTTGCACTAGAGCTTCTTTACCTGTTTGTTTTATTTCTCTCGTCATCCTCCTTTCTTTGTTGCCTTGTAGCACTATGTCTACTCAGATGTTTACTGCCCCTTGGTTAATTTTGTTATGTCCTTGCTTGTCAGGTAAATGTACATAACAATGTGTATGTTAAATATAGGTATTTAATTTCCATTCTAGGTTTGTGTGGACCTGTGTGATGGATGATGTGCTTCCTTGTTCCATTGTAGGCATAAATATTGCAAGCGACAATATCACCATGCCTCATACAAGTAAAGAAATTCAATATGTTTAAGGGTTCTTACATTGAAATACTTACACTAAGGTGTATCAGTTTTCAAGTAAGAGTTGCCTAGAATTGGCACAGGAGATCTCATCTTTATAAATGGCATGAGCAAAAAATTCTGACAAATAAAGTGAAAAAAAACCTGATATTAAGCATTGCCCACATGAAAATAAGTGATGTTATCAGATGTTGGTAGACACAGAATATGTAGGAAAAAATAAGTGTTTCAAGTAAATGTGATATTAACTGGAAAGTGACATAACAGATGTGACATTAAGTGGGTTCCACTGTATATACTGTAACCTATAAAGAGATGCTTTACTTAAGCTCAACCATGCCATCCTTTAGGCAACGTGTGATCAATATGTCTTTTATAGCCATACTCTGACAGGGCTTTTTTCTGCAGATTCAATATCAAATATCAAGACCTATCTATCATTTCTTATCGATCTAGCATTCCAAAAATAATGTTACAGTGTAGTTTAATTAGCAGATTGTCAAAAAGTCTGGATGGTGCCATCCCATTTACCATGTAAAAAAATTTTTTATACAGCTTCGGGTTCAGAAGATTGTGTGTATATGAGCTGCACAAAGGAGACATAAACCATATAGATGATTTTGTTAGGAATTTTTACATTTTGTTCTTTCTCCCATTTTGAGATTTGTTTTTGACACTCTTTTTAACCTCAGAATTCAAAGTAAAAGTTCCTGTAGTATTGGAAAAAAAATTGTCCCGAAAGTATCAGAACTCATTCCTTTTCCCTTTAATAATCCATGTTTGTGATAAAAGCTTGCATGCAAGTACACACTTTCATAGTTCCAAGTTTCAATTGTAATTGAAAGAATTAAACATCTTAAAAGATTAATCATGGCATTTTCCAGTAAATTTTCTATCTTCTAGCATATTTTTTCTGCCATAAGGAATTTTGTATAACGTCAATAATTGAAGTTAAATTGAATGAATTAGTGTATTTGTTTAGGTGCTGTTGTAACACTTAACAGCCAGTCTCTACAGATAAACAGCAGCTACATGTTTGAGGTGACTGTGAGCACCCCAGAAAGACTCAGCGGAAAGGCCAGGCGCCAGGTCGTCATCAAGAACGATATGCATCCACAGTTAGAAATGATGTAATATTTCCTTCTGATTTATCAATGTAATAGAGGTCATTACTTATTTCAATATCAACTCAAGGGATCAAACCAAGGATCCCTGAGTTACTATAGATTGAGGTAATCAAAATTCCTTCTTAGTCAAGCAATATATTAAGATAGTTTTTACATATAACAAGGTGACATTTAACCCCAAGTGGGTATGTGCTATCTTCTTCTTCTTCTTCTTCTTCTTCTTCTTCTTCTTCTTCTTCTTCTTCTTCTTCTTCTTCTTCTTCTTCTTCAGCAGCAGCAGCACCATTATCAAAGTATTTGCTTGGTTTAGAATGGGTTTCAGGAGCAAAAAACTTGAACAATCACAGAATGATGCAATCGTTTGAAGATTATAAAGGAAAAACTATTCTTCTCATTTTATCCATGAGGTGTCACACATGGAACCTTCAATTTTGCCATGAATTGTGACAACATATTACTAAGCACAGCCGATCAGAATGACATTTCCCTAAGTACCCGATTAAAGGCTTAGGTCAGAGGTGAAGGTCCAGTTTCTAATTATCAATTTGGGTAATTAGTCTATGAGGATATGACGAGACAAAAGCAGTTACTAGTATTAAATGAGGAGTCGCATATAAACCATTTGGTAAAGATTTTGGATCAAATCAAGTGATTAACCAGGGAATTGATAGATATGTCCTACTGAGGAACAAAGTCTTGTCTAAATGAGATATGTTTTTGATTTGTGTTTGACAGGTGTCTGAGTAACTGTTGGAATAAAAAGGTGCCTGGAGTAAACTGGGAGTTATCATTGTATCAGAGTCAGAACCCAAAGTATTTCCATCCATGGTCAACAATGGACATTGCCTGGACTGTGTACAGGGGCAGTGACCTCATCCACCAAGTGTTAAACACTACCAATTATTTACTAGTGGAAGGCAACCTGATACACTTCGACACCACTTACAGCATTCATGTTGACTGTAAGAATCACCACTTTTACATTATTCCATTCCATTATTCTGCCATCTTATGGAGGGGAGGGGTGCATAGAGTGATACCCATATGCGACCGTGACATGCATTTTCACAATTAGATTTTTCTGTCATTATTTGATGTGAAGTACCGGAGGGATCTATATCATATTTTGTCTGTTAAAGGCTTTCCTAAGTGGTCCCGAGTTGTACCCTTTGATATTTAGACTGATTACATACATTTAAACAAAATGGCTGATATGAGGCCATCTTGGATTTTGACAAATGACTTGAGAAATACTGTTAGATCTCAAACTCTTTCTGATATTCTTCTGATTTATATAGAAACATCTTTAATATTCAGGTTGTAAAAACACTTTAGTATATCACAGAAATATACTGCACATTAAATGCAAATATTTTTACTTATGTATTAAGATAGATGTAAAATATTATCCATACCAGTGACCAAGATTGGAGGGTGACCATTGAAAAAGCTCTCTGTAAGTGAAACAGAAAGTCAGCCTGTTAGAATTTAAATCTTTTCCGTACTATGATCATAATACATCTGACAATTGTTTACAAATTACAGCATATCTAACAAAATGATTTGTTTATCTAATTTTGAAAGATTGTCAACAGGTTAATAAAACTGTTGTTTTGTATATAGGGGATCTTTTGCTGTAGTTTAATTTTCACCCATTTCACCTCTTACCATTTGGGGTGAAAATAAAAGGTGAGCAAATGATATCACAGCAGAAATTGTGTGTGCAGTTTTTTAGGACAGTGCTAACAATGTTTGAAAATTAATGATTTTTACCTGAGGGTGATCAAATTAATATTAAACCTTGGCAAATATTTCCTCTACTATGTACAGTATACCCTTCATGTTTGTTATTTTTAGATTCTGTGTTATTTTAAGATTCTGTGTTATTTTTAGATTCTGTTATTTTTACAGTTAAAGTAAAAGTTACGGATGACTTTGATTTGCTTGGCTCTTCCCAGCTGTTGAATGTGAACGCCAATGACTTGCCTGTAATGGGGTCTTGTGATTGTAATCCAGCCCGAGGATTCTCCGATATCTCCACATTTACCATCAGTTGTACTGGATTCTATGACAGCGACACTCTGTTAACATACACACTGGTCACAAATGGTACAGGTTGGTTACTTTATACTGAACGTCACATGAGGAAGAGTTTTATTCTTCTACAATACAGGAGATATGATGTTTGACCTATTTCCAATACAGCTAATTGGGCCTTTTGTTCTTCCACAGTTTTTTTTTCGCTGATTGGAGATGTGAAATTTTTGCTTCATTTTGGAAGAACATTGAGATGGAAATTTTCAAGAGTTAATTACAAATTTTGTGAATTCGGCTTACATAGTTATTAATTTCTGTTGTGAATGGGTCCCATGATATGCCACAAAAAGCCCTAAAAAAGTCCAATCTGCCATTAAGGCCTCATTTTGTCCACGTTATTATTAAGATTATGTGATGTTTTAGTGATGGAAAAAGGAAGCTCTGGCAGTTTCTTTGATGTTAACTTGCCTGGTGGTATCAGCACTACAGATTACTATCCTGACATCGCAGTAGAAGTCATGGACGTATTAAACGGCTCTGTAACGTACAATGTCACAGTGCAGGTAAGTTAAGATGGTGATACATAATACAGCAGTAAATGGTGCTTGGAGCATTACACTAAAACTATAAGAGGTATCAACATGAAACTTCATAGGTAGATAAATCTCAACAAGGAGAAGTGCAGTGCACAAGAACCATCACTCTTTTTTTGCATCATTTAGGAGTTAATGCCCTTTGTTATTTTCCATACTTAAATTTTGTTCGCAGCATTACATTAAAACTATAAGAAGTATTAACATGGAACTTCCTAGATAGACAGATCTCAATGGGTAGGAGAGCAGTGCACAAGAATCACAACTCTCATATTGCCCATTATTATTTCAAATAAATTTTGTCCCAGTCGGTGGCATAACCTATCTCTGACGACCCTTGTTTAAGTAATTAATTAATTTATCTATTTATTTATTTGTTTATCTTCATTTCTTTCTTTATCCATTTATTTATTCATTAGCATTGATAAGTACATCAACCCTGATTAAAATAATAACAGTGTACTGTCAACATGTATGTCCAGAATGTTAATTCAAATTTGATACCAAGTATATTATAATTACCCTATAACTCAATACATCAATATTCTTTAGAAAAACAATGTGATGTGTGTTTGGTTGCTTTATTTTTATAATGTTTGTAAGTTATGATAATTGGGCAAATACAAAGTTGCCAATCAGGTGTGTTTTTACCTTGATTGCTTTGATCATGCCAACTTTAAGCCATAACAATATCTTAAAGTTTTTTATGTAGCTAATCCAATAACACTCCCCATGTTAATCTGTTGACACTCGATAGTTTGTCATTGTATTTGGTGTAATGTGCGCATCAAATTTTCAGTTAAATGATAAATTTGTATATTTCAACTGAAAATTTAGATTTAAAATGTTTTTTTTTTCTTTGAAGAAAAGGAGATTTATGAGTTTCATTTTAAATATGTTGTGCATATGAGCAAAACTATCACCTGACAAAAAGTTTATAAAGAACAGGATGTCCAAGATGTGTCTTTCAAATTTAATTACACGTATAAACAATTACAGTCTTCAAAATTATAGTCTATATATGCCTTCAAGCCAAAAAAAGTAACTAATTTAGAAAATTAAAGCAAATTTTTGCCTCTATCTTAAATTTGCCCTTCCTGTTCATTGAAAAAGGGTGAAAACTAAACAGGGTCGAAAATTTCCTGGTAAATGTCAAAGTTTAACATGGAGATGTAGTTTATCTTTTATAAAAAGGAAAAGTATCGATATGGTACCGTAATACGTCTAGGAATCGATAAAGTGTTTTGTTTAACATTTATTGTGACAGGTATACCCATCTCTAGCTGAGTACACAGAAAATATCAACCAGTCTCCTGTCAGTTCCTCTGGATGCGTGGTCAGTCCAGAGAGTGGATATGCTCTGGTGACAAACTTCTCTGTGATCTGTGGTGATTTTTCAGATTTGGATCCTCCATTGATGTACTATCTATATTACAAAGGACAAACAGGTAAAGTGGGATATGCTGCATACATGCTTGTCCTTCTAGAAAATGCTCGATTAGACTTTAAGTATTTAGTTTTCCTGGCTACCTAGTCACAGTTTGTATAAATTAGGGCTGTATACTTTAAACTGTGCCTTTACTAAAACTGATGATAGCGCGTAGTGGTCGTAACCGTTGGACGACATCTAGATCACAGTAGTTTTAGAGGCTAACTGTTCTGAGATGTTGAGAAGTCTTCATTTCACGTTAACTTCGATTTGTTGCATAGATTTTTATAATCTCAGAATTTACAGGGACAAGAATATAGGTCAGGTTCCCTTCTCTGTCTATGGCATTGTGTCCTGTTTGATCAAGTTCTACACCTGATCAGTTTTGCACAGAAGTGAAGGTTGTTAAGTCCTATTTCTAGTTCCTAAATGTGTACAACACACCAATATCACCGAAGACTTGCTATGGAAACTAGGGGTATTTAAGACCCTTAACATACAGATGTTATCCTACTTTTTCAGAGTTGCTGCTGTATAAAGGGAACAGTACTGCAACAACTTTCTTCTACCTCAGTGAAGGTCAAGGAGAGAACAACACCGCCTCTCTGGTGTTTAAGGCTAATGACATGTACAAAGCTGCCACAGAAATAAATCTATCTGTACAGGTATATAACAAATTACAGGTTTGAGCCATTCAGTAGACTGGCCCATGAGACAAGTGCTTGACTCCTAAATATGAGTTATGACTCTTGGGTTTGAAGGTCCACATCTTTTCATATATATTTTGACTTTTATTACTTATGATTTTATTTGGAAATCACGAAATATCAAAGGTCAACTCAAGAGTTGTTAGTTCCAACCCAGATGGTATTAGGGTATTTTTCATTACTCCTTCCTATTTCAGATTTGGTGCTGTTGACCTCTCCAAGGATAGAAGCTATCTGGGATTGAGGTGCTTCCTTGGAGATATCAAATCTTGGTTGTTATTGTGAAGCAGGGAATAGTGTGCAAGTTTAGAGTACAGGGCATGTTACTAACCTCAGCTTGTAGGAATTTCAGAATGAGCGGTAGAGTGTCTGGCTAGGGATTAATGTGCTGCTAATTCAAATCCCAGCAGTGGAAGAGTGTTTTTCATTAGTCCTTTTTGTTGCATATCTTGTATGCATGGCAAACCAATATCCAGTCTCTTAAATTTTCATCCCCATGTATGTGACAATGTCATGCATGATGAGCCTTCTACCATACTTAAGAAATAGGATAAAAAGTATGGAAAAGTGTCTGATTTGCTCAACCCAAACCTCTCTGGGGCTCAAACTAGCACGAATAATATGGCTCTCAAGGCAGACAGCATATGTATGTAACCTACAGGATTGTAAAGGGAAATTCAATCTCCCACTATTTAAGACAAAGTAAAGCGACTGTTTTTTTTTTAATAGATTTTTATATTTTTTTTATTTTTTATTTTATTTTTATAGATGTGATAAGCCCACCGGTCAGCCATCTTTGAGACAATATTTTATACATATATTATCCTGTTGGTTTATTAAAGGACAACTGACATAAGATATGAAGGAAGAATGTGAATGTATACATACATGACATTGTATAACAGGTTTTCTTGGGGGGGGGTTCTGGTATTAGATACTTTCTATTGTTGTCATACAATTTCATTAAGATATTGAACTGGCATGTCATTGTTGAGAAATACATCATATTATATGATTTTAATTACTTCTCTTAAATGGGTATGGTTGAAATCAGCTATTCTGGTTCTAAAACAAACTGTCAAATAAAATAAACCAATGATTTAAGACTTAAGCTAATTTGGATTTTGTGCCGTAAATTCCTGCAGATAGTTACATTCATTTATAGAGCATTCACTCTTAATTGTCATGAACAGAAATATATATGAATTGTATTAATTTGGAATATTTGTTTCCAATTTTGCAGGTTTTACCCTTCGATACTTTGGGCACAGATGTCCTGAATTTTGTGCAAGACAACTTTCTTTCAGGAGAAACAGGTATTCACGCTGTAGTTGTTTCAACTTAAAGTAGAATAACTATACTGCCTCAAATGATTCCTGCCAAATTAAGATCATTTATGCTCTTCTGGTGAGACAACTCTCTGAGTACCCCACACAGTAAATATAAGTGGACACTGATTCAGTAACATTGCTCTGATTTCAAATTTTCTGTTGACTTTGTTAATCAAGGTGAACCTGCTGAGTTGACATTGCAGACCATAGGCACCCTCGATTGTTAACTGTTAACTTTGTTAATCAAGGTGAACCCGCTGAGTTGACATTGCAGACCATAGGCACCCTTGATTGTTAACTGTTAACTTTGTCAATCAAGGTGAACCCGCTGAGTTGACATTGCAGACCATAGGCACCCTCGATTGTTAACTGTTGACTTTGTTAATCAAGGTGAACCCGCTGAGTTGACATTGCAGACCTTAGGCACCCTAGATTGTTAACTGTTAACTTTGTTAATCAATGTGAACCTGCTGAGTTGACATTAACTGTTAACTTTGTTAATCAAGGTGAACCTGCTGAGTTGACATTGCAGACCATAGGCACCCTCGATTGTTAACTGTTAACTTTGTTCATCAAGGTGAACCTGCTGAGTTGACATTGCAGTTAACCCTAGATTGTTAACTGTTAACATCAAGGTGAACCTGCTGAGTTGACATTGCAGACCTTAGGCACCCTAGATTGTTAACTGTTAACTTTGTTAATCAAGGTGAACCCACTGAGTTGACATTGCAGACCATAGGCACCCTCGATTGTTAACTGTTAACTTTGTTAATCAAGGTGAACCTGCTGAGTTGACATTGCAGACCATAGGCACCCTCGATTGTTAACTGTTAACTTTGTTAATCAAGGTGAACCTGCTGAGTTGACATTGCAGACCATAGGCACCCTAGATTGTTAACTGTTAACTTTGTTCATCAAGGTGAACCTGCTGAGTTGACATTGCAGACCATAGGCACCCTAGATTGTTAACTGTTAACTTTGTTAATCAAGGTGAACCTGCTGAGTTGACATTGCAGACCATAGGCACCCTCGATTGTTAACTGTTAACTTTGTTAATCAAGGTGAACCTGCTGAGTTGACATTGCAGACCATTGGTTCCCTAGGCAATGTCATCAATGAAGATATAACAAGTGCTAATTACACAAATGAAACACAAGCTGCAGAGCGACTAAATTTGAGGGCACAGGTATGTATTGTTTAGGATTATTATTGTATTAAAGGCAAATTTCAGCTGGGAAAATAAAGTATTACTTTTGGATAGTGCTCAAATTGCGGTTTACATTGAGGTACTGCTCTTAAGCTTCCCTCAGTTCTGTTTGGGCATGTCATTAATGGAATTATCCTGATTCTTTCTCCTTTCGATAGAATATTATTTCATTTGAAATTATTAAAACAATGGTAATCAGAATCTTCAGTCGCATTTTCACTCAACTACCAATGGCAGTTCTTGGGATTCCTCATCTTTTTGACGTTCATTAAGTAGGACCCAAATGTCCTGCCTGTTCTTGCATGCAATTTTGTATAGGCATTCTGCAGTGTTCTTTTTGGGTGTTTTTTCCTTTGGATGGACAAATATTTGGAATAGTCTTGTGAAATTTAATGGCTTTGGAATACCATGACCACTGTAAATCCTCAGAGTGATTTCCAACAGGCTTCTGTTGTAAGGAATGGCTACCTCTTCTTTTATCTTATTCTATTCCATGGTGTTGTTTTGCCTCTTAATCTTTTCTTAGCTTTCTCAAAATTTGTTGTTAACTTTCTGAGATGCCCAATCAGGGGATCCAATGTTTTCCTGGCACTATGGATGTGATTTTGTTCTTGCTTCTTGTCTTGTTCTTCTTGATATTAGTTTCACATTTTTAGAGCAAAGTTCATACAACAACTAACTTCAGGTATAAAGGATGATGCGATCAAAAGTTGAGGCATTGGTCTGTGTGTGTGTTCTGCCTATAGACTGCACACATGCTGGTGAAAGTGACAATGTATAGTCATCAGAACTTCACACTTAAATCTTCTACTGGGTTTGTTATAGGAACTTTTTATTCTACTGACGATACCAACTTGAAGAATACTCTGAAAATTATTCTTCTCGATGAGCTTGATTTTCTGTCAGTTATACAAGGGTTATATATCAGCTACTGTTAGAATTCTGTAAGAATATTATCTCAAGTTTCAGAAGACCTCAATTATCCTGCTGACTTACAATCAAGTACTTTAATGGGATGGTATATGTTAGTTTCCTGAACAAAACAACCTTAACCTTTTTTTTTTGAGGTCACACTGTTAGATTAAAATGTCAAACATCAAGGATGATCATTTTTAGTAATGTCATGAATACCAGTACTTTATCTCATTTCTAATGTGCATTGGTACATCCAATACAATTTATGGAACACCTGGTTTTTATTTTGTTTTCATTGTTTTGGCATCCATGTGAGCAAAACGGCAAAACCCTTTTGTTCCTTAAGCCACTGTTCTTCTGGGGAATAATTAATAATTAGGGATCAAGTCATAGCATTTGGCTAATAGGTTCTTTAGATAATACTTTTAATAATTTTTGCAGAAAAAAATAACCTTTACCCATATTCAGTTTGCATGAGAAAACCATGTGGTTAACAAATAATATCGCAAACAATGACATAACTATTGATACCTGCTCACAAGAGCAGGTAACTCTTGATAACAAAAAGACAGAATACACAATGAGCTATACAGGCCAGTTAAACCTCTTGTTTATGAAATAGAAAAGTTTTATTTGAAATTGTCATAAAATGAAAAAAAAAAAAAAAAAAATAGTATATACCGTGTAGTTCAAATAATGATTTCAAACATTTGTATGTCAGATGAGGGAGTCACTGACCGAGTCGCTACTGATTGCTGACATAGAACCAAACTTTGATGAAGTCAACCAAGTCTCTCAAGTACTGGACTCTCTGATCAGTGTGAAGGAGGAGGTCACTGAGAAACAGGAGGTAGAGCATGCTATTACACATGATCAGTGAGGCAGAGGGGCCAATATTTTTATAATTTTTAGATAGCAATTTATGTCACAGTTATTTCAGTTTTCTATTCCATCCCATAACCTAATTGTGTGAGCAGTGCCTTCAGATGGTATTTTAGCCAATTGGTTAAATACTAATACTTTTCCAACTTTGGGGGTAAAATACAATTTCATTTTATTCATTTTCCTTCTAAGGGTTTATAATGGGGAAGTTATTTTCTTGATTTTTTGTGTTTCTTGTTTTGTACATCAATCACAATTACATTGTTTCCTTTTTAGTTTGTCTGCCATTTTGTTAAAGAATTTGGAACTTAATTGTTGGTAGATTTTACTGGTAACACTTAGGAATTGATAATGATAACAGATGATACATTTCCTATGAGTTTGTGCATTACATACCCATTATTCAGAAATCTGAGAATTTGGCAGACATTTTCTCCCCAAGAAGGAAATGTTGACATTAAATTTATTTTAGATAAATTTGTTTGAAATAACCTGATTTTTGTCACTACAATCGTTTTAGGAGTTGACTGTTATAGTATTTGGAAATCTAACAGAAAAATTAGATGATGTTGGAAAGACTGATGCTTTAGAGACGAGATCTACATCAAAGTAAGCTCATTTTAATTTTGATATTGTGAGTTCCTTCCAATACCATACTTTCTAACCAGAAGCACAAACCCCAGAATAACAAAATGTAATATTCATTTTGTGGTGTGTGTAATTGCCCCAGTATTAAAATGATATTGTCTTTCAAAATCGTAACTTTTCCAATATTGATTTCCAATTTATTACTTTTAATAGAATACTAAATAAGATTAACAAAAATAACCCATGTACACTGTTGGTACAACTACTTTTGAATGACACCACATTCACATTCCACATGTCCAGCTCATGTACTTAACTACACTGATGCTGGAAAATACTTTAGGAGGTAATGATTGATTTTCTAGACATACATTAGGTGATCACAGTTTACTGGTGGACCTATTCAAGTTTATTCAGTTATAACGTGTTTAAAACCTTGTGATAGATATTTGAAGATCTATGGGCCCCCTCATCTCTGTTTAGAGTTAGTTGGCTACAGTGTATCGGATAACTAATGCTTAAGAAGGTTGTTTTCTCAATCCACGACTTAAGAACTTGTTCAGCCTAAGTCAATGATGTGGTTTGCTTTGTGGAAGGATCTGTTGATGCTGATTTCTTATTTGATCATGGACTTGTTTGGATATGGTAAATTTTCTGTCTTTTACATTCACACCTTTTTGGTGTGAAGTAAATTTAATCTAAAATTTCATTCCAATCACTCTGATAAATGATCTGTCACAGTTCTTGCATCAGGTGTTGCATATGCATTGTGACATAAAGACTCTCTAGACTTTGCAACTTTTCAGATATTTTGAAACATTTTGCAAGATTTAATGGCTTTTGCTACAGTGCCATGGTACATACTCATCTTCAGTAGTAAGATATAATGAGTATTGGAGGTTGAACCTTAGATGTATGTCTTTTCCCCCATAGTGCAGTACTTCAATTGTACAGCTTTAACAAGAATTAAGGTTTTTCATTAAGGAAGGGCATTTAGTGCCATGAATTTCTTCCTCACATGTGAAATTGATGTGATAATGCATTACAATTTTCACCCAGGTATAGGTAGAGTTGTAGTACAGTCAAAACGTCTGACTCACTGCCATCTTGTGCACTTTGTGCACCAGTTTTGATTTTTGTGATGAGAAAGTAACAATATCATGCTTTTCCAGGTACAATTAATTAGTAACAACTAAATCAACATGAGATATTTTATGTTTGGAAATGTTGTATATTTGATAACAGGAATTTATTGGCCTCAATGGGAAGTTTTCTGACTATTATAAAGGACAGAGGGACATCAATTAAGAAAATTAATACAACTGCGTCTGGTCAGATCACAGACTCGTCAAAGAAGGAAAAGTTAGAAAAGGTCAGGTAGTGACTGTATTGTTTCTGTTACATGTCTCCTCTCTATTGCAGAATACCTTAGTAATTGAGTGCTAGTCCACATAAAACACTTTAAATTATAAGTTTATATAACTATTCAGTTTGTATCTGATAGATCTTCATATCCAACCCCTATATCTATATCTTCATTAGAAAATGTACTTAGTTGTACACTTGTATATTTATAAATAGATAAATCCAGTACCATAATTATCTAAAAGGCATATCTAATTTTATATCAACTGCGGTAGAATCATACATTTGTGCGATAGAACGGCAGAGCATGCACACAAATATGCGATAGCTTATTTTGTCCAGTTTTCCTATCATGCAGACATCTTGCGCACATCTCATTACATTGTGAGATCCCACTGCTGCAGTTAACAGTGTAAAAGAGTTATGTCCCTTTGTTAATTCCAGTAAGAGCTGTTGCAATTACAATGAGGTGTATCTATATGCTATTCTGTCTCATTTTCAGGTGAAAGAGAACACGTTACAGATGCTGTCCTCTGTAGAGAAAGTTGTAGACATATTGACGGACACAATACAAGTTGCCAATGAACCTGTGATCGTTCAGACACCTGCTATGGCGATCAGAGTCCAAGAAATAACGGCAGACAACAAGTCATCAGAAGCAAACCTCACGCGAGCTGTCCTAGCCGATAATTCCAGTATTGGTTTTCTACTGCCACCTACACATATTCTCAGACAATCAGTCCCAGGAGGAGATAACTCTTCAGTTTTTACACAGGTATTCACCAGAAATGAAAATAAATCCTGTGGGTTTTGGAAAAAAATACCATTAAAATGTCAGTATTTAAGATTTGATAAATGTTAGCTTAGTATTGTTTATAGCATAGTAAAATTATAATCAATAATACACCAGTGGTAGTAATCATACCTGTCAACTTTCCCAAATTAGTTGGATTTTCATATAGGAAAAATGATATGTAAAAATGACCACCTGTCCACAAGGCTTAGGTAAGTATACTCAGTATCACCTTGGCTATCATCCTAGCTAACTGTCACGCTTAGGAGCAGACTTGTGTGGGACTTGGTTTTCACTTATTAGGCCTAAAGGTAGACCTTTGTACATGACTCAGGAGCGGGTCCAGGTAAATAGTCATTGAAGATGAAGTCATGATAAAGCTGATGAAGCACTTATTACCATGTACATGATATGCCTGCATGGAAAAATAACAAATTCAACAAGAAAATAGCTTGAAAAAGATCTTTCTGGGGTAATATTGTCTTTCTATTTTACTACAACTTAGCTTTTTTAATTTCCATTAATACAAAATAGCAAGATCAACTGAAGCAAAACTACTTTCTCAATGCATGACAGTTTTCCATTGCAAACTTTGCGGGATAAATTGCATGCTGAGGTTTAACTTCTACAGTAAATCCCTTTGCCATTTTCAGGTAGAAATAAAGTTCTGGATGGTTTTTGTTGCTAACTTATAGTGCATTTTTTTGTGAGAAGTGTAGTTTTATGGACAAACTTTTCCTCATATGTCACCTGTAGATCTCATTGGCTCCTAGTTGTACATTGTCGATTTTGGTATTCATCAGAAAATTAAATTGGCAGACAGATGGCCATATCGTATTTTGAAGTAAGCTATCACTATTACTTAGAAAGTTCTGTATGGATCTTTCTCAAATTTCATTTGTAGACCCATTTAAATCCCTGGTTTTGCATTTTACTTTATGCAACTTATTGGAAAAGAAAAAAAATGAGTTAATGCGGGTGATTCAGTCACATTGCATTTTGCCTGAGGTGAAATTTGTTGTCGCTTTTTCTTCAGAAGAACACAATGGATCATAAACAATTTCATATTTCTTTTGATTGCATTGTCCATCCTTGGAATGAATAAAAATGACTCTTGATATGACCTTCAGGCAGTCATCTTGGATTATGATAGTTATAGTTTGTAACTTCTATATCTTTAGAAGCTCTGGAAAAATCATTCTCACATTTCATACTTGGGATCTCCCTCTATAGATGCTTAGTTGCGCATTTTGATTTTAAGACTGATCAGGAAAAGAAGATAGTGGAAAATGTGGTCATCTAGTATTATGACAGACATATTGGTTATTGTTATATCTTGAGGAGTTCTCGGTGGATCACAGTCAAATTTTAAAAAGTTTGAGTTTCCTTGATTCAACTTTTGGAGTTGCTAAAAAAGAGAAAAGAAGGGGAAAGATGACAACTGCTATAAGAGCTTATAAAGATTATACAATGGTGGGTGCCTCTTGAATCTCTCGTTTAAAAGATCTTGTCAACATTTTTAAGACTTAACCTCAATGGATCATAGAAGTAGATGAATCTTCACACAATTTTTGACTGTATGTTATTGTACAACAAATTTGTTTTTGTTTTTTGTTTTAGATTGTAGTAACTAAGGACAACATGTACAACTGGGATGAGTCAGCTGACAGAATTACGTCCTCTGTTGTTGATATCGTTGTCAAGGACAAAAACCTTCAGACATTGACGCTAAAGAACATGTCTAACCCTGTTACTCTCCAGTTTGAAACTGACGGTTTGTTTTTCACATGAGATAAACGTAATTAGTCTGAGGTTTTTCTGTAAAATGAAACATTTTTGTGGGGCTCAATTTCCATGGTTTTTCAAAACGTTACTTTTCAAGGACACTTGATTTCATTGATAAATATAGCTCTATAAATCTGCTTTCAGTCAACTTGTCTATTCATTGGTGCAGAGAATTTAAAATGGCCTTTATAGGCAGGTGATCTTAATACAGAGGTTCAGTTATGATAAACCATCACATCTACATCAAAGCATCTGGCATTTAAATAGAGGTGATCTGAGAGAGGTTTGACTGTATATTATACATACTATGGGATTCATAGCAAAATTTAATCTGCTTATGTATTCAGATCTAATTTATATTTTTTTATGTATTTCAAGACAGTGATATTGCTATGAATGAGGGTTTTTCAAGTAAAATATCTGTCCCATCCCAGGACTCGAGGTTTTGTTTAGGTCTATCCCAGTAACGCATCTATCCGACCCTAGGACTCCATGTTTTGTTCAGGTCTATTTCAGTAACACATCTATCTCACCCCAGAACTCCAGGTTTTGTTTAGGTCTATTCCAGTAACACATCTATCCCACCCCAGGACTATAGGTTTTGTTTAAGTCTATTCCAGTAACACATCTATCCCACCCCAGGACTATAGGTTTTGTTTAAGTCTATTCCAGTAACACATCTATCCCACCCCAGTACTCTAGGTTTTGTTTAGGTCTATTCCAATATCACATCTATTCCACCCCAAGACTTTAGGTTTTGTTTAGGTCTATTCAAGTAACACATCTATCCCACCCCAGGACTATAGGTTTTGTTTAGGTCTATCCCAGTAATACATCTACCCAACCCAGGACTATAGGTTTTGTTTAGGTCTATTCCAGTAACACATCTATCCCACCCCAGGACTATAGGTTTTGTTTAGGTCTATTCCAATATCACATCTATTCCACCCCAGGACTTTAGGTTTTGTTTAGGTCTATTCCAGTAACACATCTATCCCACCCCAGTACTCTAGGTTTTGTTTAGGTCTATTCCAGTAACACATCTATCCCACCCCAGTACTCTAGGTTTTGTTTAGGTCTATTCCAGTAACACATCTATCCCACCCCAGTACTCAAGGTTTTGTTTAGGTCTATTCCAGTAACACATCTATCCCAACCCAATGACTCCAGATTTTGATAATCGTTAAGATCATTCATCAATACTAATAAGCAGAAAACAGAAGACAGATAGAAGTGGTAATTAACTTTGGAATCCTGGGGTCAAGTTGATGTTTGACTTATAGCACAAAGATATCTAGCCTGACAAGGTATCTTAAAATCTGATTTTATTAATCAGGTCATAATTTGACATCCCATGTGCTGAAGTTTACATATGACACATCAAGAAATCAAGTCATCTCAAGCAGCATCCTGAAGGTCAGCATGACTGACCTTGATCCAGTTATGTTCATAATGGTATACATCCAGATTACAGAACTGGAACTTACCTTGGTGGTGTACAATTCTACAGAAGATGACAAGATATCTGCCGGTACAGTTCAGCAAAATGGCACTCATATAGCAGTTAGTCAATCAGGTAAGCAGATAAAATGTTGTTCATCAGGAAATAGTAGCTCAGCATCCCTTTATCACTTCTATGAATTCAGTTATTTTTGTTGGGCTGAAATTTTCGGATTGTACAAAGAAAAATATACATATTTATTCACTACTGGCACTTGATTTCGTGGGAAAATCTTTCTTAAAAACTCCACAGTACTTAATATTTTGTCTATTAATTCACCTGTTTATCATATCCTTATCACATGAATTTTGAGGATTATGAGTATCTTTGAAATAAAACTCCCATAAAATTAAATTTTTTCACAATACTTGCATGCTGAAGAGATCTTACGGATATGCTTCTCCTTGTTGTGTTGTAGAGGATGATGTCACATCACTAATGTTTGAGGTATCCAAAGAACTGTATTTGAGTATTGCTGTTAAAGAAGGACAGAGCATCACAGTGAATCAAACAGATGGACCATATGTAGCCACTAATGTCTCCATCAGGATAGGAACCACCAAAACCATGTGTGGCTTCTATAACAATGTCACCGATCAGTGGTCAGATGATGGCTGTTGGGTATGTGATTTCATTTTCTTGTTTTCTTAACGTGGCTTTAGAGGTCTAGTCCAGTAAAATATATGTCTCTCCCTAGGACTTGAGCTTTGTTTAAAGGGGTGAAATATTGTATCACCCATAGAATTTTATCAATAATCAGAAGGATACTGAGCCAGGGATGGCACTGTGATATGATATGGAGTCCTCATGGTCATGCAGACTTTTACTGGAAAAGATACGAGATTTTAAAAAAAATAAAGGTTTTTATCAAGACCATTATGCAAAATAAGCAAATTCAAATTCAAAGCAAATAGTATAAATGAAATAGGATGCAAAGCCAGCAAGCAATTCCTTGTCATAGAACTGTTTGGTCTTTTTTTTTCCTTTTTTGTCCTTCCATTTGGAGGTGTGGGGCATATAGTGTTGCTCATGTCTGTCCATATTAAGTCCCATTCTGAATCAAAGTCTTATCATAGAGCTCTCAAAAGATTTGGATAACATAAAATCAAGTTCTACACCATGTCTTATGATGGTCTTTAGTCTCTATTTAGGGATCAAAGGTCACATTTAACAACTTCTCCGTTACAAGATTTGTGAACACGTATTTTCCAAAGAAATTTTCAACAGATTAAGTTCTTATATTCACACCATATTTATATTTAAGCCAAGTTTTACACTAGTTGCTGGTGATTACAAGTCTGAATTAAACTGATGAAAGCCACATTTGATAATGTCTGCAATAAAAACATTGTCCACAAGATTACAAAGATATATTTTTGCACATATAGAGACAGGACATTCATGTCTTATAGACATTTTCTAGTTTTATAAAGCTTGCTTCAATACTGTATATACTGTTTTTACTTGACAGATGTCTCCTCTTAAAGAACTGGCCACAGTGACTTGCTCTTGCGACCACCTGACTGCCTTTGCTGCAGGTTTCATCATTGTGCCTAACTTGGTAGACCCTATTGGTGATGCTGCTCTTTTCTTGACCTTCTTTGATAATCCTGTGGTTGTCATCACAGTATTGGTAGTATGGAGCCTCTACCTGATAATGATGGTGTGGGCAAGGCGCACAGACAGGGTGGAAAGCATGAAGGTAAAATTCTATGTGTTCAAGTTGCAAATATATTTTCACAGTCATCAATGTCTTGCCATGTTAAACTGCATTGAATTGTGTTTTTTTAATTCATTCCAACACCCATATGTTTATATATGTATTTGCCATGCTAATACCTTTTTATTGGGGTTGGGTACATATAGTGTAAGCCATGTCTATCTTTCGTATCATATCCAGTTCTCATTCTATGTCATATCTTGAGGTAAATTCCTCTGAGACATAAGATTCATTATTTACTCAAAAAGGAATTGTATGACATCAATTTCTAAACCTTACATTTGGGTCATTGGTAAAGGTTAAAGGGTTAAAGGTCATATTTCACAACATCTGCAAATTCATCAATCACACAATTATACTTACATGCATGAGAGCAGGGACATTTATGGCTTATCAACATTTTAATTATCTTCTCTTTTTTTTTTTTTTTTTTGTATTAATTTTATTAATTGACCTTTAACCTGGCCGAGAATTCTTCACTGATATATCTTTTCTACATAGCCACAATATATGGCTTACTCATGAAATCAACATGTGTATTTTCAAAAAAAAATATTTATATACCAAATTTGTATCAATTAATATCAAAAGGGTTTAATTATTGTATGAAATGGGGAATTTTTGCACAGGATTCTACACATTTATTTGTTTGTTTGATGAGGATTCTTGTAAATATAGATTTATCACCCTCAGGTTTATCGCCACATCATCAGTTTTCAGTTATGATATCCATGTACTTAGTAACTCAAGGTGGCTACCACACTGAACACCATAGGAGGCCATTTGCATGCCCTACAGAGCAATTATGGTAAAGTTTCTTGCCAAGAGAAATGTGCAATCTGCATTGCTCATATCAGTCTTTTTCTCAACTCCCTAAGAAACACAAACAGGTAAATGAGCGTCAAACTACACTTCACCTGAGGTTCATCATTTCTTTATTTCCTCCAATATTGAAGAGTAATTACAATGACAAATATTGTAAATTTAGGTGAAAATTAAAGAAAAAAGTGCAATAATATATGTATATAAATATTGAACAATGAATGTGAATAACCAATTCATCAATAATGGAGATTTCTAGCAGAACACATCAAACATTAGATAGGAGATGGCCTTCACTGAAAAGTCATATTGTAGGCCTTTTCAGAAAACATTAGACAATCTTTCATAAAAAATGTAAACAAAGATGAATCGTCATAAAATGATTCATAAATTTCCTCACTGGGGGCACCCAACAGAGACGCTATCTGGACATCTCTGTCCGCCTGGTTAAATGATACATACACATTAACTAGATATTTGTCCACAAAACTGGTAAAAAGATTATCTCGCAGAGACTTCAATATGGGCTCTTTGCAGTCAAGTAAACTGACTGCGTCTTCAAAAGTGCCTTTACATCGAGCACATAAAAGTTCACAAGTAGGAGGGGCAATCCACGTTTTTGCCACAGTTTTACATGTCCTGTTAAAAGTTGGATGGCGTTTAGAAAATGACCAAATTACTGCAGGAACCATATCAGGATGAAGAATTTTGAATCTATGAAATTCTAACGAACTGTTTATACGTAAACGCCAGTCATCAGATTCTTTACACAGAAGGACATTCTTTACAAGATATTTCTAGCCAAGTTTGGATGGAAATTTCCCAGAATAAAGAAAATCAAGTAAGATGCCTCGGAAGTTGTATTTGTGTAAAGCATCCCAAACTTCGTTGATGAAACCTTTCTTAGCGTTATTTACCCCAAGATGTTTTTGATGTAAACGCAACAAAAAGAGTTGCTTTGAAGTACAAGTTGTTTTGATATTACACAAAGCCCCGAAAAAATGAAGCTTACTTTGCTCTACGTAAAGATGTATAGAAGATAAACCTAACATTCCCAATGCTACATCAGACCTAGTACGAAGTGGGAAATTTTGTATTAATTTTGCACAAAAATGATGGACTGATTCTAGGCGATGCCAATCAGAGTTGGAGAGAGAGTTCCAGAGCTCACAACCAAACATACCTCTAGGGAGTACAACAGACAAATATAGATGGACTCCAGTCAAGGAATTGATACTAGGACCAAATAAATTACAATTTAGTAGAGCAAAACACTGACCTCCTAGTTTGTGGATAACATCGTCAACATCAGGCGGACCTGGTTTAAAGTTATTTAAATTAATACCCATGTGTTTAACATTTGTGCTTTCATTAACAACATTGTCACCTAGATACCAAGTACGATACGATTGTGACCGAACATAACTACTTTCGTTGAAGACAACAACTACTGATTTGGAGGCATTATATTTAAATCTCCATTTACAACTATACTTGTAGCAAATATCTATAAGCATATCCAAATTGTGTTTGGTAAGTGAAAGAAGACAAATATCATCTGCTTGCGTAGGGCACGTGACATTAACATCAGATATAGCTAGCGAGTATACAGAACTATTAAGATCATTCAGCAAATTGTTGATATAAACAGAGTAGAGCCAAGGGGAGATAATACTGCCCTGACGTGTTCCCTGGCTTATCTCAAACACTTCAGACACAAAGTTGTGATACATAACAACACTATACATATCCTTGTGTAAAGACATAATCATACTAACAATTTTTCTGTCAAAACCCAAACGTGATAGTTTTAAAAACAGACCGTCGAGCCAGACACAATCAAAGGCTTTAGACGCGTCTAAAAAACAAGTGAACAAATCACTATCATGTTCAGAAGCGTACGCAATTGTTTCTTGCACGTTATATGAAGTCATAAAGCTACTACCTTGTTTTTGAAAACCATGCTGTAATGAATTTACATGAAAAAGGTTCATAGACTCTAATCTTTTCAAGAGTAGTTTTTCATACACTTTTAGAATAACGGGTAGAAGAGAAATCACTCTGTAGCTATTTGGGTCATTCTTTGGCTTATTATGACCTTTATATAATGTGCAAATCAAACCATGTTTGAGTGACACAGGTACATATTCAAACCTTATGAAAGCATTAAATAATGTACAAAGACATACATAGAGTGAAGTGAAAGCATACTTTAGACATAGTCTTCTATAACAATACGAAATTGATTTGCAATAAAACCTTTATGCAAATCAGATGATCTTTGAAAGCTCAAGACTTTACCTGGGATAGTTTTCTACTGACTGAGCTAATACAGCTCCTGAATGTTATGTCTAACTGTGTAGTGGTAAGATTTGGAAGATACAAATCTGGTTTCCTTTTTGTTTAGGGAGGTGTCAGTGTGCTGGAGGATAATTGTGCTGAGGACAAACACGTGTATGTGGTGGGGCTTGTAACAGGCTGGTGGAGACATGCAGGCACCACTGCTAATGTCTACATGTATATCTGTGGTGACCAAGGCTATAGCTCAAAACACTTGTTGTCTGATGGCATCGCCCAACACTTTCAGACAGGAGCAGAAGACTGGTTTGTTCTGACCACACCAAGGAGTTTAGGAGAATTGCGGCGTATTGTGGTGTGGCATGACAACTCTGGGGAAAGTCCTCCATGGTAGTTAACTTACTCATAGTCCTTAATATCAAGCATCATATCCATTAAGCTGAACTGAACTTCCCATTAATCATCCTCAATACTTCAGGTGTTATGATCACTTTCTCTCCCTGCACCCCTGGAACATGTCATGGAAAAAGTAAAGGTACAAGCGAAGTAATTTGATTGCTTCCAGGAGAAAAAACTGACCAATCACAGGCTGATACACAGTTTTGAAGATTAAAAATGAGTGACACCAAATTGTAAAGCCATTACAATATACTGTTATGCCACCTTGAGATTCCTTTGATACACATGAAAGGATCAAACTGGTCTTTTCGTCTTGTCCACAATATGTCACAAATGGAACCTTCAGTTTTGCAATTACATGTTCTATGGGTGCAGAGAGCAAAAGTGATTGTAACCCCTGGAGTATCGAGGATGGACTGATTGTAACCACTGGAGTATCGAGGATGTAGTAATCCTAATCCCTGGAGTATCGAGAATGCTCATTAGTTGACTTGGATTAGATGAAATACTTACATTTTATTAATAAATGTCTGTCTTCCATTTGTCCTGTCATCCATATGTCTTTCATCAAAATTTTGTCCAATTTCATATCCTATCTTGAAATGTTGCCTTTCAGTACTTTGTTAAAATTGGTTTGTTTTTTATGACATTTGCAAGGTTCCTGAAACAAATAGTGATCAGAGATGTACAATCCGAGAAGATCTGGCATTTTCTCTACAACAACTGGTTAGCTGTTGACAGAGGATTAGGGCAAATCAAGGCACAGATTCATTCTCTTACCCAAGACGACCTTGTTAAAAACTCGCTGTATCAGTTTGGTCTGCAGTCTAGTAAAGACCTACAGAATAACCACCTGTGGATTAGTATCATCTCCTGTCCAGCTTACAGGTATGAAGTAAAATTTAGTTATTAGCCCACCATCATCAGATCAGAAAAACAAAATGGCCAACAGGCAGCCATCTTGGATTTTGCCTAGTAAAGATTGTTATTGCTTTTTCCTATGAGGTACTGAATGGATATCTCTCAAATTTCATACGCATGTTACCTTTGGTCTCTCCTTGCACTCGACTGATCAGAAAAAAAATATGGCTTCCAGGCAGCCAGTTTGGATTTGGCAGGTAAAGATTATCATCGCTTTTTTGAAAAGAATGTTCAAATGTCTTATCAGTAAGAGCAAAAACAGAGAAGAGGAGAAAAAGGAATGGAAAAAATAATACATTCAAAGAGCAAATAAACAGCAAACAATGATGGGTGCCAAGATTCCTCATGGATCTCTTGCATAACCTCTGTTTAGCTCTCATGTAGACATGCAAGAGAGGTAATAATAGCTTGCATTGATTTATGTTCTATCATTTATCCATTAACTTGTGGTATTACATGAGATAAAGCAATGGTATTGCTTAAAAGACGGTCAAATCGCTGGACATTAGAAGACAAATACTGTTATGCTATCAACAACAAAGGTACTTGGGTGGGCGCATGGCGCAGTGGTAATACACTCACCTTTTATCAAGTTATCCATGGTTCAATACCCAGAACTGATGTGAAAAGGTATGGGGTCACAACCATGTGGTTTTTACCCGCTGTACTCCAGTTTCCTTGCACATAAGACCCCTCTCATGCTTCCATTCATGCCAACAAGAATGAAAAACATAAGTTCGTAAAACTTGTTTTGCAATTGCTTTAAAATCAATTAAATTTTTCTTATTTTATTTTTATTTTCTTGGGTCATGACATTGAATAGTGGACGTCATATAGCAGATTTAATTGCTTGGCATGAAATGAAAGTTGCATACTGAAAGCATGATCTCTGTGTATTGAAATAAGTCCAGGGCAATTCTGCTTCAAAATTAATATACCTTCAGCTTCTCAGCCAATTTTTAGCTTTTCTGAATTATGATTCATTTTTGTCCAGCCCTTTTACTCGTGTACAACGCTTATCCTGTGCCCTGTCTCTCCTGCTGACCACCATGCTGGCCAGTCTGATGTTCCATGGAATACCCACAGACGATCCTGCTGACCAGTATAGTACAAGCGGCATCACTCTGTCTCTCTCGGACATTGTCATTGGGATAGAGAGTGGACTCATTATGTTTCCTGTTAACTTCATCATCATGCAGTTGTTCACTAAATTGGACCATAGACCTTCCAAACTTTCCAGAAGGAAATATTACCAGGTTAAAAACCCTGTGGGAGAAGATGAACTGATTGAACTTGGTGCAAACAGAAGCGAAGCTGAGTTAAACAAAAGCAGGCAGCCACAAAAAAGGCCATTCCGGTATGTGTACACTTTTATGTATTCTAAGACATTTTCTAACCTACAATGAATCTGGCTCATAGTGTCTTCATAACCAAATATTTACACTTACTCTTGTAGTAATTGACTGTATAATCTTTTTAATGCTCATTATCATTATACTTGAAAAATGATAGTCTGTCTTGCATGTGCAGTGATATATTGCATAATGAATGAAGGACAGTGTATCAAACCCCAGACTTGAGTTTCGTACATTTTTAAAAATGACTCCACAAAATAAAGTTTGTTAGAAATATGAACATCATTCCTATATTGTTAAACTTTTGTTTCTTTTTTTTTTTTTTTCTTTGGCAAAATCTCAATAGAATAAATGTTGTAATTTGATGTTTTTATCAAATGAGTTATGACTACAGATGTGAAACAAAATAAATTAATTGGTTTTGAAGCATTGGTAGCAAAAAGACTGAAACAGTATGTTGTTCTGTGATGATAGTTATCAGGCTGACAGACTTAATGTTTTTGTTATACTTGACTGGATAAAACTGAAACTGTATGTGAATGGAGAAAAACTGTAAACATACAGGGTTAATTTTCTATGTTGAATAGGTTACCGGGAGATAAAACATCCAATTATTTAATTCACTTGTAGTTATCTCCTGACAACATAATACGTTTTGTTTATAACAACAGCTTTACCATTTTTTCTTCATTGTTGGCTTTTTACTTATTTGTAAATTTAATTTTATCATCTAAATCTTATCTGCTTTTATGTTGTCATAATTGCCATAAAATATTCCTTGTTACCTATGATGATAAATCTGATTATTACAGGTTTCCTTGGTGGATGATCTATATTGCCTGGACGTTGGTTCTGTCCACTGCCGTCATCTCCTCTTACTTTGTCATGCTGTACGGTCTGATGTATGGCTACCAGAAGTCCATTGAATGGCTGGTGTCCTTTTTCACTGGATTCTTCCAGAGTGCCTTTGTCACTGAACCCCTCAAAGTTTTTGTTATAGCAGTTCTTCTGGCTTTCATATTTAAGAAACCAGTAGAATTTGAGATTCTCAACCAGAGAGACATCATGAAGCTAGGTACAATATATTTTCATCATATTTCATTACTATCTGCTACCATTAGGGGGAGAGTTGGAAGTGATTATGTTTTTGTCCTGTGCAAAGTTTTTCATCACTTTTGTGAGACTTAATTTCTCAAGAATTTGATAAATGGAGGATCTTGCATGATTGTCATTATAATATTCATTAAACAAGTTCAATAGTTTGATATGACATGGGCCTTTAAGTTAAATTCCATATTGCATTGGCATGAATGCAAGATTGTATTTATCATATAACCAGTATTTCTGAAAAATATGCAAAATATCTCAAATCAGTTTCTTTGTAAGACAGGCCTATTTGATGTGGACAGGACCATCAAGTGATGTCATCAAGATATGAATTATCTATGACATCACAATAGTGTTATTACACATGTCTTGCAATATCTATGACATCAGCGTATGACCCAACAGTCCAGTAGTGTGATCATAAAACTATCAACCTTAATTGTCATGTTTCAAAATATATTGAACAAATAAATATGGTTGCTTTAAGTTTATAGGTCAAGGTCACTCATTATTTAATTAACTTTGTCAAACGGTGATACTAATTTGCATGTGCCAGTGCATCCATGTCTAAATGACAATTTTTTAGTTTCACCACGACAGATGTTGTTGTCATGATACAGATTTTTTAGCATGCCTATAATTGTTGCCATATATTCACTCTGAATTATGAAGGCCATAATGGGATTAATACAAAACTGCACAGGTTCATAGGTATTGTAATTCTGAATACTGAATTTGATGGAATAAAAAAAAAACAATAGACATGACAATAATGGCCATATAATCTGACAAGAATTAAATCAGAAAAGAATTGGGGATTGGTAGACCTTGCTATTCGAATATTTTCACTGGAGATAACCATTGGTATCGGATAAATTTTTAATCTCTCAATTTGGAAAGCCTGCAAAGGATTGTATTAGGAAGATATGCTGTTTCTGTAGCTCACTACTCTGGTTACTGTCAGCATTGAAATAAGTAGGATAACTCTAGAATGTTTTATTTATATCTGCCAGAGAAACAAAATCGTATAATTTCGGTATCCTGAAAAAAACCTGTTATATGCTTATTGGTTATTTGAAATTAAATCAAAACTGTATTGAACAATTACTATAAACATGAAATTTGGAAATAATTAAGCTATATTTTAGAGGAGGGAGAAGATTACTGCCAAACTGAGCTGCTGAAGAAGCAAGGGATTACACTCTCCTCCATTGCTCCAGTGAAACAAGCAGTACACCCAGCCATGCCTAAACAGATGCTAAAAGCTTTGCGGGAGAGACTTCATCTAGAGGAGCGCATCACCATCATCCTGAGGGAGATGATTATGTATTTCACTTTTGTGGCAGTCGTGTTGTTTATGGTCCATGGTCATCAAGATGTGGCCACAAATTATAGTGCAACAAAGAATACTGAAGATATGTTGGTGAATGGAAAATACACACCTGTCCGGCTTGATGAGGTTAGTATATCCTACTCAGACTGAGGTAAGTACATCGTACTCAGACTGAGGTTAGTACATCGTACTCAGACTGAGGTTAGTACATCGTACTCAGACTGAGGTTAGTACATCGTACTCAGACTGAGGTAAGTACATCATACTCAGACTGAGGTAAGTATATTAGAGGACAAATCACATTGCTGGAACTGTATCAAGGCCTTGATCAGGTTTTATAATTGAGGTCATCTCACACGTCTTTGTCAAATCACACCTGAAATGTTTCATGACTGTGACCTTTTTTAATAACTGATTTTATTTCACATGTCTTTGTCATATCACACCTGAACTGTATCTTGAACTCACATTTATAAGCCTATTTCAGGTGAAGAAGGTTGAAGATATGTGGGAGTACCTTAGAGGTACAGCTCTGCCTATGCTTTACAGTGATACAGGAAGAATGGCTAATGATGTCAGCTACTTGGCAGGAACTGCCAGACTGCGACAGAAACGTATAGAGAAGGGTAGGACAATGTTGTTTTCTTGTAATCTGTATTATCTCATTCATGCTGTATGGCCTTTGTTAGTGTTTTTACCTAAGTTATCTGTCATTGGCTGCAAACATTTTTGGCCAAATTTCTTCATGAAATGTAAAAAGAACCTTGTTTCTGGTGTATTGTGATAGGAATTAGATAAATTATCCCTTTCATTTTGACACTGTATGAAACTGTAGATATGGCATTAGATTTTTATATTGGGCCTCAGGACTAAAAAAAGTGAGCTAAGACTTGGGTTCCTTGATTATCATTGCCTGTAATAGATAAGGATTTTTTTCTATTTAACACCTGCTTTCAAATTTCTTTTCTTTATTTGTGTCATTGTTATGTACATTTCACATTTTGAAATCAATTTTTCACAGCTGTTTGGACTGTTGATAATACTTTAATGCTCTTCTTGAAATGCTATAGGAATTGCCTGTATACTGTTTATATTAGAGACACTTACAATGTACATAACGTTTTAAGGTTTTTCTGTCAAGCATGTTCTACTGTTGCAGATATATCTTGCTATAGAGTAAACACAGAGGTTTTTGCTTCACTCTTTCCCAAACTGGATTGTGAAGTACCATTTTCAGCTGGTGATGAAGAGTGGGGATCATTCAACGAATCCTGGTCTCAGCCACTGCCTGAAGGATATCAGCTTCCTGAAAGTAATCCGTGGAAGTATCGTTCATCCTGGGAACTCAAGACAATTCCTTTTGTCGGGACATTCGCTTCATATTCAGGCGGAGGTTATGTTAAAGAGCTGCCATCTGATCACTATGCTGCAAATGTTACTCTCAATAACCTCATATCACAGGAATGGGTTGACAAGCACACACGAGCCATTTTCTTTGAATTCACATCCTACAATCCTAACGTTGATTTGTTTACAGTGGTCGTGATTATTTTTGAACAGTCTAACATAGGAAACATGCTGACTTATTATCAATTTTTCTCCTCCAAGCTGAATCACTATGACTCGGATTTAGGCAAGTTTGTTGCAGCATGCGAGTCCCTTTTTCTCCTCTACCTGGTAGGCTTTACATATTTTGAGATCAAAAAGTTCACAAAATTACAGAAAGCTGAATATTTCTCAGATACATGGAGCTATTTTGAAATCATGATAATTTCACTTGGTTATTGCACAATAGGGCTATTTTTCCAGAGACTTGTCATGGTCAATAGTGTTCTGTCGGAATACAGAGAAAACGGACCCGACAGATTTACTAGTTTCTATACGGCTGTGTTTTGGGACTTCGTCTTGACATACGTGATGGCAGCTCTTGTCATGTTAGTTATTCTTAAAGTTTTCAAATTATTCCGATATAACACAAAGACCACTATTCTTGTACAGACCTTAGCCAGAGCAAGAGGAAATCTTTTTAATTTTGCCATTATGTTTTTTATTTGTTTCATGGCATTCACTCTGTTTGCTAACTTGGTGTTTGGATACTGGCTTCTAGACTATAAAGATGTTGGCAGTAGTATCATTACACTCAGCCATTTTTTGCTGGGTGTTTCTGATTATGGTAATCTGGAACAAGCTCACTCCGTGCTCGGACCCGCATTCTTCTTCATGTTTGCCTTTATTATCCAGTACATTCTGTTGTCAGTTTTTGTGGCTATCATCATCGAGGCCCAGCATCTCACGCGGAAGATCGGAGAAAATGAGCTTGCTCTCACAAAATTTGTCTATGAAAGAGTTCTCCTCATGATAGGGGCCATCAAGCGATCAGATTACATATAATGGTAAATATTAGAGTGATTTCATGGTTCTCATTTCATAATTTTGTATTGTTATTTAAATTAAAAATACTGAACAAATGTAATTTGTTGCATTTTATCTTGTTTTCCAATGGTCTCGTTTTCTTTTGATAAACATGTTTAAAACAGTTGAATCTTATAAAGACCAACACAAATGCATCCAATTCATCCAGATTTAAAAATTGTGATTTCAAATCTGTATAAGAGTTTTGGTTGGTGATGAGAATATAGACCTTCCTTGTTTTTATTGGATTTATTTGAATTCTCTTTTTTAGGTATAAAAGTATATTGCTTTACTCAGTGGAAATTGCACATAAGTACAATTCTAAACTCATTGATAATATCCTGAAAAATGTTTTTTTTTTTACATCCTACGCTACAATAGATATGTCATTCCTACGCTTGAGAAAGCATTGATTCATTCTTTCAGGATAAGCCCATTATGGTTGGCCAGTCTCTGGGAATTTCGTCAGTTGGTTATGATAGCGAAACTGCAGATATTTCCTCAATTTACCGATATGGCGTAAAAGGAAATCGAACAACTGCAAGTTCTTCCGAGGCCCAGCTCAGAGGTTGGAACTCTGTCTATGCCTTTCTACCGAAAATGATTCTTGAAAATTGTGATGTCATTGGTCGAGATTGATTATCAGACAAACGAACTTGTCAATGAGTTGAAATAGACGGTACTTAAATGCAATAAGTTTTATTAGTCAGGCTTTTTGTGGACTGGAACAAATAAAGCAATAGATTAAGAACTCAGAGAAAACTGTGTTAAACCACACCGTCAGATTAAAATTCGTCTTTGACTGTAAATGATGCTACTGGCAAAATATTTAAAAACAATCTATTGAATGGCATGTAACATAAAAACCGACACCCCACCCCCACCTCCCCAACCAACCAACCACCATCCACCATGTAAGCATCGGCCAATCCAGACGAGTAAAAATTCACTGTATAATGGCAGACGTGCTGAACCAAAAATAGCACTATCTATCATTTCGGTAAATGTTGTTATACATTGTAGGTTAACTTTACCAATGTACAGTATAAATTAGAATATTCTGAGGTCATTTGTCTTGTTAAAGCTTTGAAAGCCTGGGGCTCGAAATATCCATCAGCAGCTTACAATTACCGCCAATCCCCTCAGTGATGACTAATGCCGTTCGAATGCCTTCGTAACTCGTCACAATTATTTATATGCATGTTGAACTATTGGTAGTTTACATCACGACAGCCACACGCCCCTTTTTTAAAGACGGACCTTACCCCTTCTGTATTAAACCACGTCATATAAGATACAGATTTCTGAAATTCAAATATATATATATATATATATATTTAAATATATTAATAACGATAGAGGGGACAATATTTTCATTTATTTTATTTTTTTATCAAATTTTCAAAGCGATCTTGCTCTGCTAGCAAGACAATATAATGCAGTTACAAATACGATGTACTTAAACTTGAACAATGTATGAAGATTGTTAAAAAAAAACTTCAAATGAATATGGAAAAAATTCGACCAACTCGAGAGCGGTTCAGTTCCATGTTCAAAACATGACCTTCAAGCCAGTTACAGTCGAAGACTACTGAAATAGTAATCTATTGATAGTATATGAATATAAAGAGGGGGGATGGGAATGTGTGCGCTTATCCGTTTTATTTGTGTATATTTTCACTGTTAAAAATTAATTTTGATTTATTTCATCCTTTTAAAATATCTTGTGTTGGAATGTATCGGTGATCTTGTGTAAATGATGTTTTGACACATTGAATGAAGCCGTGTAAAACTTGAAGTAAAATTGATACTTTCTGTATTTTGTAATTAATAGGGTTTTTATATATAGAAAGTTGAGAGTAACTGAAACAAACGTCCAAGGAATAAATGCTACGTGATCAGGGGTCCTACTTAAACCAGCCCGCAGACGCCCGCAAGTATACATAGACGCCCGCAGGCGATGTGGATACGATAGTTAAGAAATAAAGTTATATAATGGTTATTTTTACTTAATCAAACCCATCTGTAAAATTTCGAAGTGATTTCTCGCTGATTAAGAAAGTTATACGCGATACGATTTTCCTCTCGCCACAGCGTGACAGCAGCACCGCCCGCCATGATGAATCTTAAGCCCCGCCCACTTCCCCCCGTGGTGTTAATATGAAGAACCATATATGGAAGAACTTAGCACTGCTGTCGCCGGGATGGAAAAATACCTGTGCTGTATGAATAACTGCATAAATATATATAAAATAAATGTTAAATAAATCAACTTGAAATACAATTATATTAAATAATTGTTAATATCAAATGAATATTGACCAGATAATTGGCTTACAAAAAAATACAACAAATCTCATTAATTTAAATTTTGTCACAAAATACTGAGGTATGGCGAATTAAATAATGAAATGAAAAAGTGAAATACAAAATTAAACCGTTGTGAAATATGTTCCCAGACCCAACGACGTGGACGTGGTTCTACAAATGGGTCCAATTTAAATTTATGATTATTTATTACTTTTTATTTTCTTTAGACATGTTGGTCAATTTGAACACACTGCATAAACTTACAATGACCAATAACAAGGCATTATTCTTTGATGTACATACACATACAGTAGAGAAAATATAGACTACATGTATACACGAGCATAATACAATGTAATGTGTAACTTATATTACTAACCAGGATGACAAAGCTTTTTGTAGTTTCACACCCACAAAATTGACACTTTTTGGGTGTTTTTGATGTATTTGTAGAAATACAGGATTCCTTACATTATAGTATATATAATAGTTGTATGAGATATTTCTTTCCTCTTATAATTATTTTGATTTACGTTTCGATTTTTTAAACACTCGATGTTTTTTGCATCAATTATTTCATTATATTTTTGTACGGTTTCGTACAAGTTTTCAGCCTAAATTACACTCTGGGATTTTATTTTGATTTTAAATGTCCAGTTACATTAAGAACAATGGCAACGAAGGAAAGGCAAATGAAGAAAAGAGACAGAAGTAGCGGGCACATTTTTCGAAGATCAGAAAATTAGGAAAGATATGGAAGACAGAAGAAAATAGAAAAATCATCGGTAGGGCAAACCAAGTACAAACTAAACACAAAAGAATTAGAAAGACAAGAAGCGACTTCCAATGGTGGTTCTAACGAAATTTGAATCTTTTGTTTGCCGATGTAGTTTTGCAATTTCTCACTATTTTGATTTGGCCTGGTTTTTTGGCGAGTTTGGCAGTAGTCGGAATCGTTAAGTAACCATCCGTTGAATTAACGATATTTGGGATGGTCTAAATCTGACGAATTTGTTGTACAGTTTTCTCCGTTGTTCGTCTGTCAGATTAATCCAAATGGCATGATTAATTTGCAGCGTCTTTGTCCTCCCTGATAGTTCTAAATTCCCCCTTCCGTGGAGAGCACCACGAATCAGTAACAACTGCGATTCATGGACCTCCCTCAACCGTCCTACTAATTCTGGTACTTTGCTCACTCTCCAGTCTCCAAGAAGTTTTATTTTATGGTTCATTGATTCGCAGTTGTTATTTTTCCAATCTGGTGGAATTATTGGGTTGTGTTGACTGGGTAAGAATATTTTTTCTTTTAACGTTGGAAGCAGTTTTTCAGCCAGGTATTTGGCCCCAACATTGCCAAATTGTTCCAAAATTTCTAAATCCCGTTCGAAATATGACACCCGAGAGTTGGAGTAAAGAAGTCCAGTTTGTCCAAATATTGTCGAAAGTAAGTGGTTTCTAATTCCTTCTGGAACATTTTGATTGATCAGATTCCGCTGTGCGTTTTCTTTCAAGTGCCGTGTGCACAAAATATGCTGGGAAGCCGGGAAATTGGTTTTAATGGCCTGTATCAATGCAGTTTCCTCGTCGGTACCAAACACAATCTTCTCGACGGAAATGTTATATCCCAGAGCACACCTAATTTTTGACATGAAATCGCAATACGTAGCATATGACCCATCCCAATGTAAGAAGGAAGGGTCAAGCATGATAGGTGCCGTATCTGTGCCTTTCCTTACCAAGTTAAAATTTTGGTACACCATGACCGTCAGAAAACAAGATCCAAGATTGAATGTCCTGTCAATGCCAATTATGCTGTCGTTTGTCATACAATTTCTCATGTCTTCAATTTGTTCGTCTGTATAGCAGACAATGTTTGGAGGTTTATTGTCGTTATTTGCTGTAACTGATCTAATGAATGGATTCCCGTGCAGTGAATTTATGATTGTTTGAAAGTCGTCTGCCGTGTTATAGCTGTTGGATGGCTTAAGTCTTTTTTCGAATCTATATTTCGCGTTTTGGATAACTTTGAGGTCCAAAAGATTATCAGGATCAACCCTTTGTAGATCGAGAGCTATTTTTGAGGGTTTGCTGCCATGCCTCAATCCTTCTTCGATTACCTGTTTTTGACCCACAGTAGTCCTCTTGTAGGGTTGTGTTGAACTTTTCGCCAGACCATGAGGCATATCGCCCGGATATTCTCCAATGTATTCAAAAATTGATACCAAATGAATGTTGTCCCGACCTGGATATTGCTGAAACCAGCTTACGCGCCTTTGGTAATTTGTGTTTTGTTTCAGTTTAGAATAATACCGTTTCAAAATAACAACTGCTTGTTCGTCTGGTTGCGGATCCATCAGTTCCATGCCTCCTTGCACTTTGCGAAAGTATTGCTTTTGTTTTTTATGAATGTACTGAAACCTGCCTTTAGTTGAGTTTACATAATGGTGGGTTTTTAATGACCACTTAGACCATGCGCCGCAATCGTCAACAAAGGCATTGGTTGTCTGGTGGTTTTCCCTGTCAATAACAAAGAAAACGTTTTCTTTGCGTCCATATGGTACTGACTTGGAGTTATGACCTGGTGTGGCATCCATCAGTGCGTTTAAAGTTGCATCGAAGTCCAGGAATTTACCATTGAGACGGTTTATTTCTGGATTCCGGTAAGGTTC